GCGCCAAGTCTCTGAGCCATACAAGAGCACTGACTTGACGTTGGTGTTGAAAATCCGTATCTTGTTCCGCATGCTGAGTGCAGAAGATCTCCACACTGGTTTCAGGCTAATGAACGCCTGTCTTGCTTTTCCGATTCTGACTTTGACGTCCTCGTCCGTCCCGCCTGTAGTTGAAACAGTGCTTCCTAGATAAGTGAAGGAGGTTACTTCCTTCAAGTTTCTCCCGTTGACGGTGATGGTGATTGGAGTTTGTTGTTGTTGTTGATGGTGGTGATGCGGTATCTTCATCACTTCTGTCTTCTCTATATTCACCTGAAGTCCCGTCTTCCTTCGCTGCCTCTTCTATCAACTTGTTAGTTTTTGCCTGCAGATCTTCAAGTTTATGTGACATTAGGCATAAGTCATCGTTGGCGAAATCCAAGTCTTCTAGGTTCTTTTCCGTCGTCCAGTGTATTCCCCTCTTCTCGCTGCCCACTGTTTGCTGCATGATCCAGTCCACCACAATAAGGAATATCATGGGGGATAGTAGGCAACCTTGTTTCACTCCTGTCTTCACTTCAAAAGCATCACTCAGCTTCCCATTGTGACTTACTTGGCATGTGGCATCTTCATATAGTTGTTGAATGAGGCGGATAAAGGTTTGCGGTACTCCGTAGTATTGAAGCAGTTTCCAAATTACTTCTCGGTCGACGCTGTCAAAGGCCTTCTCAAAGTCGATGAAGTTGAGGTAGAGAGCTGATTGCCATTCTACGCTCTGTTCTATGATGATACGAAGCGTTGCAATTTGGTCTGCACATGATTTGTACTTCCTGAAGCCTGCCTGTTCCGGTCGCAGTTTTGAATCCAGTGCATCTTTAAGCCTCTCCAGGATGATGCGGCTTAATATTTTACTTGGGGTGGACAGGAGAGTGATTCCGCGCCAGTTCTTGCAAGCACTGAGGTCACCCTTCTTTGGCAGTTTGACAAGGTAACCCTTCTTCCAATCGTCAGGTACCTTCTCTTCCCTCCACACCTTCTGCAATAGTGGTGTGAGCATGTCTGCTGTTGTCTCTGCATCTGTTCTCAGTGCTTCTGGCGGTATTCCATCTGGTCCTGCTGCTTTCCCGCATTTCAGTAGCTTTATGGCGTTCAGGACTTCCATTTTCGTTGGGGATTAATGTTCACTTGTAATTCAGCGGCTGCAGGTGGTATTTCTGGACGAAGTGCAGGTGGTGGTCGATTCAAGAGCTTCTTGAAGTGGTCGGCCCATCGTTTCCTCTGTTTCTCTTCTTTCGTAATTAAATTTCCTTCTTCATCTTTTATTGGTTTCATCTGTGTTGGTCTCTTCCCTGATAGCAACCTGGTTATTTGATACAATGTTGTCAGGTCTCTCTTACCTGCAGCCTGTTCTGCTTCACTTGCCGGTGCGTCGTAGAAGTGTCTTTTGTCTTTGCGTGCACTCTTCTTTACTTCTTTATCCAGTGTATTGTTTTATACGGTGTACTCAGTTCCTCTTGTCGTTGAGCATCCATGCACTGGTTTATCTTCTGCTTCACCATCCTCCTCTCCCCGCTCTGTCAGCGTCCAGGTATCCGTCGAGATCCATTCCTTATCTTCTTTCTTCCTCCTTCCTAATACTGTTGTGCAGGTTTCTTTCCACATCTCCCTCAAAGACTTCCAGTGTTCTTCTACACAGGTTTCTTCAGGGATGTTCCTCGATATCTCCCATTTTGTCTTGATGGCTGGCTGCCGTGAAGATCTCCTTTGTAGTTTCATCCTTCAGTTTCCGAGTGTTGTACTTGAATTGAGGTCTATCACCAGCTTCCTTGAAGGCTTTTAACTTGATTTAGAATGTTCCTTGCACTAGATAGTGGTCTGAACCTACATCTGCTCCTCTTCTTGACCTTGTGTCAAGTAGGCTGACTGCGTCTCCATTTTCTTGAGATTGAGATAAAGTCGATTTGATTTTTAGTGTGTCCATCTGGTGAAGTCCATGTCGCTTTGTGGATATCCTTGTGCCTGAACACACTGCCTCCAATCACCAAATCGTTGAATGCACAGAATTCTGCAAACAATTCTCCATTCTCATTCATTTCACCTAGCGCCTCTCGACCCATGGTTAGTTCTCTTCCCGTGTTGTCCCCTCCCAGTTTGGCATTCATGTCGCCCATTAGAATTTTGATATCGCCAACTGACGTCTTGTCCAGTGTTGACTGAAGTTGTCTGTAGAATTCCTCCTTTTTCTCTTGCTCTGCATTATTTGTAGATGCACTGCGTAGCATTGTATGATTGTGACCTTTCTTCCTTTTGAGTTGAATCTTGCTGTCATGATCCTGGAGGAGATTGGTTCCCACTGCATGCTAGAGAGCCTTCGATGCTCTTGAGGACATCATAATAGCCACTCCCTCAGTGTGCTCGTGGTTGACGTCTGTGTGACAATATCGGAGTAGATTATTGATTCTCCAGTTGACAGTTTGGAGAGTCCACTCCCATTCCATCTGCTCTCGCAAATCCCAAGCACTTCGATGTTATACCTTCTCATCTCCTTTGCAATCTGGGCTGCCTTACTGGGTTCAAGCATCGTGCGGACATTCCATGTCCCCACGTTTACTTTCGCTTTCATCGAGGGAGAGGAGACACATCGGTCAATTGGCTTCCCGAAGGCTTTCACCAACTGGCGTCATTTCGCCTCTCCGATTCCAGCGGGGAATAAGTTTGTTTTTATTTTTTATATTTTGTTTGTGCTTTGAAGTTTCTTTAGCGGTTAGATTTGTTTTACGGGTAGGGTTGCTAGCCCTATGCCCAACCTTCCGTGTTTACCCGGGCTTAGGACCGGCTAGTAACTAGTAAACTAGTTAACCAGGCGAGGTTGAAGATAGAATTGCTATTACGTAATGCAGGTTAAATCTATGACAGAGTAGGAAAATGAATAAGGTATACATGTGTAGTTACCTGATACAAATGAATCTGTGGTACACAAGGCTTTACGATGGCCATGACAAAGATAAAGGTTGGACATACCTTTTTTTGCACACATAACGCTGGTTTGAACATCTGGATGGCTAGTGCTTCAGCTAGAGACAAATGCTTTGATTTTACTCCTTTCGAGTGGTTTGATCGAACTCTGTAGAAAATTTTGAAAGAAATCTCGAAAGGAGCTAAGTGGCCTGAGTTCACGAGGTGTTCTGTTATGAAACTGAAGATCCATTTCCGTTCGCCCTTTGCAAGCCGGGCTGGGTAGTGTTCGCGGACACGTGTTACAAGGCCCAAATTTTGTCAAATTATCAAACTCCAACTCGGTTTGAATGTAACTATTTGTTGACATACTTGTAATTCTTCATTGTTATACTGGATCGAATTGTTTGACCTCTGTTGGCATATTGGCTCCTATGCGGATGCCTGGATGTTTCATATGATAATTTACTTGATTGTGGCTAGCAGAGGGATCTAAGATGTGCGTTTGGTTTAGATATCTGTAATTTTGAGGGAGTTGGAAATATTTGAAGTTGTTATTCATCGTAGACTGACATCACTTGAAGGAACAAAGGAAACCTGGGAGCACTGGACAGCTGTTTCGTCCTAGTATGAGACTCCTCAGCAGTGCGCACTCACAACCCCGCACCACAGGGATCGAACCCGCGACCTTCAGGTTCCGTGGCCAGCACGTTACCGTTGAGTCAATGGGTCGGAATCCAATCGTCCGTTTTTCCAACTTCTGTTAGCTCACGATATAGGGCAATCGCCAACCAATGTCATGGTTGAGTAGCTGTCCTCACGACCATCAGGATTTGCCCCCACCGGTCACGACTTCTCATTGGAACTTCGGGAATATCTCTCGAAGCTAGTCACCAATGAGCACCAGTTCAATTAAATTCTGAGGGAATTGGAAATATTTCAAGTTGCTATTCATCGTAGACTGGTAACGTGCTTGCCACAGAACCTGAAGGTCGTGGGTTCGACCTCTGGGGGGGGGGGCTGTGGGTGGGCACTGCTGAGGAATCCCATACTAGGACGAAACAGCTGTCCAGTGCTCCCAGGTTTCCTTTGTTCCTCAAAGTGATGTCAGTCTACGATGAATAACAACTTGAAATATCTGTAGTTTTTGAAATGTTAATGAAATTACTTATTAACTTCAATAGCATCATTTGGATTCAAATTAAAGTGATAGAATAACCTGATTAGTTAGTATGATCATTTTATGATTTACTAAGTTATTGACATTTTATTACTATTTTGATGAGTTTTTTTTTACTTCATTGCATTCCGTGTTAGACGTATTCATTTTGAGCGACCATTTGTGGAGACTGCATAAAATTGTGTATAAACCACTTAAATGAAATATAATGTCACTGTGTGCTATATATCAGATAAACAAATCTAATGTGGAATTACATTCTACCACAATGCCCAAGTTTTACGTTTACATCACAGCAAAATAACTAGAAAACTGTTTTGAAATGACGATTCTGTCCCAAATGAATGACTTTTGAGTCATATGAATGAAAAGTTTCCGTTTACGAAGATACATTTGTGTAAGGTATTACGCTTCATCAAACAAAAAACATGTTGAACGAAACATGTGCAGTAGTTAAAGTCCAAAGAAGCACAATTTAACAGTTTGGAAAGAAATGAAAAACTAGTTAGTGTGAACCCTATGCTATTCACCGAGTTGTAGTAACTGGATCACGTTGAAATGATACCTAATTTAGGCTTGAAACGAATTTTAGTCACAGGGTATGCACATACGATACCTAATGGAAGCAACATGACACCACCGTTACAATAAACACACTGCAAGTTATGATACAAAGGGGTGAGGTTTATTTATTCTAGAAGGGTAAGTTTATAAGGACAAAATTCTGTATTAAGATAATAAAAAAAGGAGCCTTCATACAACCTTGCTGACCTCTTCTATTCACTAACTTTTTTATGTGAGAGATATAGCATAGGAATACTATAATGATGACCCTCAACTGCTATAGAAATCCAAAGAATTTTAAAACCACTTAACACTGGACAAACTTGCTTCTTTACACTATTAAACAAGCGATAGTGAAGGTGCAGCAAATTGTCCCAGATAATCAACCCATTGATGAAATGCTCTTGAATGCAAATGATGTTGAACTCTACACCTTCTGACCAATGAATTCTGCTAACTAAGAAATTCTCCCGCTGAATATAACACCGAGTTATTCAGGGTCCAAAAAGCAAAGGATAAAGTGTAGCTCAGCATTGTGATACAATAAACTTCACCACCATTCAGATGTATATGATAAGTCTCACATCTTAGCAAGAAGTATTTCCAAACATGGAGAAAACTCATCTTCACCGCGGAGGTATTAAAACTTTAGTTGTAACGTATACATTAGCTCTAACAACTGGGTATTGCATCCAACAGCTGAAGAATGCATATTACAATTAAGGAACAGGCAAAACCCAAAACGCTTGTATGACAGCATAAAAATAGATTACGAGAACGTTCACACACGTACACACTAGTCAGTCACATACCGTTTTTTACGGTATGACTAGTTTATTTTCTGCACCCATTGTAATGTAATTCGCTGATTGGTAAATCTTTACTCTTACCATCCCAATGTCTCAAATTGTAAACAAGGTCATATTCATGTGTGTACATATTCACGTGTTTCGGGATTTGTTGTTATTATTATAATCTCAGAGAAATAAACTCTCCTATCATCCCGTTGTGAGCATTGATGATAAGAATGGATGTAAGTAGTATGTGTTGAGAGGGTGGCAGAAATCATAGGGAATTACCAGCAATGGGTAAGGATACCGCCAAGAGAAACGCAAGAGACAAGGCAGGCATATGAAGAGCAAATCAAGAAAAAAGCAGAAGAGGAAACGAGGCATATTTTGCAAATGACGGTTTTAGTGCAAGATGTACCATATTTTTACCGACTACTGTCCCACGTGTTGACAATAAACTTCCTTCCTGCATACCTGTCTTTTGCTTCTTTCAATTCAATTTAGGTTTTTTTCTCTATTCGTCCCGAGGTTGCAGTCAGTGGCTTTTGCGTTCTAAGTTAGTTATCAGCTAAGCTTGCGTATTATATTCGCTCAGAATATATAACCCTTGGCGTTCGAAGATTTAAGAGTATATATATTAATCTCCTTAAAAATTTGATTTACAAGATATCGAAGAGAATTGAAATCTTCACGATATGCCAAAAGTATAGACAATTTTATCGGAAGAAGATAATTTGAGGTAAGTAAAGTAAAGCAAAGGAGAAATGTGTATGCAGTTGTTCATATACACAGTGATTAAAAAAATATAGAGATAAGGAAAGGGAGAGAGAAAGGCTTGAACTACGCACACGTAATATAAATAAAAAACCATAGATATCATCAAAAAATGTACCAGTTAGGTTATAGAGGATCACATGAAATAGTTTTACTCAAGAATTATGAACCAATCAAAAGTGAATTAGGTTAGGTTATTGTTTCCAAATTGCTTAGACGTTCTTCCAGTTGATTAAGTTCAGATTTTAAGATCAGCAAAGAATCCTTTATAAAGAAAAAAAATATGATAGAATAAGGTGAATCAATTATTCATTATAACAATAAATTATGTAACTAATCTAAATTGTTTGAGTAAAACACTAATGAAATAATAGTTTATTGATGTTTATCAATCAATGAAACCTGAGGTTTTAGCAATGAAGTCAGAATACAAAATTATACTCTGTTCTGATGAACACCAACTAGTCTATTTTTCAAGATATATGAGTTAGTATTATCATCGTTATTATTTTTCCCTTGGGTTCCTAGTAGAACATAAAGCTTCAGTAGCACGTCTCCATTCCACTCTTCTCTGCAAACTTTTGAAACTGGTTCTACGACTGCCCACAAGCTCTCATTTCTTCCCCATACCATCTCCTATATATCACCCTCGGCTCATACGCCCAACTTGTCGCTTCCCATCTGGGTTCCACTCGAGGGCCTGGCCTGGCGCGTGATGTCCCCAGTCGGCCTTCTCAGTTTATGCCAAATCCAACCCATCTCCACTTTCTTCTGCATATTTGTTGAGTGATACGTTCTTGATTGGTTCGTTGCCAGCCAGAGTTCCGTGTTGCTTATTCTTTCTGGCCATCTGAGTTTCAGTATGGAGTGAGCGTAGGCAGTTGTTGATGAATGTCAGTAGTTTATGGGAAATCCCTTTCGTAACGCGCCAAGTATCTGAGCCATACAGAAGCACTGACTTGACGTTGGTATTGGGTTAGTATGCGAGGGATTATTCATTTTACGGTAAACTGAGACTGTTGAAACTGAACTGAACTAAACAGTAAATCGATGGCTTTACTTTATGATTTCGCATCTTTATAAATCCAGTGCGTACGACATTTTAAAATGAAATTCGATGAAAAATTTAAGCATCATGCAATATTTTGATTGGTCACTGGAAAGAAACCATGTCTTGAGTTCTAACTAAATTTAATCAATCATTTCGCAATGTAATCACCAAGCTAGAAAGTTTACTATCGCGGTGGACTTGAATAACTCAGTGGTAACATCGCTGACTGCAGCATTGTATAATACAGGTTCAATACTCAGAGTGAAAAACACATTCCTTTCGAGATTATAGTAACGCTTTGCTGACAAGTGTCAAAAAGCATGAAACCTGGGTCTAGCACGGCTTCCTGCCGATTACCTTCAATCAACTAACATAATGCAAAATTATTAAGTCAACATTTAGCTGCTTAATATAACATCGAAAGTGAAATAAACTACTACAGCTACACCTCCTGATTGTTGTTTGTTACTTTGAATGACCATATGCATGTTCACGTCAGAAGTAATGAAACACATCACATCGATTACACAAGAGCTTAATTTACTACCACATAGCTTCTCCAGACGTCAGTAAGTGGAGCAGAGCTAGAACTCGCGACTCATCGGTCCAAACTTGAGTGCATTAAGGAATCAGTCACAACTCACACCATCGTGGCTCAGTGGTGTAGTGGATAACGCTCTGGAGTTCGAAGCGATCGGTCCCTACTCGGAATCCCGGTGGGAACAACAACATTCATTGGGAGGCAGGTACATCCAGCTGCCGAGTCCCAAATAGGACTAATTGAGCATCTTGGATCCCAATGCTAGCCACTATCCATCATTTCTATTAGTTATGCCTATGTGATTAAAACACTCGAATACTTAACATCTAATTCATTAACAGTGACCAAAAGTGTTGATCATGAATGACCAATATAATTCATGAGTGGAAAAAAAGTTATCGATCCCAGAAATTGACTGATAGTTAATCACAGATGATCATAATGAATATAGAAATTCGTTGTTTATCGGGCAAATGAGTAGTATAACCAATAAATACTACTGTTGATAAACGATCAACAAACAAACAGAGATACAGTACAACATATAACGGTTTACACGAATAAAAACGACTTTCTTCATTCACTATTAATTGCTGATAAGTAAAGTAGTCCAATATACTGAATTGGAAATGAATTGACAAACTGACAAATTATCCTAATACTTAATGGTCACATCATTCAAATTTCAGTCAGTAGGTTACATTTCCCAGTTCCACTTCACCTACTGAGGTTTATCATTAGTAAAGAAAGCTTTATCAACCTTCGAAGAAAAGGTACACATGTTCCAAATATGATAGATGTCAGATTCTTCAAAAGGAAACAACACAAATGATATAGTTATATATTTTGAGGTGATTGGGGATTTTAACTTTAATCGTAGCATTCCCTTAAAACTGATAACAGTTGGAGAACTATTCCAAACTTGGGAGCATTGGACAACTGTTTCATCCTTGCACGGTATTCTTCACTATCATGCACCCAAATGATGTCAGCCTGTGATGAATACCACCTTAAAAATCGAAGTGCTTATCATTGAGATGCTTTGAAATGGATATCTCGAAATTTTTATGAGAAAACCTGACCTGTGGGGTCAACCAGTCGGAAGTGAATGCCAACTGAAGTCCTTGGATAATAGCTGCGCTATTTGGCGAATTGGTGAAAGTAGGAAACTGTGAACCATTGAACTCCAACTCAGTGGCTGAATGACTAAGACATTCACCGAGAAAGCTGGTGAGGCAGGGTCGTGGGTACATACTGCTGAGGAGTTCCATACTGAGATGAAACAGATGTCCAATGCTTCTGGGTTTTCAATGGCTCTCCAACTGATATCAATCCATGATGTATAACTACCTAATAACGGTTAAGTTAGAAAATAAGTATCAATCAATTTATCTAAATATTACACATTACTAACTCACTTCCAGGTCCTTGACATAAATTTCTATCCCTTTAAATTGTGCATGATTATGCATCTCTGATATCCATTGTTCAACTTGACAAATAATCGAAGAACGTCTTTGCTGAAAATGCTTTAGAATTACCTAGAGGAAGGAAAGAGGATAAACAACTCGCCTGATAATGTTGATATACAGCAAACTACGCGTATAAAACTTGTGCAATGTGGTAGAATGTAATTTCACTGCAGTTAGTTTATTAAACGTATCATATAGTGGAACTATATTATTTACTGGATAATGTTTCGGACACAATTTATTGCCTATACTCATATCAAGATAACTCCACAACTTTGAGACACAATTTATATAATCCTGTTTCTCACCCTCTTTGTGATAAAGGTAGTAGAATTTTCCATCTATCCGCAACAGGCACCGAATCATTCTTGTTGCATGTATTAGGTGTTGATTCGATAAACAAAAATTTAGGGATCAATCTCTCCCTTCACACCGCTACGTTAGCTTTAAGAATTTTCACTCTGTGCCATCCTGTTTTGTTGTTGTATACAATTGCATGCTTAGCTATGATCGAGCTTTTTTCTAGATTCCTTATCTTATTCCGATCTACCAATTTTGACTTAGCTAGGTTGTTGTGCTCGGACAGCTAGTAACTAATACTGTCCCACTATGTGACACGTCTAATAAATAGACTATGATTGCAGTAAACAGATTATTATTGTTAAACACTTGCATAATACTTCCATGTAATAAGCTTTATCGGGTGTCGATGCCAAACTACACAACAGTTGATTTCTAATATGATAACTGTCAACGCTACAATCACTAGTTGTGTTTAGTTTGAACTATTTTTTGCTGAATTTCGATTTGAATAAACTAACCGGTGGGGTAAACCTAATTGGACTTGAGGACAGTTACTCAAAGACGGTACTGGATGGAAGTCGCTTTATATGGCAAACTGACAGAAGCAGGTTCCAATTCAGTGCCTCAATGCTAACGTGGTCACCGTGGGACCTTATGGTTCTGGGTTCGACCCTCAAAGGGGTCATGGGTGGCAACTACCGACGAATCCTATGCCAGGACGGAACAGTCTTCCAGTGCTCCTAAGTCTTCAATGGTTCTCTAACTGATGCTGGACTGTGATCAATACCAACTTATCTATATGTTTCGCTAGCTATGCTTCGAGTGAACCAAACGCCCAATGGACACTTCGTACAGAAACCCTAACTGGTTTTTACAGTGAATTCCCCACCCCTCGCTCCCCCTTTAGAAGTGAATCGCCAGAACCTACCGAATAAGAAAGAAGGGAATTTCAAAATCATACAAGTGATTCTACAAAAGTAAATCACATTTTTTTTTGCCAGAGACCTTTTACTGAACACTTTCCATTCGAGAATGAAAATCAAAGCTTCACCATTAAACTATAGATTGATAAAGAGAAAAGCTATATACTATTTCCAACTTCATTTAGAATGGTAAGTCAATAAAAATACAACTTACTTCTTCAAAGCCAATTGGTGGATGCTTCAGTTGATTAATCATAGCCCATCGAACAGTTGCAGCACGAATACGAGCATTGTATTTATAACTCATGATTACACCTTTAGGTGTTCCCATACTACACTCAAAGCCAGGTTCATTAAAGTAGGGTTCATGGACAAAAATCAATGACTGAATTGATACTAATACCTAAAGAAAAAATCAGTTTACAAGATACAATAGAAAAAGTGATTTACAAATAAAATGGATCTGTATACTGAACCGATATTTATCTGTTCGTAATAATCATAAAGCGTGACACTTCTTCTGCATTTAAAAAAAACAACCCAGTAATGTTAATAAAAATACATAAAATGTTGGCCGTTCAATTTATAATATACGCTATTGTTTACTATTATTACTTTTCCCTTGGGTTCCTAGTAGAACACAAAGCTTCAGTAGCACGTCTCCATTCCACTCTCCTCTGCAATCTTTTGAACCTGGCTCCACGACTGCCCACAAACTCTCATTTCTTCCTCACAAGATTTCCTCCATGTCACCCTCGGACGCCCAACTCGTCGTTTCGCTTCTAGGTTTCACTCAAGGACCTGACTTGATGCGTGATGTCCCCAGTCGGCCTTCTCAGTGTATGCCCGACCCATCTCCACTTTTTTCTGCATATTTGTTGGGCGATAGGTTCCTGGCTAGTTTGTTGCCAGCCTCCAAGAGTTCCTTATTGCTTATTCTCATTATTTTGGCCATCTGATCTCCATCTTCAGTATCCAGTGAGCTAGCGTAGGTGGCAGCTGTTCATGTATGTCTGTAGTTTGTTGCAAGTGCTTTCTGTAACTCGCCAAGTCTCTCAACCATCACGTAGAAGGACTGACTTGAGTGACGTTAGTGTTGAAACTCCGTATCTTGTTCTTTATGCTGAGTGCAGTAGATCTCTACACTGATTTCAGGTTAATGAAGTCCTGTCTGGCTGTCTTTCGGATCTTGGCTTTGACGTCCTCATCTGTGCCACATGTAGTTGAGACGATGCTGCCTAGGTAATCACAGGAATGAACTGCATAAAATACATTTGTCATAATGGAGAAGATTTGTACCTCAGGATGAGAATGATGTTCTCTAAGCATTGATATCTTTTCTTGGACGTTCCACCATCAGACTTGATGACATCTTCAGCACTAGCCGAATGAAGTTAGTTCATGACAAAAATATCAAAGCTTAGAGAACACCAAACCACCATCAAACATTTGTCAGTAACAAAATATGTGAATAGTTAACAAAGGGGGGAAAAACAACGTTGCCTACTTGTAGTAAACTAGATGTTTCAGGATTCCATCGTTCTTGAGCTGATCCATGCCACGTATTCAATATTGATAAGCATACCTTTCCATCTTCATAGAGATTTGGATTAAATCGGAATGTATTCTTTGCTGTTGTACGAAATTCAACTAATGGAGGCTGAGATGGATAATTTGAAGGGATGTATATATCAAATTCGAAACAACCATTTGCATAAGGTGTATCAGGTGGTCCAGTAATTAATGCCTATTTCATTATTCAAAGAAAAGTGTTTGGTATAACTATAGTTTATAAGCTAGTTAAACACAAAAACGCATCATTATTATTGGGGTGAGTATTTACGACAAAATAGGTTCCACATGATTAAATAAAAATGATCAAACCATCGTTGATGGACAGTGGTTACTAGGGAAATCCAGTATGTGCACTTCGTCCTATTTTGGACTCATCGGCTGGAGGCACTTTCATCACAGTTTAAAGGATTGGTCCCACTCGGACTCGAACCAGGGACCGATCGCTTCAAATACCATAGTGTTGTCCACCAGGCCACCAAGTCACGATAGCCACCTCTCGTGCGACGGGCATGGTTTTGATGTCACTGATTATAATTTCTCGTCATTGACTGCAGTGAAGTGTGATGCGGATGCTTCGGCATAGCCGGTATTTTTCAAATTTGATATTACTGATGGATAGATGGAACAACATAACTTACTAGGGAGCAGCTGAAGAGTCTCGAATTGGACGAAACACGTATTGGCTTTTATTGCTGGTCACTATCTATCTATAGTGTTAAATGTGAAAGAATCTTGGCAATACCAAGGCATTCAAATAGGAGCTCATTTGTCAATAGTGGTCGGTCGATTTGATTCAATCAACGACGGAGATGTACAAACTGTAACAACACCAATGATCAAACCACAAAATAAGTGGAAATTTGATTATGCTAATGTTAACGCAGTGCACATGAACTCACTATTCAGTGGAAGACATTGTAGTACCCAGATTACCGACCAAGAAATCCAATCCATTTATGAATGAAAACTAGCAACAGTATACAGTTAACTAGATAGAGAAAACCAATCTCAACATCACCATAACATTTAACGATTAAAAAAAGATGATATTTGTGAATCAGTAGTTCGGAAAGCAGAAGAGTAACTTAGGTTCAAGGACCTACAAGGTTAATGAATGAAAAAAACCTTGATTTTGAACATAAAATGCTACTTCCCACTTCCCTATTGAAACAGCTTCAGCAATGGATAATAGATGTTTACTCACATTATCAGAAAGTTTTTTCTGAAATCTATCAACAACATGAAATGAATTTTCTGAAACTGTATTCAGTGTCAACTAAATGTTGTAGGATGTAACTTTTCATTAAGCTAAATTCACTTTTACTGAGACATATCGGAAGGTGTTCACACCAGTGATTGTGTACAGCTTCGGAGAATAATGTTACATACAACAAATCCACTTTTCGACAGATTCTTATAATAATTTGAAAGGAAAAACAAACTAATGCATAAATAAGAAGTAAATGTTAAACTAATAAATCTCTCTTGGGATCACTGACGAACAGAAGGCTTGAAAGAGAGTCATTTGTGAATTATTCAATGTTGACTGCTTGGTTTATACAATTGAAATGTACGCAGAAACTTCGTGAATATTTGTGCAGTAGGCAATGAGCCACGTATAATATGTGAGTGATGACTAATGATACTGTAGGAAACGAGATGACTGAGATGCAGGAAGGAATGCTGACATCTTGTACAGCAGTCATTAAATATCATACACTTTCCACTAAAACAATCATTTACGCATTGTACTTCATTTCCTCTTCTGCTTCTATCGTGATTTGCTCTTAATACACTCATGTTGTCTCTTGGATTTCTCTGGGCAGAATGTTTACTCATTGCTTGTAATTATCTATGATTTCTGTCGCCCTTTCAACATATACTACTTGTATCGATTCTGATCAGCAACGCCCACTACAGTGCTACCTAACTGCAGAGCACGATTCGAACTTGTGACCCATTAGTTGAAAGGCATCTCGCTGAACCAATCAGTCACGTATATAAAGCGTAGTGAAGCTAGAATCTAATAATTACACACATCTCTCTATACATTTTTATCATTTGAGATGAAGGTTGTACAGAAGTTATTAAAATGCAAAGAGACGTTATTTTCAAACAGATTATTATTTCAAGTTGTTATTCATCGTAGACTGACATCACTTGGAGGAACAAAGGAGACCTGCGAGCACTGGACAGCTGTTTCGTCCTAGTATGAGACTCCTCAGCAGTGCGCACCCACAACCCCGCACCACAGGGGTCGAACCCGCGACCTTCAGGTTCCGTGGCCAGCGCGTTACCACTGAGCCACTGGGTTAGAATCCATCGGTCCATACTTCCAACTTCTGTTAGCTCACGATATAGCGCAATCGCCACCCAATGTCATAGTTGAGTAACTGTTGTCATGACCATCAGGCTTTGCCCCCACCGGTCACGACTTCTCATTGGAACTTCGGGAATACCTCTTGAAGCTAGTCACCAATGAGCACCAGTGCAACTGAATTTTGAGGGAGTTGTTCCTCCAACTGATGTCAGTCTACGATGAATAACAACTTGAAATATTTCCAAATCCCCACAACTCCGTCAAGATTACTATTTCACAAGAATATACGACGTACACACATTAGAAAGAAATGGAGCACAAATTGAAAAAAAACTATTCAATGAATATTGTCAGAAAGAAAACAACAACAGCCGGATATATTAACCAAGAAGAGAGCCAACTGAATCTCTTGAAATTGTTCACTTATAGAAGAATAATCTCATGGCTAGGTTATATGGATTGAATGCATAGTTTTGAAGTTGAGCAATGCAAAGCAAAACATCAACTGAGAATGTGATAGACTACGACAAAATCTATTACACGGAGGAAATGATAGACTACAGTTCAAACACTAGCCTCTATATAGTAGTGTCATTCCAGGCAATGATGAAAGATTGAAGTAAGATCAACTAAATGATCAATGAAAAATATTACCAAAATGAATTCGCCTGTATAACAGTGCCACAGAGTTTGGCAATGAGAGAAATGTAATATTCTCGCATACAAATACAACATAACACTAAAAGTGTATACGTAATTGGAAGCAATAAAATTTAATTGCTTTACCTTTAATAAACATAAATGATTTTCATCACATCGGATAAACACACTAGCATTCTCTGATAATGGTAAACTAGTACTCAAAGTTAGAATTTCTTGAGCAAGACGTTGTAATTGATGTAATGATCGATCTTTTGGAGTAACTTTTAATTTTGAAGTTGATAATGACGACAGCTTGCTAAGTTGACCTGAAGGTGGAACATTCGACGAGGAAGAAGACGGAGTTATATTATCAGAAGACTTTTTTTTATTAGGATCAGCTAAAAGCAAACCCTCATGTTGAGCACATAAATCAGCGTATGCATGCGGCACCAATAGAGATATAGTGCTATTCAGTGGGAGTGAAAAGAATTTGATCATACCTAGGTTAATAATAATAATAATAATAATAAATGGTCAGAGTGGGCACTCAAAAGTTATAGGACAATCGAAAATGACAAAAGCAAAAATGTATGAACTTATATTTCATTCCATTCTTCGACGGGTGTTTCCCACATGGCCTGCGTTCATTCACGCTAATGTTCAGCTGCCTACAAATCTCACCAATATAATTGGTCTCACAGTCCATACATTTTATCTTATACATATAATTTTTTTTGAGGGGGTTGTGGAGATTTGGAAATATTTCAAGTTGTTATTCATCGAAGACTGACATCAGTTGGAGGAACAAAGGAAACCTGGGAGCACTGGACAACTGTTTCGTCCTAGTATGGGACTCCTCAGCAGTGCGCACCCACGACCCCACCAGCAGGGATCGAACCCGCAACCTTCAGGTTCTGCGGCCAGCGCGTTACCATACTAGGACGAAACAGCTGTCCAGTGCTCCCAGGTTCCCTTTGTTCCTCCAACTGATGTCAGTCTTCGATGAATAACAACTTGAAATACATATAATTGTTTTATGTTATCTTTGGAATTACATCTTACACTTTGACTAAGGCTATCTTCAAAGGATTTGAAGGTTTGGAATATACTCTAATACTATACTGAGCGCAAACTCGTTGCATTTATTCTGAAATAAATACTTTTTCTAAATGGAATTGTCATTGTTGACATCCATGATTTTTCTTCAGTTTTACTTATCTTATCCATTTGCTTCTTATTAATACTTGTTTCATTACAATATTCTTAGCTCAATTTAATAGGTTCAAAGATACTTTACTTTTCATGCTCATTGAATGGTCGAGAATTGAAAGTCTAGATATTTATCAGAATGAGTAGGCTTTCTGTAAATCCTAATTTTATATTCCCCCTTCAAATGTTCTGTGAATAAGACACTCTAGGAAATTCAAAATTCCTGCACTCAATTCCATTTCATTCGTGAATTTTATGAAATTTGACAGAGTTTAAGTTTGAAGGTATCTTGACCAACAATAGACTGGATGTAAGATTCATTGTATAGAATGTATTTTTACTTGTGTAATCCCGGCGCAGTATATTAGAACAAATAACAAACTGCTGAGGAGTCCCATACTAGAACGAAACAGCTGTCCAGTGCTCCCAGGTTTCTTTTGTTCCTCCAACTGATGTCAGCCTACGATGAATAACAACTTGAAATATTTCCAAATCTCCACAACTCCCTCAAAATTCGAATAAACAAATATTCTGCACTCTTCCTCAACGTTTCGATTTTGCTAGGAACATCCTTTTCAAGAGTATGAATCTGACACTAAGTTTTCATCCAATTACATAGTGATATGGAGCGAAGATCAATGTAATACAGGTGAGTGAATAAGCAACTCGGTCAGAGAGGTTTTTGCGTTGTGCGAGTAAGGCGGAACAAAAATAGGGTGGGGAAATTTTTTAGTTCGTCTATGAAAAGTACAATGGGGTTGTGAGACATCAAGGGTGAGAAAGAATAGATTACTAGTTGGGAAGGATGAATATTTGAAGATCAGATAATATATCTTAACACTTGAAGTGATAACAAAATGGATTATGTTATGGTTCATCGAATGTATATGACTCAGAAAGTAGTGTAAAATTGATGAAAATAGTAGATCAAAAAGGTGTATGCAATAGGATTATACAATCTGTTTAAATGCAACCATTTTTCCCCCTTTCTTTTCTTTTTTTTCTCGTGGCTAAGACAATTAAGAGAAATAACACTGGAGAGTATTCAAACAAGAGTGAATTGGGAACAAATAAATCATGTGGAATGAAATTGTGTTCTACCTTCTCTTTATAAAAAATGAAAACAAACTTATTCCCCGCTGGAATCGGAGAGGCGAAATGACGCCAGTTGGTGAAAGCCTGCCTTCAGGAAGCCAATTGGCCAATGTGTCTTCTCTCTCCCAATGAAAGCGAAAGTAAACGTGGGGACATGGAATGTCCATAACATGTTTGAACCCAGCAAGGCAGCCCAGTCTGCAAACGAGATGAAGAGGTATCACATTGAAGTTCTAGGAATTTGCAATAGCAGATGGAAAGGGAGTGGACTCTACAAACTGTCAACTGGAGAATCAATAATCTACCCCGATATTGTCACACAGATGACAACCACGAGCACACTGAGGGAGTGGCTATCATGATGTCCTCAAGAGCATCGAAGGCTCTCATGCAGTGGGAACCAATCTCCTCCTGCAGGATCACGACAGCAATATTCAACTCAAAAGGAAGGAAGGTCACAATCATACAATGCTATGCCACGCACCTACAAATAATGCAGAGCAAGAGAAAAAGGAGTAATTCCACAGACAACTTCAATCAACACTGGACAAGACCTCAGTTGGCAATATCAAAATTCATTCTAATAGGCAACATGAATGCCAAACTGGGAGGGGACAACACGGGAAGAGAACTAACCATTGATCGAGAGGCACTAGGTGAAATGAATGAGAATGGAGAATTGTTTGCAGAATTCTGTGCATTCAACGATTTGGTGATTGGAGGCAGTGTGTTCAGGCACAAAGATATCCACAAAGCGACATGGATTTCACCAGACACCAGGACACACTAAAAATCAGATCGACTTTATCTCAATCTCAAGAAAATGGAGATGCAGTCTACTTAACACAAGGGCAAGAAGAGGAGCAGATGTAGGTTCACACCACTCACTGTCTAGTGCAAGGAACCTTCCAAATCAAGTTAAAAGCCTTCAAGGAAGCTGGTGATAGACCTCAGTTCAAGTACAACACTCGGAAACTGAAGGATGAAACTACAAAGGAGATCTTCACGGCAGCCAGCCATCAAGACAAAATGGGAGATATCGAGGAACATCCCTGAAGAAAGCTGTGTGGAAGAACACTGGAAGTCTTTGAAAGCTATGTGGAAAGAAACCCGCACAACAGTATTAGGAAGGAAGAAGGTGGAAGACAAGGAATGGATCTCGACGGATACCTGGACGCTGACAGAGCGGGGAGAGGAGGATGGTGAAACAGAAGATAAACCAGTGCAAGGATGCTCAACGACAAGAGGAACTGAGCACAATGTATAAAACACTGGATAAAGAAGTGAAGAAGAGTGCACGCAAAGACAAAAGACACTTCTACGAAACACTGGCAAGTGAAGCAGAACAGGCTGCAGGTGAGAGAGACCTGACAACATTGTATCAAATAACCAGGTTGCTATCAGGGAAGAGACCAACACAGATGAAACCAATAAAAGATGAAGAAGGAAATTTAATTACAAAAGAAGAGAAACAAAGGAAACGATGGGCCGACCACTTCAAGAAGCTCTTGAATCGACCACCACCTGCACTTCGTCCAGAAATACCACCTGCAGCCGCTGAATTACAAGTGAACATTAATCCCCCAACGAAAATGGAAGGCCTGAACGCCGTAAGGCTACTGAAATGTGGGAAAGCAGCAGGACCAGATGGGATCCCCCCAGAAGCACTGAGAACAGATGCAGAGACAACAGCAGACATGCTCACACCATACCACTATTGCAGAAGGTGTGGAAGGAAGAGAAGGTACCTGACGATTGGAAGAAGGGTTACCTTGTCAAACTGCCAAAGAAGGGTGACCTCAGTGCTTGCAAGAACTGGCGCGGAATCACTCTCCTGTCCACCCCAAGTAAAATATTAAGCCGCATCATCCTGGAGAGGCTTAAAGATGCACTGGATTCAAAACTACGACCGGAACAGGCAGGCTTCAGGAAGTACAAATCATGTGCAGACCAAATTGCAACGCTTCGTATCACCATAGAACAGAGCATAGAATGGCAATCAGCTCTCTACCTCAACTTCATCGACTTTGAAAAAGGCCTTTGACAACGTCGACCGAGAAATAATTTGGAAACTGCTTCAATACTACGGAGTACCGCAAACCTTTATCCGCCTCATTCAACAACTATATGAAGATGCCACATGCCAAGTAAGTCACAATGGGAAGCTGAGTGATGCTTTTGAAGTGAAGACAGGAGTGAAACAAGGTTGCCTACTATCCCCCATGATATTCCTTATTGTGGTGGACTGGATCATGCAGCAAACAGTGGGCAGCGAGAAGAGGGGGATACACTGGACGACGGAAAAGAACCTAGAAGACTTGGATTTCGCCAACGATGACTTATGCCTAATGTCACATAAACTTGAAGATCTGCAGGCAAAAACTAACAAGTTGATAGAAGAGGCAGCGAAGGAAGACGGGACTTCAGGTGAATATAGAGAAGACAGAAGTGATGAAGATACCGCATCACCACCATCAACAACAACAACAAACTCCAATCACCATCACCGTCAACGGGAGAAACTTGAAGGAAGTAACCTCCTTCACTTATCTAGGAAGCACTGTTTCAACTACAGGCAGCACAGGCACAGACGAGGATGTCAAAGTCAGAATCGGAAAAGCAACACAGGCGTTCATTAGCCTGAAACCAGTGTGGAGATCTTCTGCACTCAGCATGTGGAACAAGATACGGATTTTCAACACCAACGTCAAGTCAGTGCTCTTGTATGGCTCAGAGACTTGGCGCGTCACGAAAGGCATTTCCAACAAACTACAGACATTCATCAACAACTGCTTACGCTCGCTGCTGAAGATCAGATGGATTACCAGAAAGAATAAGCAACAAGGAACTCTGGGAACGAACCAACCAAGAACCTATCACGCAACAAATATGCAGGAAGAAGTGGAGATGGATTGGCCATGCACTGAGAAGGCCGACTGAGGACATCACGCGTCAGGCCAGGCCCTCGAGTGGAGTCCCCATAGGAAGCGACGAGTTGGACGTCCGAGGGTGACATGGAGGAGGTCGTGCGAGGAGGAAATGAGAGCTTCTGGGCTGTCGTGGGACCAGGTCCAAAAGATCTCAGAGAACAGAGGTCACTGGAGGCGTGCTACTGAAGCTCTATGTTCCACTAGGAACCCACGGGACTAATAATAGTAATATTAGTGGGATGTCTAACGCATCTCTTCTGTTGACCGAAGAAGGATATGAACAGATACGCAAAGCTTCTGCAATGTTCCGCTCTTTGTGAGAAAGAAAAACCTTTTGCAGAACTTTTGTCTGTTCGAATGATATTTTATGACCTGAATATAGGGCATGAGCTGCGATAGCAAAGCTTTTTTCAGGTTTTTCTAGATCATAGAAATTTTGGTGGTTTTTTGGAACTTCGACCGTGTTCGACTTGACATGTTAGTACTTGACGTGATGTCTCTCCAATGTATGTGGCATGGCATTCACTGCAATCTACCTTATAAACACAGTTTTGTTGTTCCAAATGAGGAGTCGGATCTTTTAATTTACATAGGTGTGAGTGTAATGTATTCGTCACCATAAGTTTAAGTGTTGTGAAAAACTTTCATGTTCTTTTTTATTGATGATAACAAAGGTATGATCTATATATATATATATACCGAAGTTTAGGTTGACAATAAAAACTATTTCAAGCTCATTCTTCGAATGCTTTTATATATAAACTGGCTACAATCGAAGATGCTGAGGAGCCCATCGCAACCCCATTAGTTTGATGGCATAACTTATCCATAAGCGTAAAATAAATATGTTGATTCTAAACACAATCTTAAAGGATTTCATAATGTTTTCTGTTGACAATGGATATCCACATCCAGTGTGAACAACAAAACAGCTAACCAATGACGTAAAGACAGAAATTCCTGTATGTACCATTTGACAGTGCATATAATATTTAATAATACTTGACCGTTATCAAGTAAATTTTTTACAATGTTAAATGCATTATGCATAGGAATACTGGTGAAAATGGAAATTTTGTCAAAACTTATCAAGTTTTAAATACCTAGGAACGTGAACTATATTTTTATCTACGGTTTTTCATTGATGTTAACGCGAATTTTACTATTTTCAATGTAGACCCCCCCCCCCAAAAAAAAAAAACTCTCTCGATATTAATTGATTTTAATTCCATTTTAGTCTGTTTATTAGAAATGTCATACAGTGAAACTGTATCATATACTGGATTGAGTGTAGCTGATCTGGTTTTATTGCGATTGTTCATTAGAAGTTCATAATCTTTATCACAAACTATTTGTATCAGGTTACATTTAAGTTCTTCGATATATTATTCCTGATGTTGTGCAACTTTTAGATTGTTATCCGAATTCCTTCCTTAAGGAACAGTTTATATATCCATTCTATAGCTACGTTAAACAGACTAAAATGGAATATCGATGGGGTAATTAGATGTGATGTATTTGCGTAATACATTTCGAGCAATCTGATCACACATTTATTTGTCAAGTTATTGTATATTAAACCTATGAGTGGGGAGACAAATACAACAATTAGCACAATAGGGGATCAAAATTAAGAAAGATGAAAACAAACAGGAAGTGACCTAGTTGATCCTAATCTTGGCAAAAAAAAAACAAAGTTTATCAAAGTAGACGTAGTGTAATAACAAATTGTTTTTGTGCACATAAAGGTGGTTTAAATTTGTGTATGGCTATGACTTTCGCAAATCACAGTATAAGTCCCTGACTGTTTCTACATAAGACTTTGACAGCTGTTTGAACATTAACTTTGTGACCTGTTCCTATGATATGTTTAGCTGTAGATGAAGAGGGTCGTCTCCCACCAGGGTTTATCACTGTCTCATACTCCATTTGTTTTTGAAGCCATTTAGGCACATGTTCTAACACCCTCAACTGCATGACTCGATTACTCCTCCCTATGTATGTGTGTGACTACACACACATGTAAATTAATGAACACAATGGTTGGTAACGTAATCATTGATGAAATGTTTAGGTTTTTGGTGAAGTATGTGTTTTGTTTTTTCCACAATGATAGGATTCACCGCGTGATATGTTTTCTTAATCGCTGATGTCAGCCTATGTCTCAAAATGATACTATTCAACTCCCCTCTGTATGGTAGAGTGAAATGGACGCTTCCCTTAGGGACCGTGTATAGAGTTGGCTTTGGTGCTACTTGACCTCTACAACGGTTTATAAACTTCATCGGATATCCATTTTCCATAAATGCTTTGATCAGTAATTTGATGTCTTCATCCATCGTATCTAGTGTACTGATATGATAGATCCTAATAAACAAACATGGAATGGAATAACATAATTCTTCAATTAAATGTATTCGTTTAAAAAAAAAATACTTACGAAACTGTATACTTTTTAAGGCTATACAATAATCTTTGTTACTTGAAGAGCTAGTTGATACTATCCGATTATTTAATAATGATACGTCACCTTCATTTGAATGTAGGTCAAATAAAGCATTGATATAGTGTTCATTTGGAGATTGACCACCTGAATTATCAAGATGATGATGATAATTCAACTCTTGATGTATTATACTAGACTTTTGATAGATCAATATTACTTTTATTATTTTTAACGTAATTCTTAGTTTATTTATTAATGTAGTCAATATTTCTTGATTTATAGACGTTGAACAATTAAATTGTGTATTAGTTATCTCTTTATTAACTTCATTACTTTCAAATTGATGAATAGATAAGTGATCATTTGAAATATCATCATCATTATCACCATTATTCAATGGTAGTAATGAATCATGATCACTTATTTCATTAGATTGATTCACTAGTTCAGTTTCTTCATCTATATATGAATTATTAATACTGTTAGTTAATTGTGATTTGTTATCAGTATTCTCTGATAATTCTTCTACACTTTCATTGACAACATCATTATCATCCTCTTCATTATCTTCTCTAATATCTTCATTATTATCAGCATCACTTTCTGTTAGTGTATAAAGTGTATTCTTATCTTCTTCATCAACTTTATCATATTGATCGTAAAAGCCACATCCTAGTTGTAATATTCCATAAATTTTAGAAGTTCTACAATAATTAGAATTTTTACCAAGTGAATATAATTTACTACTTTTATCATCTTTATACTTTGATACATTAGAAGTGAATAATAAATTAGTTGTGTTTATTAAATCCTTTTCAATATGTTTATATCCACTACGATAACGAATAGACAACTGACGAGTTAGACCTTTACTAGGATGGTCAGATTGTGTGTTGATGGTTGTCTCAGAAGCCTTTTCTGTAGACTTTTCTCTTGATTGGTAATTCAATTCAGTCGATCCGATAAGTCCCAATTTGCTATATGAAAAAAAATAAGAACAGTTATATATACATATCTTCATCCAAAACGTAAGTGAAAATAAGAAATATATGGTAAATAATACTACAGTTAACCTAAGTGATCCACAATGAAAAGTTCAGTGACGCCTTCGAAATAAAGACAGGAGCATGACAAGGCTGCCTATAATCACCCATAATCTTCCTAATTGTGGTCGACTGGATCATGCAACGAACTATGAGGAGCGAGAAGATGGGCATACACGCTAGCTGGACCCATGAAAAGAGCCTAGAAGACTTTGATTTCGCCAACAATGATGATTCATGTTTAATATCTTGTCGCACAAACTCGAAGATCTACAGGCGAAGACTAACAAGTTGACAGAAGAGGTGAAGCAGCGAAAACGGGACTTCAAGTGAATGTAGAGAAAACGGAGGTGATGAAGACATCCAACCAACAACAACGAGCTCCAATCACCATCAACAGGAGCGAGCGAAAAGGTCGTCGGATGTTTAGATCATTCTCACCTGACTGCCTGTCAAGATCTAGAGATCAGAGATCAAACTACTCAAGTTGTTCAGTAGTAGTAGTAGTAGTAGCAGCTGTGGTTAGCTATTAAAATTGCAAAAGGTTACACACTTTCATAAAGATTATAACACACAAAGTTTTGCATCACAGATAACATGACCCAATCATTATGCTTGCGAACACCTCACAACCAGAGTCAATTATGTAGAAATATGGTAATCAAAGCAGCAACACCAGTCCTACGTGACAGTGAAAGTCCACTTACAAGTTTATTGCCGGTCAATCATTGAAAGGGAAAATTGAAGATAAACTCTTAAGATTTGTTGTAATCTGCTTGATGGCTACCAATGGAATGCACGTTTCATCCCATTCAGGACTCGTCAGCTGGATGATGTTGTTCTCACTAGGTCATTGGGGTATGACACCCACGGTTATCAGTTGCAGTTCAATATTTGTAATCTTTCGTTGCTATGTTAGGTCGAATTGCTCAACCTCTTTAGATGTATTGTTATTTAGAAAAAGGTAAGTTATTCAAAATCAGTAAACTCAACTCACTTTAACTGTTTTTGGTAGGTAGATAGATAGGATAATATTTGCCTTAACAAGACAGCAATACACGAAGAATCAACATTATTTAACCATGTGTTCAAGTCATCATCATCATCATCAACAGCAATATCATTTTTGCGATAAATATTATCCTTCAAGAGTGAATCATCAACATTATCATTCTTATTCTCCCAATAATCCAGAAATCCATTGAATGACTTTGAAATAATCCTTTGAGTTAAATTGGCCTCTAAATCCCCTTGAATAAATGTCAATAACCAATGCAATGTAGGACATAAGGTAATACTATGAATTAATCGAAAGATAGATTGATAAAGTGAGATTCGATTGACTATTTCAACAATAGAATCATTACGTAAACAATTAATAATAAAGTTGGCCAGATTAAATTTCATTATAAAATAAGAAACAATTAATCCATATAGTTCATCATCAATCAGTTTATTGCACATAAATGCATTAAGGAAACCATTTAAAGCATTACATAAAACAATGGCATATTGATCTTCACGTTCAACTTTTGAATGTGTTATTTTAGATATGTTATTGTGATTAATTGAAGAATTCTCAGTTGTTGTTGTAAATCCAGTACCTTTTGCCCAAGCATAAAAAGGTGGTTTATGCAACTCAGATCCTAAAGTTGTTGGTATTGATGAACTTATTGAATTAAATCCATTCTGTATCATAGAATTATTATTTAACTGAACATTTATAGATTTATTGAATACTATTCTTGAGAAGAAATTGAAGGAAATAGTTCATATTCAAAGTTTATACAACCTGGTCTAATAAAATGTGTATACAGTGAATTAATCGTTTGAAGTATAGATGAAAGTAAATCTTTATCAATATTTAATTGATTTAAATTAATATATGTGTTTACTTCATTAATATCAAATATTTCTGGGAGATTTGAACAAGAACCATGAGATAGAACATACATATATCCAAGAATAAGTTGTAATACACCAGAATTTAAATGTTCCCAACGTAAATCAATTAGAGTATTATTAGAAGAAATAGTAGAATTATTTATATTGTCTTTTATAAGATCTTTATATAAATGACATAAACATTGAAAAGGTAAAGTATTTGAACCCATCCAAGTAACTATTTTATCCTCATTGATAAAAATACTTTTAAACTTTACATCATTATTCCATAGTGAAGGATACATATTTATATTGGTTAATTGAATTAAAATATTCGGTAAATATGATAAAATTGATTGATCACCTATTAATGAATTGATCATATTCAATAAAGTTAGATCATATCTAGTTAAACGTAATAATAGAATGTATGAAATTATACAATGAATTGGTATAATATAATCGATTTCACTATTCTTATCCTTAAGAGTGAAATTATCTTTATTAAAAGAATTCCAAGAAAATTTGACTAGTTCATCATCATCATCATTATCTACAATATTAGTTGATAAACCAATTATACGTAAAATATAATTATTAAACTGTTTTATAGCATTAGTGAATTTTTTCGATGTTTTTATCAATAATAGTTTACTAGTGAAAGCATTTTCTTTTTGACTTTTTATTAAATTAGGAATATGTAAGTGAATAAGTGAATTTGTAAGTGAATTAAGTATTCCAGACTTTAAAAATATACTTAATAATGATTGACAATCTTCTAATAATAATTGATATGATGATAAAGATAAATTATTTTTTCCTTCTCTTTCAATTATTTTTTTATTTATTGAAGTTGATACTAATGATTGTTTTATAACAGATGGATAAAATAAAATTTAGCATGTTCACATGGTCTTACAAGTAAACAAAGAATATATGATTGATTAATTAAAAGTGAATAATTAACTTGTTTATTTAAATGTTCAATAGTCCAATTATCTGAATAACCTTCAGGGAGAAATATACCATTATCCCAATCTTTAAATGACATAATTTTACCAATATTTGGTGGAGAATTTATAAAACATAATTCAAAATCTGTCATAGTATACATTCCTATAGAATTGGTAAGTTTCAATGGATGTGATATACTGTTATTACGTATAGATGAGAATGGATGTAATATATAATATATTAATAATCTTAAATGTTTAATACATAAAATTTTCTCAAATTTTGATGATAATGATAAATGACTAGTAATATTTATGAGTAAGAATGCTGTTGAAAGACTTGGATGAATTGAATAGTTTAAATCAATACTTGATATACAATGATGAATTTCTTTGTATAGAAATGATATTAAATCACATTTCAATAATTCACAGGCATCTAAATTTAATACAATCGGTGGACCAGTAACTGGCCATGGTAAATGATTTGATGTATAGGGATGATTTGAAGTAGCCGCGAATACTGCAATAGTTTGTTTAAATGCTATAGGCTTCAAAGGTGGTTTCAATATAAGTTCAGAGAGAAAATTAGGTAGTTCAAAATCTGAAAGATGAAAGATATGATGTAAATACAGTTATATATTTAGAGAATAAATAAATAAATAAAATTGCCATCAATCAATATAACTTGAAGTCATGATAAAAAATTGAGGTACACTGAATAGATACAAAGCCCTAGTTTGAAGATAAATGTGTCAACAGTGACGATAAATTTATAGCAGTCTAAACGATAAGAGACAAGTCAAACAGTCTGCATTTTCTGGGCTCAGTTTAAGAAAATCGAAATACACTCAATAACCTTATACACATTTGTACAATAGGCAATGAGCTACACTTATTCTTTCAGGGGCTAGTGATATAATCCGGCTGCTTAAATCTTGGTAGGTGGAGAAAAGTTTCAACCCATGACTCATCAGTTAAAAATCATCTCTTTAAAGTAATGAGCCATATTTTCAAAACAAAGTATTGTCAAGTTTATACAGATTTATTCCACAATCAATGACATCACATACAATAGCAAATCAACATCAATCGGACAGTCTGTAGTAACCAATCAGGCACACAATATCACTATAAGACTTGGCATTACCGCCTAATGGTTAAAGTTGCTACACATCATATCAAGACATCAAACAAAAACGCACTAAGATGAAAGATAAAGGAATAATGAAGAATTGGTCAGAAGCAGAAGGAAGTAGTAGAACATAGGAAAGAAGAATAAGGAAATACTGAACCCAGTGTGACGATTAGGATTAAGATAATGTGTGGACACATATGCGCCATCAAGGTCGACTTTAAGATATATTCATATCAACCAGAAGGCATGAGATATATTACATTTGACGCTTTTGAAAAATTCTGAGAGTTTGAGGGGATTTAGTCATTTTTCAAGTTGGTATTCATCATAAACTGACATCAGTTGGAGGAACACTAGAAGCACTGGACAGCTGTTGCATCCCACTAGTATGGGACTTCCCAGTATTGCACACCAATGACCCCGCCAGAGATCGAACCCACGACCTTCAGGTTCCAGGCTCGATCCCTGGAGGAGTCATTGGTGCACATTGCTGAGGAGTCCCATAATAGGACGAAATAGATGTTCAGTACTCCCACGTTTTCATTGTTCCTCCAACCGATACTACTTCATAATGAATACCAGCTTTTGAATAAATCATACAATGATAAAGTATTAATTTGCTAAAAAAAAACCTGCCTTGAGGATAATTTACCGAAGAGAATCATACCAAATAAATAAATTCAATTTGGAACAACGTTGAATGCTAGTGCTGAGGTTCTATTCTTACATCAAGAATTATACTGGATCATTGTTTTAACCTTAATCTACAATAACATCGAGTAACCAGCAATGTCAAACTCCTGAAAATCAAACAAAGGGTCTTTATTATGGTAACCTAGTTGTGGTTAGCAGGGGAGTCCAGGACGTACGTCTCGTCCCATTTGGCACTCATCAGCTGGACATAACTACACATCAGTGCGTGGTGTTGTTCCTACTAAGACGCATCGCTTCAAATGCCAAGGCGTTATCGTCTAGGCCACCGAAGTATGATAACCACCTGTTGAACAACATGTATCAGTTATAACTGTTTGTTGATATACTTGTAATTCTCCATTGTTGTACTGGATCAAATTGTTCGATCTCTGTCGGGTATACAGGTCCCTATGCGGATCCCTTGATAATGTCTGAATATTTGATATGGTAACTTACTTAGTTGTCCCAAATAAGACGAAACACACGTCCTGTATTCTTCTGCTAGCCAAAACCAAGTAAATTAGCACAATAAATATTCAGGCAATATCGAGGCATCATAATAGGACCCTATAGGCCAACGGAAGTCGAATAATTCGATCCAGTATAACAACAGAGAATTACAAGTATATCAACACATAGTTAAAAACGTATTTAATAGCAATTTTTTTTAAAAAAAAACTGTTGCTTTGTGAATGTTCACTTACTGTGATTTGAAAAACAATCTTTAAATGATTTAATAAGAAGCTCAGTCGAACGAATAACATAAACACTTGAATTTTCTATAAGTTGATTTTCATTCAACAACGGATCAGATGACTTCTGAAAGGATATTGCCGATCTAAGAGTTTGATATAAAGTGATACATGCTTCTTGTAGTTTACAAAACTCATACATATTTGAATTAAGATGACGAGTACAGGAGTTATGCAATGATATCGAAGTGAATGTTGAAAATATCACAGGTAGAAGATGATCACATATTAGTTTACCAAGTGTTATCCTTAGTAGACTTGATTGATTCGACTGCATGAAATACGTCAAAATATGTAGACGTCTGAGAGCAGAATAGACAGATGAAGAAATTGTGGAAGAGTACGAAGAAGTATAGCTGGAGAAATAGTCTGTTAACCAAATGCAACAATTATAGAAAAAGTTATCGGATGCAGTTGCTGAATTCGTAGGGAAGACAGAGTAGACAATATGATCAGATGAAAAAATTGAGTTGAATATCTTTAGTTGAATGTTGAACGACCGTTCATGATACTGGTGCTCTGTAGAAGGTATGGGAACTATTAAAAGTTTTGATAAGAGTACAGCAACAGCGTTTGGTTGAATTGAGCATAACGAACATAATAAACCAGTTAGAGCTTCAGTGAACTGTCTGATTTCACCATCACTATCACCTTCCATAGGTACACCGTTTTGACAATACTGCATGAGTGAAGTGCATAAGTCATATACGGAACTGAAAAGAAACAAATAAGTATTTGAAAAGGCAGTTATTTCAGAAGGGATTCAGTGAGCACAGGAAGTTTCTAGAGTACAATATTTTCTTACTTACCGGCGACCGATACCTGCCATATTACTTGACCTGAGGACGGTATTCGACTCTGTTAACCAAGATTTTGTGGCAGTGTCTCATAGTAAAGCGAGTACCAAGAAAACAAATAACGCCAACCGGAGCTCTCTATTTAAAGTCAAGCAGCCAAGTAAAAGCTTACGGAGAATTATCATATGAATTAACACCAACCAGTGGTGTCTGACAGCGACACCTGCTGTCATCATTCCCATCCAACTTCACTATAGATGTATTAGTGGAGATAATCTCTGGTATGTCTGACTATACATGTATTAACCTACTCCTTGGAGGTCATCTGCTTGACTCGGAGTACACAGATGACATTGTCCAGTTAGAAAGAAACGCGAACAAGATGCAGAGTCTTCTTAATGGGGTAAGAAGAAATCTGAGAATGTCCGGTATGCGTTTTGAAACCTGTCAGGTGTAAGATGATGCTTCAGAACTACTCTACATAAACTCTTAGTTTAAGGACAGGGAGTGAAGTGGTGGAATATATCGAACGTTAGGCATTCACAAGCATATTGCACTACAGTTCTCTTTGTCATGTTACACGGCTGTGAAACATAGTCCGTTAAAAGTAAAAGATATGAAGAGACTACAAGTTTTTGACCATGCTTGTCTTCCTAGTGCTGGTCACATGTAGTGGAATCATCGTGTACATAATGTCGAGGTCAGATGAAGGGTACTAGACAAGACAGGCAAGTAAGTCGATAAGGTTGTGAACCTTTGTCGAGTGAGGTGGCTTGGAAATGCGTTGATCATTCCGAGTCACCACCCACGTCGATGTGCAATTTTAGGCAAAGTAGGATTAGGTTAAAAGAATGCTAGGTACGGCGAAACCAAGATGTAGTATCAGTTCACTAAGTTTCTGACCATTGGTCTGAACCGAGTATAAAGGTGTAAACTGCCTGGCTGGAGTCCTCAAGATAAAAGGAATCAATAGTTAGAAAGTCTTAGCGATAAGGTTGAAAATCGACCCCAGTGGTGCAGTTGTATTCACTATTTGACATCCTTTAAAGTTTGAACATTTTTCAAATCTCTTTAACTCTCATACACCTTTGTGCACCTAGATATCAGTCTTTCGCTAACCACCTGATCTGTGCATAGTGGTGTAAAGTGTGACAACTTGGGACGACGCACTTTTGCGCGTCGTTCTACTTTAACTTTATCTGTTCGAGTTCAGATAATAGAACAGATAAAAGCAAGACGTGAAATTAATTGTTTGAAATTCATCAGATGACTTCTACTTTTGACACTGTGTTATCTGAAGGTTTGTGGAAGTTTGCTAACTGATTTTACGTTGGAATTTATCATGGACTGACACCGGTTGGAGGAACAACGGAAATCTGGGAGCACTGAACAGCTATTTCGTCCTAGTATGGGACTCCTCAGCAGTGAGCACCCATGACCCCGCCCCGCCGGGAATCGAGCCCAGGACCTTCAGGTTCCGTGCCCAGCGAGTTACCATTGAGCCAATGGGTTGAAATCCAATGGTCCACATTTCCTAGTTCTGTCAGTCCTATCAGTCAGTGTTTGTCCAGTGCTCCTAGGTTTCCAATATCCCTTCAACTGATGTCAGTCCTTAATGAATTCCAACCTAGAATTCCACTGATGGTTTAGACATCGCCCACTTGAATAAACAATTCAGATTATGCTTTGCTGTGATAAGGTTAGAAAGAACAACGACGCAAGGCTTGAATGATGTTTTATTTGAACAGTTTATTTCCAACGTTTTTGTCGAAAAAAATGTTTTATAACAATTACTCCCGAATATTTTGTTCTTCGGAAACAACAACAGATAAACTGCAAATACCTTCCTTTTTTTTCTAGCTAAAATAGTTAATTTAGAACGTGCTCACTATGATAGTCGTTGGTTTGATCCCTAATAAGGTCATAGAAGTAGACTAGTGATTATTTGTAAACTAGGACAAAACTGTTACCCAACAGTTCAAAGATTTCAATGATTCTGCATTCAGTTTCAGATCATAATGGAAAACAACTATTCCGAAACCAATAAATCCCTACCAACAACCAATCAAATTAAATTGGATATTTGCGTATTAACAATTCATTGTGACTTTGTGCAAACAGAATAGTTGTGAACTATCATACTATTGCCAATGCTTATCTTGTTTTTCTGTTAAGTGACTTTTAAATACGTAAATCTATTCAAGTACAAGGTTGATTTATTACTGAAATAAAGAAACACACTGAAAACGAAGAATTCAATGCGCTAATCAAATTTCATTGCACGTAAGCTCACTGTCTTACAGACTTTATGCTGGATCATTCAGTTTATTGTCACTTTAATGTTGTCATTATGTTTGCATATTTACTGTATTATCTTTTTTGTTATCATTTTCAAGCTTATATTTATCTGCAGCCATGTTTCATTCAGTTCGTTGTCATTGATTGAAGTTCTGACCTGTCTTCACAGTTTTGAATCACTAAACAGTCACTTCCACGAAAATATTCTTTAGCATGGTATCTGATTTCACTATTTTGAAACCATAAGTGCCGTTTTTGATCTGGCTACCGTCAACATTCGAACCTTGATGTGGATTAGACAACAAAGTCTTAGTTAGGACTTTGGAAAGCCTGGCTACTGATGTTTTCCGTGTCTCCGACTCACAAACCAGATCCCAGTGAAGTGTTATGCACACCTCCATATGTCGACTAAGAAGCAACCAAGCACTTATCCAGTGGTCCTGTGGGGTCGGCGTCTGGGTTTCTTTGCAACACATTACATGCCACAATCGAAGCAGCATTATTCGAATAAATCACCATGAGGAATAAAGGCAAGAGAAACGACATCTCCTTGTCATCTCTGTCCATACTCCAATTGACTACAGCCCCAGTTAAGTTAAAGATGAGTTCTACCATTAATTGACTGACCTTCTTAATAAAACTCGCTAGCTGAGGACTTGAATACAGAGGCTCGACATCTATATGCAGATGACAACCGTTTAGATCGCCGATGGAGATTATTTGGTCGCAGATTAGAACCAGCTCGTGCAACTTTGAGATCATAATCTATTTCTAATTAGCACCGATGCCAGACACAACAATCACAGTTGTGTTAATTGCTGTCCTATCTTTTCAACTATAGTCTGCACTAAGACAGATCACATTACGGTTAACTACTGAGGGTACGGGTGCGCAAGCCTCTTGAGCGACAAGTCGAGCAGCTGGAACACAGGTCAAGTGCGATGAAAGCAGCGCCTTCACCTAAAAACCGTCGGTAACTGCCTCAGCTCATCTAAACCATAGACAGTGAGAAGCATGTGCAGCAGATGGTTCTCCGAAAAAAGCAACCTTCACAGGTACCTGGAAATTTAAGGGGAGCACGTTTAAAAGCAATTTAGCTGGTCTAATATTCCAGCAGTATTGATTTTAAATTCCTGAGCTTTATAATTAGTTAACATCGATCCACTGAATGAAGTGTAGTCCTGAAAGAAACCCAAATTCGCTAAAACTACCCAGAAGCTTTTGTTTCTTCCTCACACGATCTGCTCCATGTCGCCCTCGCCCCAGACGCCTAACTTGCCGTTTTCCATTTCGGTTCCACTTGAGGGTCTGGCCTGATGCGTGATATCCCCAATCGGTCTTCTTAGTTTATGTCCAGTCCAATTGATCTCCACTTTCTTTTGCGTATTTTTGAGCGATAGGTTCTTGGGTGGTTCGTTGACAGCCAGCCAGAGTTCCTTGTTGCTCATTCTTATTATTCTGGCCATCTGATCTCCATCTTCAGTATGGAGTGAGCGTAGGAGGCAGCTGTTCATGTATGTCTGTAGTTCTTTGGAAATGCTTTACGTAATACGCCAATTCTCTAAACCATATAGAAGCACTCACTTAACTGACTTTGGTGTTGGTGTTCTTCGGATTTCTTCTGTTGATGGTGATTGGTGCGTGTTGTTGTCTTCTCTATGTTCACCTTAAGTCTCGTTTTCGCTGCCTCTTCTGCCAACTTGTTAGTTTTCGCCTGCAGATCTTCGAGTTTGCGTGACATTAGACATAAATCGTCGGAGAAATCCAGGTCTTCTAGGGTCACTGGTGATTTAAATTAATATATTTCAGAAAATGTGCATTCTACTAATGATAGTTATTCCCCAAGAGTTAAAAATATCGCTTGAAATAAGGATTTTACCAAGTTTTAATACTTCATACCGATTCTGGCACTCGCACACACATGCATTTACCGTAAAAAATCTGAGACTACTCAATATGTTGGGGAAAAAATCTTAAATTGGACAAATAAGAGAGGAGAACGTACCTAATTAAATCGACTGTCACAGATTTTTGCCAAAACTGAGAAGCTTCTGTCACCACATTTGTCCTATCACCCAGACTCCATAGCACACTTGAAAAGACAAGTAGTAACTGAGACCAATAATTAAACTCAAAGTCAAGAGAAATACTCGCTTGCTTTATAATAGATTCATGTAAATGACTTAAAGAATTAATGACACGTTCAATACGAACAGATTGTCCAACATCTTGGTGTAAACACAGCCATATGAATAAACGCTGATTGGGAGTAGATGCCAATGCAGCCATTGGACCACACCAATAGGCTGTATTGAACTCGTTAACACCTGTGCAAGCTGGCAATAACAAGGAAAAGGAAATAAGGGGGTAAGCATCAGATTGTAATCTTTGGTACAATATAATTGTATCTTATTGAGTTAATTATGAAATCTCCGGGTGTTGAGAAAGAAAACCTAAAGCATATTCGAGTTTATCTGTGGTAGTGACCATTTCTTTCTCAAGTTGTGCGTATTTAGTAAAAATTTCATTCGATATAAAGCTGATGATAAATGCTCCAATAGCGGGTTAGTTACTGTGTTTAGAATGAATTCATCATAAATGAGAAAAGGATGGTTACGTTTAAGTAATGTATAGTAGTGGCCAGTTGTGGAACCAGCAAGCATTCGATTGAGAACACTTTCTCATTCAACAGTTACAACAGAAAATGCCTAAACTAAACTATGAAACATATTTTACAAAAGTAACCCCGTGCATGTTCATCTACACAGATAGAAGTTTCACCAGAGCTCAAGAATTGCAAACCATCAATACTTATCCAAGCCGATTCTAGTTTACCTGACTACAATTTGGTATCCAGACAAAACATGCCATAATTTGGAAAATGATAGATACAATATTCTATGACATCTCAAGAATTTTTGCTTAAAATAATGAATTTCAACTTCCGGAATAGTCTGAATATTCGGCATGCATATCGTTTCGTACTGCACGCTGCCAGGGCAGAAGTACTACTGAATTGTTTCTGCAGTTATTTTAGCTAGTGTTCAACCCTATGTCGTTCCTATTTGATGTCGCCATAGACGTACTAATGGACATAACCCCAGATACGTCTGATTTCACAGGGATTGACCCACTCCCTAGAGGTTATCTGGTTGGCTAGGAGTATGTAGACGATATTTTCCTGCTAGGTGAAGACGATGACAGAATTCAGGGTATTCTGGATTCGTTGAGCAGAAATCTGTGTATGTTTAACATGCATTTCGCTGGCACCTTTCAAATACTTCAGGATTGGTGTGCAACATGATTAGGTCGCGAAGTGGCATTTCAGCATGGAATCATATATGGAACCGTTTACCTAGAGAAGCACGTGAATCAAACACTTTGACTAGGTTTATAAGACAGCTTAACTCTACACTACAGGACAGCATCATAAAAAGCACCACTATTACTGCTACTAAAACTACAGACACATTAGGAACTCTCAATATATAAATAATTTCCAACCTCAAAGGTGCAGAGGCTACAACTGCTTTCGTTGTTTTTCCGCCAAAATTTCAGATAGTTGCAACATGAAGATATCATTAGACTATGAAGAAGCTGAACTATGATGAAAACTTGACGAATTATCTGGTAATCTGAACGCTAAACGAACAAAGGATTTAATTCAAAACATTGAAGACCCATATCATGAAGATATCCTTACGTGATGACAATAGGACACAAATGAGGAATATGTGTTACTAATTCTCAACATTCCACTTTTTTTGAACCAATGAAACTATGCTCCCACGAAAATTACTGTCCAATAAGCAAGAATTACCAATCCTATTCACTCATTTGACCCTCTCACCATATGAACATTTATCAATCCTCGAATTACTCAAATTTCTGGACGGTCATAATGGCAATGAAAATCTGGACAGATTGTAAAATCCAGGAGACCAACTCATCTATTAACTTTAAAGTAAACATATTCACAATAATGCTATGCAACAGACGTCTCTAGTACTTGATCCAACAGTGAACATACCTCCTTGATAATCCTGCATAACTTAACGTGAATAGTATAGAAAACGCATTGCCATTAGTCTGCAGCTCTTCAAATGTTTATTTCTTTGCATCGCAATATCTAATTCTGATAGCGTAAATCTATATTGCTGTGAATGTTAACACTTTAATAGGTATTCACTTGAATTACATGATTATGTGGGAACCTACAGATTCCCGAAATCATCAATATGGGTTCTTTTGGTCTCTGAAGCTATAAGCATAATGAATTTATGGTAAAAAAGACGTTTATCTAGCGTAACGGGGCATTACAAAGAGGAATCAAACACGTCGACTGCTTGTAATGTAAATTTGGAATTTTGCGTGACCTTGGTGGCACCAATGGTGAAAAAGAAAGTATGACTGAAAATGATCTAAACTTTAACACTCTGTATATGCTAAAAAGTGGTATTTTCTTGTTCATTTCATAACTTGTGGAATGTTCTGATGTCTTGATGACTTCCCTTCTGTCTTATTTAGGCCCCGTAAAATCTTGAAGATTTCCAAATATATATCAATGTGATGATGTCTGTAAACCGGCTTCTCTCATATCAAATTACTAATATGAGAATAAAATATTTATTTATAATGCAGCTAGGATGCACAAAATAACATCGCCTGAAGTTGTCACAATAACTGTAGTAACATTTCACACTATATGACATGTTAGCCTATGAAATATAATTAAAATTGTAACAAATTAAGAAAACTAAATGTTTGCATGATAGCAACCAATCAAACCGACCTTGTTTCACCATTGATTCACTTCTAAATGACACATTCTCAAAGTGTATTGTATTTTCTTTCAGTAATTTTGAGATTAAATAATCAGCAAGACTACTGCAGTCATCATTTATATTAATTAGTAATCCGAGTAAAATACGTTCACATATAACAGCTGATGAAGGAGATGAATTCCAGGTATGAGGAAAGCGAGAAGAATGAGAAGAGGATGACGATGAAGAATTATATGAATTCAATGGATGAAACCATTCATTCTGGATTGCTGTATGTCTAGATGAATCATCAATCATATTGTTTAAACGCCCAATGATTTCAAAGATTTCTTGATGACATGAAACCATTTGTATTAATTGACATGTATGCCATGACAACTGTTTATCTAAGCTGACAGTATACAAGCACTGTATAAGCGAATCGATGAATGATTGTGAATAAAAAATATCCGGTAATGGTTGTGAAATAATTTCATTATGAATTAAATGGAGCAGAACAGTAGGTCTGTAGTAGTAGTAGTAGTAGTATGGATTAAAAGAGAACAATGCGGAGTAAAAAAAAGAAACAAATAGTAAGTGATAAAATGTACACTAACAAATGTGACAAAAGCAGACGACATGTACACTCCAAGCACATCATATCCAACCTTCTTCGATGTACTTGTTAACACAACACGAAGAATTCATAAAACACTTGTTATTCAGGTGTTATCCGTAATGGTTAAGTTCATATACAACTTATCAATGATGAGCCTCCTCTAGTAAGCTACTTCGTAACACACAGACTTACCTACACGAATTCCCCTTTATGAATTTGAAACGAGCAGAAATAACAATTATACAAACATGCCCCCCTAAATGGGTTGTTACTCTTATCTTTATTTTTATCCGACTGACTGCTCAAATCTCTGTAGGTGGGGCGGGGTTCAAACCCATGACCCAATGGTTGGAAGTCATCTCTCTAAACAAGTGAACCACAGGCCCATTCAGTACTTAGTGAGGTTATGGCTAATTGGCTTAAGCATGAATTATTGGTTATCGAGTTTTATTTCGGTCTCACTTGGAAAACTGGATGAATGTGCTTTTTAGCAGCCCAGTACTTAAATCTGTATATGAAAACTGGGTTGAATTATGTAAGCATGGCTATACCGTTCTAGGCTTGTGTTTTACACAAATAATATCAGTAATCAACCTGAACAAGACTTCATGCATACACGGGACAGTAGGGATTTCCCCTCTAACAAACATTTTTTGCGTGCATGTAACTAACATAAGAATAAGTTATAAGAACATCTCCAAAATGTAGGTAAGGTCCAACTTTAATTCATCGGAGACAAAAATGCCATCTTTGAAGATAAGGTGTGATGAAGCTTGCCATCATAAATAAAAATCCCTTGAAAAACAAATATCACTTCTTATTCAATCCAGACTATGACGACATTATTCAGCAAAGAAATATATGCCGTAACTTACCTCATTCTACTGTGGGATAGGTTTCCAATACTGAAACTGTCTGAATTCTCTGAAATATTTGCAAAAACATCTTCGTAAAATCGTTTGTCATCTGCATATCGTCCTAGTACACGTAAAGTCTTCATATGAAGACGTTTATTGAGATTGGCAGGACGATAAATTCTTATCAGAATGTGTGACACCAAACGTGGCGAGAAAGTAATTGTATATGCTTTTGAGGATGAAGGGAATGAGTTTGGATGGGACGAGTTGGTTGATGGAAAGTTGCCACTTTTATGTGCACTCACAAAAGATCGTCGAGAAGCACCGGGTAAATCACGATATAGTTCAACCTCAACAGCTGCAGGACTAGCTAGGAGAAACAATATAAAAAAACAATCTATTAAATTCGAACTTACCTGTGGAGTTAGAATATGAGTAGGTTGGTTTTTCTTGTACAACTACCGATTCGGAAAAAAGATGGAACTAAAATGAACGACTTTGATCATGCGTCTATTCTCATCCTTTTTAATTAGTTATTTAGTAGGTCAGTCAGGCATTCAATATCAACATGGGACCATCATCAAGATCAACATAGGACCAAGCATTACTGTACAACGGTCAAAGGAAGTAGAAAGTAGTAAGAGAGAGGAAGGAAGAACGAGATGATGAGGTTAAGTATAACGGTTAAGGTGAGGATAATGTGTATATACATCTGTGCCACTGACATCACTTCTGAGCCATATCACCTAGAGTCAGCCTCTAATCACTAGTTCCTCTTGTCTCGCGGACCCCAAACGGCTAGTCTGCATCGCCTTGTATGACTCAATCGAACAGTCAACGACTTCATGCATTGATCCAATGTTTTAGTCTGGCAGCCTCGAGCCTTTCCCAAGCCTGGACCTACTTCGGTCAACATTGTGCTACGGGGCAGACGGTGGCTCGGTATACGTAACACATGCCCCAACCATCTTAGTCAACGAAGGTTCACAACCCCATCAACTGTCTAACCTCTCCTCCCTAAAACTCTACGTCTGACTTCTGCGTTACTCACATGGTGACGCACCATCGCCTATGCTATGAAGGTGACGGTGCCCAAGCACCTGAAGCCTTCTTATATCTTTTACCTTTAATGCGCATCTTTCACAGCCATACAGTGAAATAGAGCGAACTGCAGCACAGTACACTCGACCCTTAATAAACAATCGGATATCGTGGTGGCGCTACAGATGGCGTAAGGTGGCAAAAACCAACCGGGCGTTTTGTATCTGTGTGCAGATTTCGTCGACCACTCACTCACCAGGACAGGGCTGATCCAACTTCGCAGATGAGTGAAGTGTTCAAAGCACTCAACTACTTCACTCTCTATTGTTAGCGGGGGTACCAATCCTGGAGCAACAATTTGCATTTGAGTGGCGAGAAATGCATCCCAAAACATTCTCGAATTGCCACTCGATGTGTCCAGAAGACTCTGCATTTTGTCAGCGTTTTCCCCTGACAGCACAATTTCATCTGCGTGTTCTAGGTCTACTGAAAATTCGCGTAAAGAGTCTTCAATAAGGTGATGTTCTTACTCAGTACCCTTTTCAATGATACCAGAAATTACTGCGTAATGGTCCAAGTTGCAAAACGTCATATAAGCACAACAGGCGAAAACACACTTTTTAAATCTAAGTGAGAATGCAATCTAAGTATCATTAGCATCACCACCAATATCAACATAGGACCAGGTAATACTGCGTAACACTTCAAGTTGCCACAATTCATTTAACCACATCAAGTAACAAAGTAATAAGATGATAAAGAAGAAGCGATCAGGAGAAGTAGAAAGTAATAAAAGAGAGGAAGGAGCAATAAAAAATATGTTGAGTTGAGCATACCGGTTACGATGAGGATAATATATGGATACATCTACACTAATAACATCGATTCCGAGCCACATCACCTACAGTCTCCATCCAACCAGTGATTTTCGTTGTCACGTGGACCCAAACCGGTTGGTCTGCATCTCTCTACATGGCTCAAACTAACAGTCAACAACTTCATGTACTGATGCCATGTTTTAGTGCGGTCGCATCTAACCTTCTTCCAGTCTGAACCTTTCTCAGTTAACACTGCGCGATGATGTAAACGATAACTAGGCATGAGTAACACATGCTCCAATCATCTTAGTCAATGAAAATTCACGGCCGCATCAACTGACTTTTCTCTCTTTGCACCTAACTTCTGCACTACTGACATGGTGACATCACGTTAGACGGCCTATACTGCGAAGAAAGCAGTGGTCAAACGCCAGAAGCCTTCTCACGTTCTCTTCCTTTAATGGCCATGTTTTACAGACATAGAGTAGAACAGAACGAACTGCAACACAGTAAGCTCAACTCGACAATCGAAATAACACGGCGATGTCATAGGTGACGTAAGTTGATGAAAGCTAACCGAGCCTTTTTGCATCTGTGCAGAGATTTCGTCGCCTAATGACCCACCAGGGCTGACAGAACTTCTCAAGTAGGTGGTGTTAAATGCACTCAACCACTTCAATACTTCTACGAATCCAAACGACGATAAGAAGTAATATGTTTTCAATGGAAAATTTTACTTTATCAAGAATATCGGTCTATTAGAAGCACCGGTTCCCAATAACGACAATATTCAGGAAGGTGGAGGGTAAAAGTAGTTTTAGTCAAAAAGATAACTCAATTAATGAGGTCATGAAACTTCATCAAATGACGTGCTCAAAATAATATGCGCTACAATTGTAATAAAGACAGATTTTCTTCATGAGCTATCAATATCATTTTATTCTAAATATAATACTTTGTTGCTATCATAACTAGGCATAATTAGCGCAAAACTGTTAACTGATATACAATAACACCATAGACTGAATAAACAACAGCAACAAATTCTAGAACGAAGTGAAAAAAATATTTACGTGTACATTCATAGTGGAATCCACTAGACAGGCAAGATTCGGCATGAATGCAAACGATTTCTGTTATGATACGGAGTTGTGAGAACGAATGGAAATACTTAACGATTGGTAGTCGAGGATTGAGACGATGCAACCCAAGTGATTTGCGAAGAGAAATCAAAAACTGGAAATCAGATAGGTTTTTAGTATCTCGGACTGAAAATGTTTATGAGTGAAAACAAACCCTATTTATACAGCTTACAGTAACCTTGAAAGACAAGGGATAATTAGTACATTTAAAGAGGCAAGAGCCAATCAGAACACTGGCAGTTCATAAGAAATATGACCTATGCACGGGAAAAGAGCGCGAATAAACCAGTTCAAATATATACAAAGTGTAAGTATGGAATATAAGGGATGTAGGCATCCTTAACAATTTTCATGCACAAGTTAGTATTTCTATGATGCAGATAATTACTATTAACAACACTTATGATTAAGTGGGACACAAAATATAAGGAAACAAGTATTAACCTATTATTGATATGTGCAATAATTCATTACTTAAATAAACAATAGAGATGAAGACTATTGTTGTGACCATTCAAGAAACCAATTCCATCAAAGTCAGTCGGACTGACAACTAACTTGATGAGAGTCAATTAGTGCTTAGAGCACTAAACTTCAACTTCTTTCATAAAGTTAACTACTGTATACATCTTGATGAATAATACAGAAATCCAGAATGAGCGTTTCGTCCTAACTGGGGTTCATTAGATGGATATATCTCCACCCCAATGAATGATTTTGTTCCCACTGAAACTCGAACGTAATACCCATCGCTTCAAACACCAAAGCTTCACAAGTACCAATGAGTAATAACAACTGATATCCATTGTTGTCATGACACAATGGCCTAGTTAATGATATTTTGGGTGCTGATCATCAAGATGAATAAAATATTATAAATAGCCAACAGTAACGAGGTATCCCCCCGTATAGGATACCCATCTGCTAACAGAAATCGAGCAATTCGACGGAGTAAAGCAACGGAAAAAACTACAAGTAGAAGTATTCTCATGAGCAAGCATTGTTATAAAAATAACTATACTACCTTAAATTACTAAACTCTATAAACTTTTATAAACAAATATAATAAAAGATGAGAAAATAACGTCACGACTACCTGATTTAGCTGAATTCTTCACTGATAAATGTACACATTCCAATTGAACTAAATATGGTAATCTAACAACAATTTGTAAAGATTCATCATTACTCCGAAAAGTAAAGTTTGTTTTTAATAACTCTGATAAGTTGAATTTCTCTTGTGTTTTATTTGAAAACTCGGTATTATTATTACTGTTCTCCTTAGATTTATTTTGATTATTATCTAGTAAATGCGTATCATGTATTTTCGGTGCAGATGTATATGTAATGGATCCTAAATACATAGGGAAAACAATACTTTGACAATTATGATTTCCAATAATTGATAATGTTTTGCACAATGATGTCACCTGTTCATCCAATATTTCTGAATAAATTAATGCTATCGGTGCAAAATCAATTAAAGTGTTTCTTTGACGACTTTTTAACGTTCGATTGTCATCGATATCATGATCATCATCTATTGTAAGAACATTGTTTTTACTTAAATTTTGATATGTTTGAAGTGTATCTGCACAATGACAATTATTCTCTGCTGTTTGTTTATCCTTTTTACATGGATAATTTAAGTTGACTACAGTTTGCCAGTAGTCGGATGAAGATTGTGTGAAAATGTTGATTGGTCCAAACAAGCCAATAGGCAGAGAATGAGTTAAATATTGAAAATTTAACAATGATGATTTTTGTTGATAACATGGTATGTTATGCATTAATGATTGATGAAACACAGCTTGACCTAATTCACATACATTGATATTAGACAGTTTTGCATATTCTGATGAAGAGGTGTTGGTGGAACACAAAGAAATTGGACAAAATTTTCGATTTCCATTGATCGATAAGTTACAAGTATCACTAACAAATGCATTGAATATAACATTGGGATATTTATTATCAGAGAATAAATTCACTTCAGTTGTAAGACATACAGCTAATAACAGAAAAAGTGAACATGAATTCAACAGAGGAGAGCTTAAAAGTGATTGTATCAGATGTGTTTTAACGGTGGTAATAATACCATCATCAGCAAACGAAGAAGAAGAAGGATCAGTGGAATCCAAATAAGTCATGGTAGTGTAAACACAATAAAACAACCAATCGCATACACTGTAAGCTTTAAAGTGAGTAATAATTAAATCAGCTAGTCGTTTCAGTGTTTTCCAACCGTTTATAAGACATGATAGCGTAACCATTGTACCCAGTGTAGAAGGCACATGAGCAAGACGTAACGATGATAAAAACAATGTTGTATTTTCAATGAAATATCTATACACTTCACGCTTATAACTAGTGCTTGAATACTTCATTACAATTTTGCATAGATTACCAAGAATTAAACCCAAACACTTATCATTATACAAAGAATTAGATAATATTTTTGAATAGACAGTACTGTCAGAGCATTCACCAAATAGATAACAACAGGTTAATCGATGAATAAACAGTGAAGAATATGTTGAATTAGGATTACTGCCTTCAAAAACATCTTCAGTATTCATATTATGCAGTCGATGAATATGATTACTAGCCATTGTTGACCATAGAATGAAATTTTTATGCCATGATTCATATTCATCATCGACTACAGTTGAATAGTATGAGAAGCAAAGAAAATAGCCATCAAAATGATTTATCCATTGTTCATTAACATCTTTCATATTTGATAATAATTGTTCATTTAACTGAATGATATGATGACATAAATAATTGAATAAAATTTTAACAAACTTAAAAAGATATTCAATAGGCATAGATGACATTGTATGTCTAGTACACGAAGTAATACATTTTCCAATTTCATATATAAATGAAGTATTGTTATTCTGAATAGAAGCTTCATTGTCAATCTCTTCGAACAGTTTAAGACGTGAACAGATAGCTGTGAAAAGAACAGCTTGTAAATCACGTGGACCTTGAATTATATTATAATGATGCAGATTATTCCTAAATATAAGAAAATATATTTTAAAAAAAACAAACAATTTTATAAACAGATAAAACAAATGATATAATGATAATAATCCTTTTGACTATCTGAGATAGCCGTGGTATGGCAGACTAGTGTTTATATTGGGTGATGATAGACAGTGAAATGGAAATTTGGACTGGAGTCGGATTCGAACCAGCGACCATAGGGTTTCCAGGCCTGAGGCTCTATCAACTGAGATACGAGATACGATTGCTGACCAGATTTTTATTTCACTCTAATTATCATACAGTATAAATACTAGCCTGTCAAATCATGGCTATCTCAGATATCCAAAATGATAATTAATATTATGTTCTCCCTCTACAATTCACTCAAATTTGGACTGGGATGAGAAGTCCTGACTAGGCAGTGTCAGTACGATCAAGCGATAGTAACGTGTCATGAATTCAGATGCGGATGTTTAAGCCAGCCTGTGTATATATACATGAATGCGTCCATTTGCCTTAGTAGAACAAATAAGGTAGTAAAAATGACTTCTGATGATCAATACAGAGCGGAAGTATAACAGAATTATCACCATGAGACATCAGTCATCAAATACCTTCTAGTTCATAATTGTCAATAAGTTTATGACCATGTTACAAAATCCAACCCTGTACTGATAGTCAATTAAAAGTTCTACTAGTAGACATGATGAATGAAAATGAAGCAAATTTTCGAAACAATAAGCAACTATTCAGTTTTCTAAAACAATGATGAATACCTTTATACAAGCCAATTAATTTTGGCGCTAGGTGAGTTGAAATGGTTTAATGAAATGTCGAAAACTAATAATCTCAGTAGGATTTATGGCACTATTAAAATTCGCAAACCAGGTTATCTTATTAGACATTAGAAAAGTTCTTACTTATGATTTATCTCAATATTTAGTGACAGTACTAAGCTGAATTGAAAACCGTTCCAAATTCAGACTTACTTATTCTTATGACTTGAAGCGTGGATTAGATGATATACATTTAGATAACAATGAAAATATGGTTAGTTTTAATGTAGCGAGTTTGTACACTAATATGCCAATTGGCATGGCTCTGAAAGTAGTTAGAAATGAACTCAATAATGACCGTGAGCTTACACTATGAACTCGGGTATCAGTAAATGATATCATGTTAGGCGTACGGCTATGCTTAACTTCCAAAATCTTTAAGCTTCAGAATAAAATATACACACAAACAGAAGGGGTTGCCATGGGATCACCAATACCCCAATATTTTGCCTGACATGCTTATGGATAGTTAAAAACGGATGGATGTAGAAATAGTCGGTCCAGTTCTAAAAAATATGGTTACAATACGCAGATGACACGTTTACAATGTCGAAATCCGAGCAAATAGATACTTGCTTTACAGATATAAATTTAGTAGTCAATGCAATCCAATTCTCCTATGAATTAGAAAATTGTGAAGGGGAATTAGTGATGTTGCATTGCGGAATAAAACGAAAACAAGATAGAAGTTTAGACACTAGTTTCTGTGGAAATCCTTCACATTCGGATCGTTACTTAGATTTCAAATAGTTTCACCCTATCTCAGTTATAATCGGCTTGGTAAAATGTCCAAGTAACACGGCTAGAAAACTTACCAGTAAAACAGAAGTAAGATAAGAAACAAGATACATTAAGAACACCTTACTCATCAACAATTACCCTCCCAAATTACTTAATAAATTCCTTAGGAACCGTAAGAAAAGTATAACTACTGTTATTAACACAGTAGCAGTAATTAAGTTAATCATAATTGTGGCAAGACTGGGAAGAGAGAACTCAAAACCTCTACATAATTTCCATAGAAGAAACGCACCTGAGAGAAATTACGTAGGAGTGGCATTTGTACCTACAAACTCACTTAGAAATAAGCTTTGTATATTAAAAGATCCTACTGATCCAATTAAGCAGAATGACTTAGTTTACTAAATCCCTTGCAACGATTGTGAGGTCAAATGCATAGGCCAAAGTAGTTGACTAGGGTTAATTAGGCTATCCGAGCACAAAAACCTAGCTAGGTCAAAATTGGTAGACCCTAGTAAAATAAGGAATCTAGATGAAAGCTCAACCATAGCTTGCAATTGCATAGAACAACAAAACAGGATGGCACAGAGTGAAAATTCTTAAAACTAACGTAGCGGTGTGAAGGGAGAGATTGATCCCTAAATTTTTGTTTATCGAATCAACACCTAATATACATGCAACAAGAATGACTCAGTGTCTGTTGCGGATAGATGGAAAATTCTACTACCTATATCACAAAGAGGGTGAGAGAAACAGGATTATATAAATTGTGTCTCAAAGTTGTGGAGTTATCTTGATATGAGTATAGGCGATAAACTGTGTCCGAAACATTATCCAGTAAATAATATAGTTCCACTATATGATACGTTTAATAAACTAACTGCAATGGAATCACAATCTAGCAGTGCCCAAGTTTTACTCCTATACAAGTAATGACTTGAGTAAATTAGTCTTCTACTTAGTTTCAACGCTATAGAAGAGTTTGTCTTTATTGATCCCAATGAAAATGCACATTGTAGTTTTTCAACATAAGTTTCTTTATTTCTGCATAAAACAACTCAAAATAGGGGGCGGGGGTGATGATGAATGCCAAATTTTAGCTTGATGTTGCTCAGGATTCCTGACAACTTCAGTGCTTCTACCTAAGGAATTCATTCATCATATACACCATATGCTTACTAAATGTCAGATGGTAACCAGATAAAATTGATTAGTAAATAACTGACCAATTTAAACTTTAAACACATTGTTTAAAACAAATAACGACCAATCAATGGATAACTAGTGCAGAAATATATTTCACCTGACAACAATTTCAGTTCCTTATTTATGTCATATATTGAAGAATATACAACTGTGGCTTGACTTTTAACCGATCGGTCGAGGGTCCGAACTCCCCACCCCCTTCGCCACCTGTAGAGGTCTAAGCATTCAGACAACATTAAAAGTTCTAATAAAATAAATGTGGCTCATTATCCACTGCATGAACATGTATAAAGTTGCTGGGTGGATTTCGACGAATGAATATGTAGAATCTATTTGACCCATAAGCCAGAAATTGTCCATATATATATATATATATATATATATATATATATATATATACACCAAAAAAAATTCGCGATTGCTCTTTATAATTTAAATAAAACTTACTGAATAAATGGCAATGGTGAACTGGTCACTTCATCAGAAAAAAGACCATTTAACTGTTGAAGACACAATTTATCAAACGGATGAATATTGGAATCAATCAATTCTACTTTAGAATAGGCAAACCATGTGAAAAGTACTTCTAAAGCTGAAGTGCATGAACGATTTATGCCTTCTTGAAGTGAATAGTCTGTAAGAATAGAATTTAAAAATATTTCAAAATTAGATGATTCAAGTATGAATAGACGTGTATCTAAGGAGTCAGCAGATACACAGGCTAAAAATTGAATACTAAGAGTATACAAACTTCGAAGAAAAGTAGTATCCTTTACATAAGTTGAATCAGAATGTTGAATATCTTGTTCATGAATCCATTTGACAAAATTTTCTAATAATTCTAGCATATTTTTTAAGCTTGTAATTTTTATTTTTAATTCCAAATTATCATTCTTGATGTGACATTGACATTTTTCAGTAATTTCACAATCCAAAGGTATTTTCCAAGGTCTGAAAGTAAAATAAAATATTTAACAGTTTAAATATGTGGAAGATGCAGTTCATAAACTATAGACTACAGACCAAAGTTAACATCCATTAAAGATTCGGAGAGAATGAATTAATAATAATCACCATCAGGCCCTCGAGTGGAATCCCCATGGGAAGCAACGAGTTGGACGTCCGAGGGTGACATGGAAGAGATCGTGTGAGGAGGAAATGAGACCTTCTGGGCTATCATGGAGCCAGGTTCAAAAGATTTCAGAGAACAGAGTTCACTGTAGACGTGCTACTGAAGCCGTGTGTTCCATTAGGAACCCAAGGGACTAATAATAATAATAATAATACCGACGGTTCACACAATAGAATCTCATCATCTAGAGATTTAGGCCTGGATTTACTTCCGATTGATATAGTTGATATATATTCGATAAGAGATAATACCAAATAAAATTTTAACACCGGAATAAGTCTTTACCTCATCTCAGACTGGACAGCATAACGAGGTCAAAGTTCCCTACATCTGATTATCTTACCATTTGGTACCTTATATCTGATTTCACACATTTCTTATTTTGATACCTAAACTAGTTGCATCGATACTATTCAGAAGTAATAAGAAGTTACTCTGCGTTATTATTCTTCCAGTATGTCGTACAGATAACGAAAGTATGTTTACCAAAGAAAACAATATTAAAAAGACTTTTTTCTCAATAGTTGATTATTACTGATAATTGTTGATAATTTTTAATGATTTGAGGATCCCTTATACACATTAATCGAATGAATGATAAAATAGTAAGCATTTAATCTGTAAATTACCCTGAAGTTAGTATTATTGCTTGTGTTACACAGTCGTTGATTGGACTCAATTGATCGATCTCTATCGCCATATAGGCTCCTGCACCCATACCTCAATATTGCCTGTGTCTTCAATTATGTCTAGTAATGATGGATAGTGACTAGCAGTGCAATCAGCGATACACATTTCGTCCTATTTTAAATTCGTCACATGGATGTATCTGCCTACCGGTAAGTAATGTTGTTCCACCGGGATTCCAACTCGGCAACGATCGCTTCAAAGGCCTGAGCGTTATCCACTAGAACCACCACACAGAAAACGGTATACCAATACATACCGATCAATTCGGTCCATTCAACGACCGTATATAACAAGAAATAATACTAAAACTATACCCGCCACACAAGAAATGGCTATCGTGGCTTGCTAGTCTAATAGATAGCGCTCTTGCGTTTGAGGCGGCCGGTCCCGAGTTCGAATCCCAGCATGAACAGTAGTACTCACTGGAAGGTAGATAAATACAGCTGATGAGTCCCAAGTGGGATGAAATGCGCATCCTGGACTCCACTGCTAGCCGTTATCCATCATTACTATCCTGAAGTTACTTTCTCAAGTGATCCTTGAGCTGCATATACAAAACAGACAACAAACCATGGATAAAGGATTATTTCTTAAAATGTTTTTAAACGGTTGGAATTAACCAACTTTTAAACGCATTGGTATGCCAGTCATCTTCTGAGAGCCACTGATCGCAGATATTAGAAGTAGCTTGCTTGAATAAAGATTAGTTTACCAACTTTTATAATTAGAAAACATACATTGTGATCTTCTATCAGAGTCATGTAAACAGTTTTAGGTAACTAGCACGGCAGACACAGAGACAGCTAAAATTAACATTAAATCTAGCACGCTAGTGCATCAGTTCAAACTGACACACTTCCCGGTAGTATACCAAAGAGCAAGTGGATGGAAAAAGGCTGATATCGAAGTGGACAAAAGGGGAGGGGAGGAACTCAAGCTTTAGAAGAGATCAAAGGGTGCATACATGTGCACCACTGTGACTGATTTCCAATCATTTCACCAAGAGTCCTCAACCACTGATTCCTATAGTTTCGGAGACCCCATCCAGGCAGCCTACATCTACCTACACAGCTCAAACTAAAAGTTAGGGATTTCACGGACCGGTGCCATGTCTTAGCGTGGCCACCCTGAATCCTCTTCCAAAATTATTCAACTTCTAGCATTGCCCATCAATAGCACAAGATATTCTAGATAAAACAGATAGCTAAATAAAAACTACCAGTGAAAATTACAGTCATTTTTCTACATCATTTTTAAAGATGCCAGCAAGTACAACCTCTTGATCCATTAGTGAATGAAAAAACACTGTAGCGATTTGGCGTATGGCGAACGTTTGATGAATGAATAGAAGTTAACTTACTTGAAACTAGGCTCACCAACAATTCCACAATACAGTTGCAATATATTCATGAGACATGGGTCAGAATGAATCATACTACTTTCATTTATATGCACTGTATAACAACATCGAAGTGATTTGGAATTATCCAGAAGAGTATTGATACTATCAGAGAATAATTCGCACAACACAAAATGACCGCTAAATGATTTTTCATCAACACCATTATTTCTTTTCTTTGCATGAATATGATCGCATAGATTATTTTCATGATGACTGAATGGATTGACAAGGACAGAATAAGCACTGGCCAACAATCGATTTGGTAACAGGTGCCACAACACATCTGTAGTTTGATGTAGATCGTAGTTGACCACAAAGTTATTCGGATAAGGCCATGATTTATTTTTAGATTTATGAAGATCAACGCTGCGTTAGGAAATAAAGCGAAAAATACATGAGAATGCATGCATGAGAATACCTCAAAAAAAGACTTAAGCAGTAACTACAAAATACATATAAAAATGTAGAGGTGCAGATGCTGCTTCTGAATACTGATAGGTAGCGAGAAAAAGGCAGCCAATAGAGAAATTGTTTTCAAATCATGATTAGATCATGATTTATGCATATGCTGATGTGATAACCTGATTGGACAAATTCGAAGTCATACAACCAATCGGATTGGTTTATTTATGGCTTCATTTTCTAAAGGTTTATATATATAGAAAAGTTGTTGTTTTTGCAGTCACAGGTCGTCTTTTGTCTTCTGATTTTCGCGGCTCAGTGAAGTATAAGGTGTGGGGGGAGAACAGTCGTATTACTCGTATCCAGTCCAAGTATCTCGTTTCGCGTATTAGAACCCACGTCATACTCCAACTCATCTACATCAAATACACCTAAAATAAAGGCATACTAAATGCTAAGGTCAAGATGTAGGACAAATGTGAATGCTGGCAAACATACTGAGTGACAAAACCAACGGCTCAAGTTCCCACACTTTACAGTAGTATACAAAGAACAAGTGGATAGGAAAGGAGTGATATCAAAGTAAATAAAGTAGTATGAGAGGATAAAGGTCAGTGTGAATATTCAAGCCTTAGACAACGTCAAGGAGTGAATACATCTGCATAATTGTGACCAATTTTCAGCCATGTCACCAAGAGTCCTTAACCACCGATTCCTTACATCTAGATTACCCCAACCAGGTAGTCTACTCCTCTTTAGATCGCTCAGACGAACAGTTAGGGGCTTCGTCGAATGGTGCCACGTCTTGGTGTGGCCACCCTGAACTATCCTCTAACCTAATCCAGTTTCCCCTAACATGGGACGTCAAGGTAGGCGGTGGCTTGGTATGCGCGGTAAATGGCCGAGCCATCTCAGTCGACTAAAGTTTTCAACCTCACCAATCAACTTACCTGTCTTGCCTATTGCCCTACGACTGACTTCAACATTGCTCAAACAGTGATTCCACCAAATGTAATCAAAAACTGTGAACGCTGAATCCCGCGGCTATCGATCTCACTTCTTGTTTTATTTTACGTCTTACTTAAGATCTCAGTCTTTTAATCTGTAACGGAATGAGAATGTTTCTCGTTAGTGAACAAAACACTTGTTGATTAAATATGAAATCACTCTGGTAATACTTATACTGGTAAATTGAAATACAGACACAGCTCAGTTGACAAAATAACGATTCAGTCAACTAAAGATCACCGATTCGAGGCCTACTGTGACTCATTATTTTCGAAAATTTGAAGAAAAGTTAGTTTGAGGATCGAGAAAATAATCCAATTGTTAGTTTATGAGGATTTATGAATCTGAAAGTAACACTTTTTTGAATCAAAAACTGACATCAGTTACAATTACTGGATCATTAAATTCTGATCCAATGGTTGAATGGTAACGCGCCAATGCCAATGAGATTTGATGGTCTTCGTCTCAGGTGTGGACCTATTGAAGAGTTGTAGACTTGAACGAAGCATGTGTTTATTGCTCTCACGTTTCCAACGGTTCTCCAACTGATATTAGTTCAGGATGAAAACTGTTTTTGTATCTTAAATAGTTCATCCAATATTCAAATTCGCAATTTTATGAAAAATGTATTTTCATTCTTTTATCTTACAGGTGTAATAAATTTTCCAGATATCCACAATACGTGATGAATGATTCCTGTTATTTGTGTTAGGTGCGTGGATTCAGTAAACAAGGATTCTGTAATCAGACTCTTCTTCTACTTGAATGTATATTGAATTTTAGAATTGTCACACTATCCCATGAACCTATAGTGTGATTATTGGACCAGTGGGTGCAGAGCGATAACCGAGTTTTTCTCTAAATTACTTATCTTACCAGGGTTTCCCTAAATTTTAGTGCTCCCGTATTCTAACTAACCCAGATCAGCTGCTTTGACCTATATACTCAGCTTTACAATCATCGTATGGTATTTGATAGATTAGGTCATTTTTCCCAATTAGCTCTACTGGATCTTTTGGCCAATAAAGTTCCTCACTGAGGGAGTTTATGGGTTTAAATGCCAGCCGAATCCCACCATTGTTAAGAATCCTATATAAACTTCCGATGTTCCTTCTTTCTACGATAACACTACAGAGGCAATCCAAATCCTAGTAAGGTAAGTAATTCAGATAAAAGCTATCGCTCTGCACCCACTGGTCTAATAATCACACTATAGATTCATGGGATAGTGTGACAATTCTAAAATTCAATATACATTCAAGTAGAAGAAGAGTCTGATTACAGAATCCTTATTTACTGAATCCACACACCTAACACAAATAACAGGAATCAGTCATCACGTATTTTAGATATCTGGAAAATTTATTCTTGGACTATATAAATATATGTGAGTAATAAATTCTGTTTGAAACATCATCCAGCACTGTATCACTGTGTGCTACATCAAATAAACAAACTAATATAGAATTATACTCTACCACAGTTCCCAAGTTTTACTCTTACGTATGTTCACTATAGCAGCTGTGTGGCTACAGTTCACAAATGTAGCTATTTCGCTACCTAACGTTTACCATATATTAGTCAATCAGTGAACCGGGTCCGTAGTACACTGGACATCTACAATCCAGTAAATATACGTTCACACGATGATCACCTCTAAACTTTCAGGGGAATTAATGCATCAATCTCTTATGAAGACAGTAGACAAGAGAAATTGCTTTGACAAATAATGAAGTAATACGTATTTATGAAATTGAGCAAAACAATGATCAAATATGTACAGTAAACAAATAATCAAACGAACAGTTACAATACCTTCCGCTATTCCCATAATTATCTGGTTTGGTAGTTTGAGGGCAATCAGGAACACTTTCACAATTGAGAATAAGGCATAAACATTCTAGAATTATGTCATTCATTAGAGATGACTGTTGACTTCGTCGACAAAAACTGTAGAGGAATTGATATAAAGTAGATTTACAAATATCACCTTCAGGGATAAAATTTTTATGAATTATTTCACCTGGAAGATACCAACAAATACGTCCAAGAAGACGGCATATAACAAAACAATTTTGAAATAGGATAGTATCACTTGAAACAATTTTGTTTACACACAGAAGGTTATTCAACATTTTTAATGCTAAATTAACCAAGATTGGTAAAAGTTGACTCAAAGCATTTTGAATAGACTGTCCATCACCAAACATACACAGAAATCTTTGTTGAGGAATTTGATACGTCTCTAGAGGGATTAAAGATTTACTTGGATATGTATTCGATTGCTGGATACCTTTTGGAATACACTGTAAATACCAAGAAAAAAAGAAGAGGAAAATAAAACAGAATAACTAATTGTGAAGTATAAAACTATGCAACTATTATTCAGTTTTGAGGTTTATGAGGATTGATGAATTGATTTCTAGTTGTTATACAACATGAAGTGACATCAGTGAAAGAAATATTGGGAACCTAAGTGCACTGGACAACTGCTTCGTCCCAGTATGGGAGTCCTCAGCAGTGCGCACCCACGACCCGGCCCCTCCGGGGGTCGAATCCAGGACCTTCAGGTTCCGTGGCCAGCACGTTACCATTGATCCACTGGGTTGGATTCCAATGGTCAATATTTCCTACTTCTGTTAGTTCACAATACAAAACATCAATAGCTTGTATTCCCTGCAACAGTAACGGTGAGTTACAACCAATATTAGTAAGAAAGTGATATAAAATACAGAAGTGTATTCAGTTACACTGCAAACTTCACACACAAGAGAAACCCTAACGATATGTGGCATACTGAAAACTATGAAAATCGACAACTAGGTTTTTTCCATTGAATTTATAGAGCAAAACAGGATGATTTCTTATCGTTAGTACATAATGCTCAAGAGTAATACTTTTGAGACAGACGCCGGAGATAACAGATATGAAGAATGATTGTCGAAAAGAGATTCATTGTAAACAGTATTGCATGACAATTCAAACAGTACATACACCACATTATCTACTAGCCTATGAATACAAGCAATTGTCTAAAAGATAAGACGACCAAACGACTGTTTAAACAAAAGTAATAAGAATGTCGTTTTAGGTTTCTGGGTATTTCTCATTTTGAAGGTTATGTTCACCACGAAAGGACATCAATTACAGAACCACGGAAAACCTGAGAGCACTAAACTCCAAACTAGTGGCTCAATGGCTAACGTATTCACCACGAAACCTGAAGGTCCTGATTTCTATCACTACTGTGATCATGGTTGCCACTATCTATCATTACTATACATTTCTGTAAGATGTTCAAAAATATGAAAAACAGCACTAAAATTTATCGACTGGCTTGTATTAAACCTGTAAGCCTATAAGCTAGTGGCATCAAACTATAAATTCCATTAGACTATCAAGGAGGCTTATACAGTAGTTGCATAGATTTTTATCTTAGGATGAGGATAAAAATTGTTCATCCACTTCGGGGTACTTAATAGTGGGAGTTTCACATTCTAAATTGGTTATGAAAATTGTCAATGATGGTTTACATCTTAATGAAGACTATTCACCTGTGAACCTACAGAATCAAGTTTGAAACTGTATAATCTATCTTCCCATTTAGGTACTTTTGAAACGACTGATTTAAAATTCCAACATAACTTACAGAGGATAGTTTCAATTGAAAACTTTATTTTGATAAAGAGTGCTATTGTCAATGACTATACATTCGTAGCAATTCTAAATTAGATAGCCAAAGTAACAAAAAGGTGGGTAATTATAATTTCTGAAGACTTACAGATTTCATTAGTACTGATGTCTGTGAATCAATATTCCGCCGAACGAATAACGCACCTAATGGAAATGAATCTTTTCGTATGACTTGGTAATGATCATCACGATTAGCTGTAATAGGAATGAAATGATAGGAAAAAGCGATCAAGTATCAACACACGAAAAAAATCTCCTTAATTCATCCCGACGGTAACGAGCTTTAAGGTATTCATTTGACAACTAAAAAGTTATCGATTTGAATGTCACACTCAGCTTTACACATTGAACAGTCCAAAAATATAAACACCAATTGTAATAAGCAACTATATAAAAAGAATGTGTATTTGGGGTGCTACTTGACATCTTTATAAGCTCCATCTTCACCAACTCTGACAGGATGGATGGATCTAAAAAGACTGGTAACGTGAGTGATACTAGAGACTTTCTAGAAGCTTCCGGTTAAGATCAGTGGTACCGAGCAGTCCTACTTTCCACGCTGATAAAGATGTGTCTAAATACCAGAGATCAGGAATCTACCAGCAAAATGAACGAAACAAGCGAAACGTACTGAAATGCCTTGTGAACATCCGTGCAGTAGACAACGAAACACCTATTCGGTCAAACTTAGTGATACTACCTATCAACAAACTGAAGCGGCTGCCGTGGGATCACTAACATCCCCTATCGTCGCAGATGCATTTATGGATAGCTGGGAACAGACAGCCCTTCAAACAATCAGTCCAACTCCAAAGATATGGTTTCGATAAGTAGATGAAATCAGAAAACATCAATAGGTTCTCGGCACACATAAATTCAGTAGTGAATGAAATCCAATTTACCTGTGACTTAGAAAGTGATGAAGGCGAGCTAGCAATGTTGGATCGCAAGATTAAACGAACATAAGACGGAAGTTTAAAGAGTAGTGTCTACAGGAAACCCTCCCATTCGAATCGCTACTTAGACTTCAAATTCTCTCACCCCATCTCAGTTAAAGTAGGCTTAGTTAAGTACCTAAGTGATAGGCAGAAAAAACTTACTAGTAGACCAGAAAATCTACGACAAATTAGACATATCAAGAATACCCTACGTCTCAATAATTACCCACTAAAACTTATAAATAAATTCATAAGAAATCGAAATGAAAATATTAGCTGTAGTAGTAGTAGTAATACAGGTGTTATTAATAATAGTAATAATGGTGACAAGGTTGAGAGAGAATTCAAAGACTCTGCTGTGTTACCATAAAAGAAAGGCATCTCACAAGCATTACGAGAAATTCTCAATAAGGCTGGGATTAAAATGGCTTTTAAACCAGCAAACTCGCTTAGAAACAAGCTTTGTAGGTTAAAAGATCCTATCGATGCGATTAAGCAAAAAAATCTGGTCGACCAGGGTCGACTAGAATAAAACAGCACAAAAACTTGGTTTAATCAAGATTAGTAGATCCTAATAAGATAAGGAATTTAAAAAAAAGCTTGGCTATAGCTCTGTACGCAATTACACATAATCACAAAGTAGGGCGGGATAGAGCGATAGTATTAAAAACTTAGTTGGATTCAGGGAGAGAGTCAACACCAAATACATACAATCGAAATGATTCTGCACCCGTTCCAGATATATGGAAAATTCTACTACCCTTATCATCACAAAGAAGGAGAGAAAATTAGGACTATATACACTCTGTCTCAAATTTTTGGAGTTACTTGATACGAATATGGACAATAAATTGTGTTTGAAACGTTATCCAGCAAATGATACTGTTTCACAGTGTAACATTTCTAAAGAACAGACTTAAATGTAACCATAATCTACCAAAGTGTTCAAGTATTACTCTTATTTATGCTGATGATTGAAGATGAAATGAAAATTTGGACCGCGGTCGGATTCGAACCAATGACCACCGGGTTACCGGCCCGATGACCTACTAACTGAGCTACGAGGTCCGACTGCTAACCAGATTTTTGTTTCACTTCAATTACTTCTATATTAAAGATATATACTCTTGAAAAAGAATTAAGAGTGGTAGTATAATAATCAGGAAACTGGAGACGATAAAAAATTTTCTGAAACTCATGACATTAATTGATTCATGGACAGTTAGATTTACGATACACATATTATTATTATTTATCCCTTGGGTTCCTAGTGGAACATAAAGCTTCAGTAGCACGTCTCCAGTGCACTCCGTTCTCTGCAATCTTTTAAACCTGGCTCCCCGACCACCCACAAGCTCTCATTTCTTCTTCACACCATCAGCTCCGTGTCACCCTCACCTAGGATGCCCAACTCGTCGTTTCCGATACAGGTTCCACTCGAGGGTTTGACCTGTCCTGGTGCGTGATGTCCCTGAATGGTCTTCTCAGTGTATGTCCAATCGATCTCCGCTTTCTTCTGCATATTTGTTGAGCGATAGCTTCTTGGTTGGTTTATCGCCAGCCAGCCAGAATTCCTTGTTGCTTATTTTTTCTGGCCATCTGAGCCTCAGTAACGAGCGTAGACAGTTGTTGATGAATATCTGTAGTTTGTTGGAAGTGCCTTTCGTAATGCGCCAAGTCTCTGAACCATCACATGGAAGCATTGACTTGACGTTGGTGCTGAAAATGCGCATCTTGTTTCACATGCTGAGTGTAGATCTCCACAGTGGTCTCAGGTTAGTGAACGACTGTCGTGCTTTTCCGATCCTGGCTGGCTTTGACGTCTTCGTCTGTGCCGCCTGTAGTTGAAACGATGCCGCCTTGACTAGGTAGGTGAAGGAGGCTACTTCTTTTAAGTTTTTCCCGTTGATGGTGATTGGAGCTTGTTGTTGTTGGTTTGGTATCTTCATCACCTCTATCTTCTCTACATTCACTTTAAGTCCCGTCTTCGCTGCCTCTTCTGACAATACACATAAATACAATATAAAACCATTATAAACATCAAATAAATACCGGTATAATCAGTTGATAAGTGGGCTAAGCGTTCCAAATTCCAACGATAAAATGAAACAAGACACAACTGATACTGAGACAGTGAATCATAAGTATGAGTACCATCTGTGACTCTTGTAGTTCTTGTTTGACAATAAGGGTATATCATATTTTGACGGTTTATATCTTGAATTTGATGGGAATAATGCCATCTTAATAGACCACTGTGTCCTGTTTGACCACAATAGCTAGATCGACGCATATCAAGTGATGCCAACAGACCGTATAATGACTTGTGGACAGTGAGAAGAGATGAACATCCATTCTCCATGATTATATCAATAAGCAATAGAATATCACTAATAGACTGAATGTTTTCATTATTCACAGAATTCCATATATCCTGTAGAATTGATACAGAAACATTTAGCACGCGATCCGTCATTCCAAAGTGTATGAGACGTTGAATAATTGCCCAAAACAAAAGTTGTTCCCTGGATTCATGAATTATTGAGAGTTGTGGTTGAGACAACAATTTCTTTGGATTTTTAAATGCATTGAAATCTTTGATAAATTTATACAGAGAACTACAAGAAGTTGATGAACAATCAACTGGTAAAAGACAATGGATCTTCGTTAAAACTGGTATCAATCCAACAATCAGTATCTGTAATGCAAAAAAAAACAAACGTGCAGTTAACACCATAACCATGTAAAGGATACACAGAAAAAAATTCCAATAATACAGATAAACAATACGAAAGAGATTTATTGAAAGAATTCAGATCATAAAGAAGTGATAGATAATACAATACAATATTATATCGCGTAACAACGATGAAAAACTTAAATTTAAATCTCACCTATTGGAATTGGTACCATCAGTTATATCTAAGGAATGCTAAAGTAGTTCATCAGTATTCCCACTAATACATTTCTTAAATATTTCTGAAAAATGCAGTTTAAAGTGAAATTGTTTGCTAAATGAATGAATTTTGTTATAAGTAGAATATTGAATTTTGAGCCACAGTCATTAATTTGAAGATTTAAGGTGGAACAGTTTTAAAACGACCGTTAATAGTGAGATCATAATGGTTTCCACTTTTATTTGTCTCTCTTTTCACATCTTTTATGTTTATTTCGGAATTGTTCTACGTTGATTTATTCATCTCACTCTCTTTGTTTTTCTTTTTTGTGAGTTATGACAAATTAAATCGATGCAGTATCCTGTTAACCTTTGTGTTGTTTCGTGCAGCTATTCGAGAGTGCAGCGAGAATCATCTGTCAAATGTTCTGGAATAGGTTTTCTACTAGGTTATAGATATATATAGTATTCATCTTGATGACTAGCAGTAGAATACAGGACGTGTGTTTCGTCCTACTTGGGATTCATCAGCTAGATGTACCTGCACCCAAGTGATGTTGTTCCCACTGAGACTCGAAACCGGGGGTTAAGCTATTAGACCTTATATATATACCACAACCACTTTGCAGCACTTGTGTATGAGGAGGCGTGACAATAGCCAAGTCAAATTACATAAGTCAGTCTGTGAATCTGTAACGCAACAGTAAGAAAGTTAAATGCTCAAGACAAACAAGCCAATGCCAAAAAACGTCATTTCTTATAACAGAGTGCCCACCAATCAAGTATATTATACACCAGCGAAAACGGGACTTTAGGTCAGTGTAGAGAAGACAGAGGTGATGAAGATACCCAACAAATAACAACAACAGCTACAACAAGCATCTATTGCCATCAACGGGAGAAACGTAAAAGAAGTACCCTCTTTCACCTATCTAGGCAGCATCGTTTCAACTACAGGTGGCACAGGCACAGATGAGGATTTCAAAGCCATGATCGGAAAGACAGCAAGACAAGTCTTCATCAATCCACTCCAGTCAGCATAAAGCGTCAACAACATCCGGATTTTCAAAATTAATTCAGTCAAGTCAGTGTTTCTATCAGACGATTGAGAAACTTGGCACGTCACGAAAAGCATTTCCAACAAACTACAGATATACATCAACACCTACCGCCTACACTCACTCCATACTGAAAATGGAGATCAGATGGCCAGAATAATAAGAATAAGCAACAAGAAACTCTGTTTGGCCCTGCAACGAACCACCCAAGAACCCATTGCCCAACAAATATGCAGAAGGAAGTGGAGATGGATTGGATTGGGCATGCACTGGGACATCATGCTTCAGGCCAGACCAGGCCCTCGAGTAGAACCCGTATGGGAGACGACAAGTTGGGCATCCGAGGGTGACATGGAGGATATCGTGTGAGGAAGAAATGAAAGGTTATAGATAGTCATGGAGCCAGGTTAAAAAGACTAGAGAGAACAGAGTGAAATGGCGACGTGCTACTGAAGCCCTATGTTCCAGTGGGAACCCGAGTGACAAATAAATAATAATAATAATAACAGGTTTGCTTTATATCATTTTATTAATTAGCTCAGACTGGAATTTGATGAACTCAGAACTTGGTGCCTGAAATTAGGGTGCTCAAGACAATAGACCACACATCTAAGAAGTAAATGAATACATTCGAACCTAAAAGTGACATTAGAGGATTTTTCTTTTTTCTTTACCTTACAATGGAGTAAACGATAAACTCAAAAAGAAATAATTAACTTAACAAAGAATCTGAATGATAAAAGTTGGCACAAAAGTGTATCATATCGCTTTTTAAAACTTCCAATTATATCGAGAAGTGAGATAAAAGCATAATTGGGACAAAACTAGAATGGGAGATGACTAACCTGCATTGATCGACTTCCATGAATAATCATATCGTTCCATATATTTGAAGAACACTTATCAACAAATCGAATGAATGCATTAGTATCATTATTCATTGATGCAACCAGTGGTGATGATAATGACGATGATAAAGGCCTTGCTACAGTCAATAGATCATTTGAATGGCTAAGTAGACAGAGTAAACAGCGTTCCAAGATGTATTTCACTTTATCTGGATACAAATTCTGTCTCAATTGTTCATTAGACTAGTGAATAACAGCATAAATATAAGAGTAAATAACAGTAAACCAAAACAATAGCATAATTTATAAGCATGATATATTCAAAGTGGATTTCATAAACACATTCACATTCAACTCAGGCAAAACTCAAGAAAATTAGTTCTTGTACTAAACTATGAACCATAATTATTGTTCAACATAGAAATCAGTACAAAAGTCTTCACAAAATATATGCAGTGATATTCTTACAATCAACAATACTAAGCAAACAGTTCTAAAATTGCATGGTAAAAGTTACAAGTTCTTATATTCGTCCTGGTGACTAGCAGTGGAATCTAGGGAGCACGTTTCGTCGTAACTATATCCTAGTGGGTGATGTTGTTCTCACTGGAACTCGAACCTAGTACTCATCGCTTCATACGCCAAAGCGTTACCCACTAGGCCAGTGAGGCATGATAGCCACCGCTGTTAGTTGTTGTTTTCATGTTTCTAATTCCCAGTTGCTATGCAAGGACGAATTGCCATACCTCTGTTGGGAGATGAGCTCCCATACGGATGCCTTGACACTGTCGGATATTCATAATGTTGATGACTAGCAGCTGAATTTAAAACGCGCGTTTCGTCCTATGCGGGACTCACCAGTCGGATTTACCTGCATCGTAGTGAGTATTGTTAGTCCCACTGGGACTCGGATTCAGTGCAAGTCTTTGAGTATCTTGCGTTCTGTAAACTGTATGACTTAATCGTGAGGTTTTCATTGTATTTCTAGAATTGTGTACTAATTTACAAAGGTTACCTCATATTCCAACACTTTATTGTAATCTTATTTCTATGAATGGTAGTGCAACCTAACAGGTTACAAGAGATAAGAACCTAACGCGCAAAACTCTAACGTTAACCACAACAACAACAACAATACCACCGACATGCAAAGACAAAAAGAGATGGACCGTTAACAGAGAGCTTTAAGTGTCTCAACAACAGCCAAAACAGTTGACGGCGACGCTGAATATATACATTTTTAAACGACCGTGATAACACTAAATTCCCTGATAAGTCAACAACCGATGAGAGTTTAACCTACAGAAGCAGTAAGAAAATGAAAGCTAGCAACGGTGTGAAAACAGCAATGATAAGTTATTCCAAGGTTATAGGCAAACATCAGGTAAAGGTTATGTGACATCAGGAGCATATAGTGTAGAAAACAATAAGACTGAGACGAAGGAAGGAATGTTTATTATTAACATCTGGTAAAGTAGTCATCAAATATGGTACACCTACCACTAAGACTGTCATTTGCATATGCTTCATTTCCTCTTCTACTACTACTACTACTACCTTGATTTGCTTTTAATACGCCCATATTATCTTTTGCGTTTCTCTGGGCAGAATCATTATTCATTGCTGGTGATTCCCTATGATTTTTACCGCCCTCTCAATATGCACTGCTTATATCCTTTCTGATCAGCAACGCCCACTACAATAGCACTTATAATTCGTGCATATAAGTACTAACAGTGATGATGTGCATATTTATGTTCTTCGAACTGGTTTTCTGACTGTTTAAGACTTCAAAACTTTATGTGATCGCAGTACTTAGGTAGCAAATTGTATTCATAAAGTAGATTAGTCCTTGTATAGACTAGAACGTCGATAACAATTTGAATAGTCCTGAAAACGTACAATATCCTATTACTCAACACCATAGGACCAGGCATTACTGCATAACGATTCAAGTTGCAACTCCATGCGTTAAAAAATCAACCACCAAAGGACTAAGATGAAAGATGAGGAAATAAGGGAGAATAGGTCAAAGGTAGTAGAGAGTAGTAAAAGAGGGGAAGGAAGAATAGGAAAATAGTGAATTCAGAATGACGATTAAGATGAAGACAAAGTGCGTATACACCTAAGCAACTGACATTGATTCTGAGCTATGTTATCTAGAGTCTCCAACCCCTGGTATTCATTTTCATGCAGACGTCAATCAGGAAGTCTGCATCTCTCCATACAGCTCAAACCAACAATCAACGACCTCATGTACTGATGCCGTGTTTTAGTCTGGCGGCCTCTAACCTTTTTCCAGTCTGAACCTATCTCAGTTAACCCTGCGCGATAACCAGGTATACCGTAACACATGCCCGAGTCAGTTTAGTCAATGAAGATTCACGACCACATCAACTGTCTTACCTCTACTCCCTAAAACTCTACACCTGACTTCTGCACTACTGAAATGGTAAAACCACGACACACGGTCTATAATGTGAAGGCAACAGTGGTCAAACACCTAAACACTTACAATCAGTTTTAAACTAGTATGTTAATAGTATATCTAGAACAGACACTCACTAATCAACAGGATACAGTTAAAAATCACTACCCATTGAACTAAATAATAACATGGCAAATTATTATTACATGCAAGGAAAAAGTCAAGTAGGAAATTAACAACAACAACGCACCAATTCACAAATCCGACTTTTATATTCACAAAACAATTCAGGAAAGTGTCTATTCCGTAGACGATTTAATGTACGTATCATCCAGTTCAACTGATACTGAAGACTATAACACTGTCTGTACAGTGATGATATTTGCATGCTACTATCAGCTGACATGGTTGACCTAAACAAATGTGTAAAACGAGATTAGGAAAACTAAGGAAGCAAACAAATTTCTGCAAAAAAGTGACATAAACACTAAAGGAAATTATTAGACTAATTTGTATGTCATACTGGTGTAGAAAAACGACAAGATGGAGACGAACGGAGGAATATTTATCATTAACATCTGGTTCAGTAGTCATCAAATATGGTACACCTACCACTAAGACAGTCATTTGCACAATGTGCTTCATTTCCTCTTCTGCTCCTATTCTGATTTGCTTTTAATATATCTGTGTTGTTTCTTGCGTTTAAAATGGGAAGAAACCTTATTCATTTCTGATAATTCTGTGTGATTTCTTCCGCCCTCTCAACATATACTACTTAAATACATTCTGGTCAGCAACGTTCACTACACTAGAAGAGATTTCAAAGTCAAAAGCAATTATTTAGAATATAAGCCATCTTATTTCAGTCTAGTATATCTAAGGTATCTCTATTCGGTCAGAAATGGAGTTAAAAGTGGAGTGTTGGATAATCACAGGCCAGAACGAGGCAACTGTGTAGTGCTCTACTTTTGCGAATGGTTTCGTTAGCCGATGTCAATCTGCGATTAGGCCAGATTAGTCCGTGAAGTCTCTGGCTGTTGGTCCGAGCCATGTAGGAGAGTGTTGACTACGTGGCTAGAGTCCCTGTGACGAGAGGAATCGTAACTCTTGGTGACATCACTGAACATCGGTCACAATGGTGCAGATGTATTCACTCCTTGACATCTTCAAAAGCTTGAATATTTTCACTAACCTTCATCTTCAAGTTGTTTACTCTCTAACACAACTTCTGCTTTGATATTGGACTTCTCCTATCCATTTGTTCTTTATAAACTACTTTGAAACGTGGCAATTTGAACCGATGTTCTACGTTGATTCTGTTTGTCTGCCTAACCTAAGAATAAAATGACCTTGAAAAAAGAATCCATTTCAGTGTGATGTAATAAGACATCTAAGAATTTTGAAAAAACTACTGGTCTCATAATATATTGGTCTCTTGCACACGATTTATTTCGAACTATGAATAATAATTTGAAGTTTTGAATAGTTCTTGAATTGAACTCATATACTCGGAGAAATATCCTTGAAAATAATACAGGTTTTGTACAACTTGAGGAAACATCAATCTTCCTGGTTTTGGGAAAATAAATACCGATTTCCTTTTGAACATCTAAGTAATTCTACTCTTTCATTCACCTTATATACTCTTAAGGTTTCTCTAAAGGAAATAAAATTTTGATCATAATAAGGAAAATGAAGATGCTTCAATATGTTGTAATTTCAAAATTTGCTATGTGTTATGGCAGCTAACAATTCACGAATATCGAGTAATATCAGCCACCAAATTCCTAGTTGACTCCCTATCCGACTAATTAGTGAAGACACGATGGATGTGTAGAAACAGAGTGACTTCAAAGGCCATCCTAGTAACTGCTGAAATGACCAATCTGACTTCGGTATTTTGCCTGGAAAAGTACCTTCCCACAGAACATAGGGATGCAATTGGCTGTCTCATCAGGTGCTAGGGTGGACTTTAAAGTCACTCCTTTCATTTGAACATATACAACTCAAAACTCAATCATTTAGTTACTGAGATGCGTCATGTACATGATAATATTAAAATGGACTATGGGTACTTCATTTCACATCTGATAAGATTGTATTTTTTCAAAATAACTGGTCACATTATGTTTTATGGCTACAGAATTAGTTAGTTCAACACGATTGTGAAATTAGTTAAATGAATGGTGAAAATCAATTAGCAATCAGTTAAGCAATATCTTCAAAATCCTCTATACCTCAACTGGCCCCAAAACATAAATGAGCTGGTATAAATTCATCAAAGAAAAATGTGCTCGAGAAGTCGTAGAGTTTTGAGATGAACCTTTACAAGTGTCTTAACTTCTTGGTAGTAATTATTTTGGAACCTTTTAATTTATTAACACCATCATAAAGAATAACTTATTTTGTTTATTGTTACTTACAATTGCCCGTTGCTATACTGAGTCGGAATGTTCGATCTCTCTTAGTAGATTAACTGTTATGTGCAGACGCCTCGATACTGCCCGGATATTCATTATCTTGTAGTCTACTTAAAAGTTTTAGCAGTGTAACCCAGCTTCGTCATATTTGAGACTCGTCAGCTGGATGTGCCTGCACTTCAGTAAGTGATGTTGTCCCCACTGAGACTCGAAACCAGTACCATCATTTTAACAAGGATAAAAATAAAAATCCAAATGATTTCACATGGACCATTTGTAAAGGGTATGAATTTTTGGTTAAGTTTAAAAGGAATACAGGAATTCATCATTTTACATATAATATCTCTACGGCTATTATAAGTAAATAAACTTACATTTCTGGATGCTTATCACTTCCGGTTTTATTACATTCTGGTATTTTCTCCTTTTCCTCCCAAATATTCAGTAAAGTTTGTTGTTCAGTAATGAATTTTGTTGTTTTACTCATTATAGCACTTTCTAAGCACAGTAATAAATTCGATGCACGATCATCACCATCAACAATATGGAGAGGATTAAAATAATCCATTAGTAAACCTGCTCGCCCAAAATATGCACCAAGATGAATACGAGCCTTAGTGTAAGAACAATCTAATGGAGCAACGATTGAAATACGCAAACGAGTGAATTCAACTGGTGGATGAATATCACGTAATACTAAAGCTGAATGCCTAATATCTGTGGATATAGCGATCAATTTTGCAAATGGTTTACAAGTTGTCTTCATCGATTGACAGTTTGTTGGTCCATCTAACAAAGCTTCTAGAGTGATGCATTGTAAACAAGGATTAACTGGAATAATGATATCTGTCAATAAATTCACTGGTGAACAATGATGATCAGTAGTCGAAGAATGAGAACTGAAAGTAACCGACCGATGTGCACCTGGATGCATACGAGATATAACAAGATGATAAGCTTCGACTGGTTCTGTTAAATGAGCCAAGGCGGAAATGAGATGACTGCCTTCACTAGTTCTAAGTTGTGGGTCGTTAATTCTCACTTGGCGTTCACTGCTGCCTAGAAGTTCTCCAGTAACTAGAAAATAGCAGTTAAAGAACAATATTAACTACTGTATAACAATAGATGTAGTTATAACTAATAGCATCTTTAGAGTATGCACATCTGTTGTTTGAAAAGTAAAACCCACTTTGGTGATTATAGTGAAATAAAAATATGGTCAGCAATTGAACTTCATAGCTCACTTAGTAGAGCATCGCTGGTTCAAATCCGGCCGCAGTCCAAATTTTCATTTCACCTCCAATCATCACTTAATATGAAAACGCTACTCGTAACAGTAACTGGAAATAATGGTGAACAAGGTGAGGAAATATGCTTGCTATTGAGTAGCAATGAAATCCAGGACGTGAATTTTGTCACATCCTGGGGACAAGATCACTCACTGAGGTGTAGGTCATCCAGCTGACGAGTCCCAGATAAGACGAAACATGCGTCCTCCATTCGACCATTAGTTAACAGCAAGTAAATCAAATCATCAAGGAAACTATTATTCACTTTATCAGAAGTGTAGTTTACATGGGACATTAATACAAACTGGAGCATGATAGCCATTGTAGTGCAATTTTGCAAAGACCTTAGGTATGATTACAAAAGCTTGATAGAAACACCTTTGACCGTTGTACAAACCAATACACATTAAAACTTCAAATGATAAATAGGTTTACTTAGGTGTTGGCTCTTAAAAGTACCAAGAAGCTTAAGGTTCTCTGCTAAATCCATCTAAGCATTTGGTAAGATTTGTTAACCACAAACATACTTGACCAATTGAAGATGGAAATTATATTTTCTATGGTTATTCAATACTACTTAAAATATAAAAATTTAAAAAAAAGCTGTGTAAATATCTTCTAATCTTTAGCTGCCTTAAATGAGATGAATAACACTATAATGAAACAGTTTCAAATAGACTGGCAGAGAAAACAATTCTGATCCCATTTTAAGTTTCTTTTGAGAATTAAACCATGGCGTGTTAATGGAACTATAAATCTATACTGTATGCTGGATAGAAAAAGTGTATCATAATAAATAAAACTATGATAATTCATTAATCTCAACAATCGACTCTCATACAGAAGATATAGTAATCAAAAAGCAATTGCATTTCGTCTATCTGATCAATCCTATTGAGATCACTATTTACCATCCCCTACTACCCCCAACACAAGCATAACTCATCCTTATATATGGTGGAACTTTACAAGATGTATTAGTTATCTTGTTAAGGATAATATTGACTGCTTTTGAACAAAATAGCATACAATACTTACTATAATATAAATTCGAAGTGATTACACCTATACAGTTTAACAAAAGTAAAATAACAACAACTTGATTACAAGTGGATAAATGAAATTTGAAAACCAAAAAACACACTTACAAAAATCAACACATTCCACTTCACAATCATCATTTAACTGAACTGATAACTTATCCAATGGAAAATGTAAAGGTTCTACATCAAGTAAACCATATAATGGCCAATCTTGTAAATCTGGTAAGATAATATTCTTTACATTAATTGATGGATCAATATTTGTTATGAAATTGTATCGCATTAAAGAGATAATATCAGCTAAATTCATGAATACCTCAGGTGAATAATTACATAATGGAAATAATGGATGATGTGATGATTCAGCATAGTTATCAATTGAATCAAATTTTTGAGAAGTATTCAACTTTTCTAAAGTTGATCCACTAAGAAATGATATATAACTTGACGGCATAGAAATACCATTCAAATTGATTAAATGATTACTAAAAGAATTGTTAATGATATTGCTTGTATGAATAGAATTCATATTAGTATTAACATTACTACCAGCAGTTGTTGCAACCGGTAGAGTACTGCTACCGTTACTGTTACTAGCAGTAACAATCGTTGTAAATGATTTCTTGATCTTAATTTCTTGAAGGTTTGTAGGTGTTGATTTTAAGCATTCACTACCTGAATAAGTCCAATTGAATATAGGCAAATTCAAAAGTGATACAGGACCAAGACATACAGGGAGATGATACCACCTTTGAGATACAAAAATCATGTAAACATAGGAGAAAAAAAAAAGAGAAGAGGATTATGAAGATAAAATATTGGTTCAATTGTTTATAAATAAAAGTAATTTGAGTCAATAAACATTTTCATTAGGTTACGATATTTTTTATTTGTGGTGATAGAAAGTATGTGAATTCATAGGGCATAAAAAAATGTTTAATCTTTGCTCAGTGAGCGTTTGAAAGTTAAGTTTCTCAGAGTGACTGATATTATCTGTATGTATATGGATTTTAGTACAAGAAGTAAATACATCTTGTTGCAATATGAAAGTAAAATTCAAATAAAATAAATAGAACAACAATCTTATGCAACAAATCAAAAATTGGAAAACTCTATAAAAGGAATTAGTATTACTAATGAGTAAGTAAATACGTAGAGCAACCTACTGAATACAAATGAAGTTCATAACATAAAAGTAATAGCAGAGAAGAGAAAGAGATGAAAATGGAAATTTCGAAGCCTTATATGAGTAAACTACAAAACAAGTTGTCATTTAGGACCGATATATCTCTACCATAACGTCTCTGCTGAAGAAAGTTGGACTAGGTTGGAAGAGGGTTCAAAGTGATCACGCCAAGAAGTAGCGTAAGTCATTAAAATCCCTCACTGGTCGTCTAACCCATATAGAGGAGTAGTGACTACCTAGCTGCGGTCCAAGAGACACCAGGAATCAGTGGTTGACGACTCTTGGTGAAATGATTGAAAATCAATCACAATGGCGCGGATATCTTCACCCTATGACGTCTTCTGAAGCTTGAATATTTTACCTAACCTTTATCTTCAAATTCTTTTTAATTCTCTCTCATAATTTTTTGTACTTCATATCACAGGTTTTCTATGCAATTTGTAATTTTGTACTACTGTGTTTATCAACTTGAACCGATGCACCTATGTGCGAGGTTCTACGAAGTATGCGTCGACATTTTGTGACAAATGACTTGACAGGTGATTTAAAAAAGTCAACGACTGAACTAATTAAACAAGAGTTGTGTAATTACTAACCATTAGCTTTATAACAAGTGTCAAAAAATCCTTCTCCAGGTTTGTGAATGACAAGGAATAAAAGCCTTTATTGACTTTCTACGCAACTATTTTCATTGAACTAGGATAATCAACAAACAAACAAGAAAACTGCACGGTCCAAGTTGACATTTATCACAGTTGAGCATATATTTTCAACTGTAGAAACTAAGTTGTCAACAAAGTTTCTTCTGAAAATCACTCAGCCAACATCAAAAGGTGTCATCCCTGACAAAAAGTGCCACAAGCTAACGTAAGATACTACTATTGAACAACATGAGTAGTAGGAAACCACTCACGTTGATCTGCAAATAATTTGTAAATTGATGGCCCTATTTTAGGTATACCGGTTCCATGCAAATCAGCTAACCAGATTCCAGTAATATAAACTAACCCGGCTCAATGGGATAAACGAGATAAACGGCCATCCTGTGTTAAGATCACTCTCATCTGACTAGCGAGATACCATACATCAGCTAAGTGGTTTCTAGTTATATATTGGATTTGTTTATTTGATATACAGCGCACAATGATACAGTATTATTTACTTAATGACGACACCTCGAGCATAAATTATTATAGCTCATAATCATATCAATCTAATCAACACCACTTTCCATACCTGATTTTCATAATCCTATCACCTCGTATTCTTTATCTTTATTGGTAGTAAACTTTTCCATATCTCTAGTATATAGATGTTGGATGTTGATCCGATGAACAAAGATTCAGTTATCAATCTCTCTCAAACACCACCTAATTATATTGAACTTGAATACAGTGGATTTATCCCACTCATCCTACTGTGTGGTTGAGTGTTAATCCATGCATTGCAATATCTGACTTATTTTCTACATTATTCATCTTGTTGTGGTCTGTCATTCTATAGTTAGGTAGATTCCTATATTCCGATAATCTAGCTGACCTCGACCGGCTAGTTTGACCAATGTACTTGACGTCACAGTCATTACATGGAATTCGATAGATTAGATTATTTTGCTAAATTGGCTCTGTCGGATCCTTAAGCTGACGAAGTTTATCTCTGAGCGAGTTTGTAGGTTAAAATGCCACCCAAATTCCAGCTTTGATGAGGATCCTACGTAAAGTTTCTGGTATACCTTCCTTACAGGGTAACACAATGGGAGCTGTGAACTCTTTTCTACTAGGGTTGTCATGAATACTCGTACTCGTGTTAATTTATCTTTTGTTCCTTGCGTGTTCATACGAATGTCTTAATAAACTGGAAAGGATAATTTTTAATTATTAACGTTTATTTTACGTGTATCAGTTTTTTGTTTAGGTCCTTGTACTGACTAGTCAGTTTTCTATCTCTATCACTTAGACATTTGACTAGACCTACCTTAACTGACGTTGGATGAGATGACTTGAAGTCTAGATACCTGTTGGAATGTGTCGGTTTTCCGTAGACCGTAGCATCCAAACCACTGCATGTCCTTCGTTTTATCCTGCAATCCAAGCAAGGTAATTCCCCTTATTTGTTTTTCATCTCGTAAGTGAATTGCATTGCGCCTACTACTGAGTTTATGCGTGTGAGGAAATTGTCGATGTGTTCCAATTTCAAATGTGTCATCCACATATCGCTAGTATATTTTTAGTGCAGGACTAAACGTTTGTAAAGTCGTATTTTCCCAATTATCCATAAATATATCTGCTACGATTAGGGATATTGGCAATCCCATCACTACTCCTTCTGTTTGTCTATATATTTTGTCATGAAACTTGAAGATTGTCGAGGTCAGATACAACTGTACGCTTGATATGATCTCATCAACAGATATCTTAGTTCTTTAAGTTGTGAGTCAATATTTAGTTGACTTCTGACTATCTGCACTGCCATATTGATTAATATTTTAGTATAAAGACTTGTTACATCGAAGCTAACCATTTTTTCATCCTCTTCTCTGTATAGGTCATTAGACCTAAGTTTTAACTCATAAGAGTTTACTAGTCTCGAATTTGAATGGTTTCTAATAGGATATAATATCGATGCTAAGTACTTTGGTAATTCATATGTTGGGGTATTTCTGAAGTCAACTATGGGTCTAGTGGGATAAACTGGTTTATAAACGTTAATAGTGTCATAAATTCTGCCAGGATTATTAGTTTTAGGCATTAAATTAAACCATTTCGACTCACCTAGAGATGGCTTTAGTGGGTGTATCAGATCGGCTGTGGATTTCTTAATTTTATTCATGAATGCATTAACACATAACCACACAATAGGGTGGGAAAAAACCACTGTACTCAAGTCAGTTAATAATTAGATGAAGATAGAGATTTATTACTGAATCTTTGTTCATTGAATCTACACCTAACACATGTAATAGAAATGATCCCCGTATATGAACTCACATCTTAAGGTTAGTGAGGTATAAGCCTTGAAAACGCAATTTAAGTAAGCCTCATACTGGCATTCAGAAGAATGGTGCTTAATCGCTTATTATTGTTACTTTTTAAAGACAGAACATTGTTATAGCTGAGAAGCACTGAAAGAAAAGTATCACAGAAGGATTGGATACTTTTAATATAGAAAGAATGAAAATTAGTGTTTATTGATTAAGATACCCAACCAACAACAACAACAAGCATCCATCACCATTAACGGGAGAGACCCAAAAGTAGTCTCTTTCACCTAGTTAGTCAAGGCAGCATCGTTTCAACTACAGGCTGCACAGGTACAGATGACAATGCCAAAGCCACGATAGGATAAGCAACACAAGCCTTCATTAACCTAAAATCAGTGTGCACATCTACTCCACTACACTCCACTCCACTCCACTCAGCATAAAGCGTCAACAACATCTGGATTTTCAAAATTAATTCAGTCAAGTCAATGTTTCTATATGGTAGTTCAGAGACTTGGCGTGTTACGAAAAGCATTTCCAACAAACTTCAGACATCCATCAATAGCTGCCACCTACACTCACTCCATACTGAAGATAGAGATCAGATGGCCAGAATAATAAGAATAAGCAACAAGGAACTCTGGCTGGCCCCGCGACAAACCAACCAAGAACCCATCGCTCAACAAATATACAGAAGAAAGTGGAGATTGGTTGGATTGGACATACACTGAGAAGACCATTCGGGGACATCACGCGCCAGGACAGATCAAGCAACCGAGGGTGACATTGAGGATATCGTGTGAGGAAGAAATGAAAGTTTTGGTATTATTGCTTGTATTATAACGCATAACTATACCCGTCGCACAAGAAGTGGCTATCGTGGCCCGGTGGTCTAGTGGATAACGCTCTGACGTTTGAAGTGATCGGTCCGGAGTCCGAATCCCATGGGGAACACATCACTTATCGGGAGGCATGTACATCCAGCTGACGAGTCTCAAATAGGACGAAATGCGCATCCTGGATTCCACTGCTAGCCACTATCCATCATTACTATACTATTATATGCGTTTATTTCAAAGAAAATGAAAGACATTCGTAGCGAGCAGAGAAAAACGCATTTCAAACACGACATGAAACAAAACGAAGAAGAAAAACTTACGGTTTGAAACGATTAGATTCTTCTCCAAATAGAGAAATTACACTCATTAGACTCTTCAGACTATTACATAGTGATAATCTAGACTTTACATCCTCTGTATTTCTATTATTTTCATGTGATGAGATTGAAATCATTAAATCGAGCAGATTTAGTAAAGTTTCGCAACCACCTGATGTTTGACAAACTAACAACCAACGAATTAATCTACTATTATCATTACTTCCATGATTAGTAGATAAACAATCTTGTAGTTTGTGAAAAAGTAAAGCCTTCTTATACGGAGAACTTGGAGGAGCATACTTCAAAAAGATAAACTCTAATCTGAAAAAATTCAAAGCGAAGAATAAATAGTAGTGATAAATAAAGATATAATGCAGAAAAAAAGTTACATTTAAAACGATAACTATGTAAATGTATCACAGCTATACATTCCAACAACTATAAAATATAACTCACTAAACATGATACATCATTTTGGAAACCTTCTGCAAGTACTTCGTGGTTTTCATTAACATGAACTGACCCATTGTTCGTATCATTTATTATTTCAGGGTCAGCAATGAAGAGGGTTGCTATCGTTTTCATTCGTCACTGTAACATGAACAATATTATTAGCCTATTTAAACTCAGTTTCAGTTTCATCTTCATCATATTCTTCATTGAAACAATTACTGAGGGTCTATTTCAAAATCTAAAGACTTATGGATGTAGATTCTGTCTGGATGTCATCCACCAGTTTACTAAATTTCTCAATAATCTTCAGTGATGCTTTTTCCGTTCTTTCATTATAGCGCTATAAAAATACTTGAAATTCTTCAGCAGAAAGAGTTGCCTTTTTTTTTACTTGTCATCAATTTTTGTCTCTACACTGAGGCATCACCGAGTGAGCTGAGAATCCCTCCCCAGTCGCCAGTTTTGTATCTTTACAGTGACTTGGTATAGCCTGAGCTATTCAATGTATAGGTGGACGCTTGTACAGTAAACTTCAGATTCCACCCTTAATGGTCACTCAGTTCCCCCCGTAATGGAAAAGGAGGTAATATAACAGAAAGTATACTTACAATGTCAACCGCAACGTCAAATATAAATACACGGTTTATATATATTACAATGGCCTTTGCCATCTCAAGACCTTTCTAGATTTCAATTTAATTGACTTTTCGTCTCTTCCATCAATGTGATACTTCAACGTTGATTCACATGTTTTTTCCCAGAACTTCGAAGCAAAACGATTCATCGAAAAAGGCTTCAGGAAGATTTTGTCAACTGAATTTAGGTTGGAATTCATCATGGACTGACATCAGTTAAAGAAACACTGGAAACCTAAGTGCATTGGACAACTGTTTCGTCCCTGAATGAGACTCCCCAGCAGTGCGCACCCACGACCCGGCCTCTCCAGGGACCGAACCCAGGACTTTCAGGTTCCTTGGCCAGCACGTTACCATTGAACTACCGGGTCAGAATCCAATGGTCCATATTTCCTACTTCTGTCAGTTCACGATATAGTGCAACCTACATTCAATGTCGTCACTGAGTAACTGTCCTCATGTTCGACTTGGTTGACTCCATTGGTTGCAACTTCTCATTGGAGAGAAAACTTCGTGAATCACCTCTCGAAACAAGTCGCCAATGAGCACTACATTTATTCTATCTGGAGATTTATTAATTGGTTTTAGGCTGGAATTTATACTCAACGACGACATTGGATGTAGGTCACACTGTATCATGAACTGATGGAAGTTGGACACTGTGAACCACTGAAAACCGACCCAGTGGCTGAATGGTTAACGCGTCGGCCGTGAAACGTGAAGGTCCTGAGTTCCATCCTTAGTCGGGTCATCGGCGCGTACTGTCAAGGAGTCCCATAATAGGATGGTATATTCATTTTTCTTGATTCCTCACCCAACCATCGTTGTCACTTTTCACATCACTGTATACAAACTACTTATATGCAACGGTGGCCTAGTATACAATGCTCTGGCGTTTGAAGTGATCGGTCTCGGGTTCGAATTTTAATGGGAAAACAACAATGTTAACTGGGAGGCAGAGACATCCAGCTGACGAGTCCCAAATAGGACGAAATGTGCATCCTGGATACCCCTGCTAGCCACTATCCATCATTAATATCAAAACGTATGCTCTCACTCCAAAAAAAAATTCTACGTATTTTCGCACCGTAGTTTACTGCAGACTAGGTGATGGATGAAACTTTAAAAACTTCGCTAAGAACAGTGACTTTATAAAACTTACTCAAATATACGAATTCGCTGGTAATACATTGATAGAAAACAACTGTACACATCAGAGAGTGAAACAGACAAAATAAACGTAGAACCTATCACTCAAGTGCATCGGTTTCACCTGCCAAACTTCACAGTACTATGCAAAGAATAAATGTGTAGAGAAAAACTGACATCAAAGTAGACAAAAGATGAATGAGAGGAGAAGGAATTTGAAAATGACCAAACTTTCGAACAAGTCAAAGGGCGCCAATGAGACAGATTTTTAAAATATTAGCATAACTCACCAAACCATTGATTCCTATTATTTTGAGGACTTCATCCAGTCAAGCGTCACGGGTCACACCAATAGTCAGAACTATATCGACTAGTGCCACAACTTGGTCTCATCATACTTACTTACTTCCACACCATTACTACTTCGATTAACAGTGAACGTCGAGGTAGGCGATGACTCGGCATGCTCAACACATTTCCAAGCGACCTCACTCAATGAAGGTTTATAACCCTATCGACTTTATTGCCTGCTTTACCAAACACAATTCGCTTAACTTCCAAGTTTCACTAGACTTGAGAAGTACTGCGAAGACACCCGTGGTCAAAAGCTGTAACCGTTTCATTTCTCCTACTTTTAACCACCATGTCTCACAGCCGCATGACACGAAAAAGCAAACTGCACTGCAAGCATACTCATCTTTTGATAAGTAGTCAGATATTTCACCAATCAGAGTAAGAGATGACACAAGTTGGCGAATGCCGAATCAGTCTTCTGTGTCCTAGCTGACTTTTCATCAGTAACTACGCCCATCACGCTTACACAACTCTACAAGTGAAGCGGTTGAAGCTTTCTACCAATTCACTGCCTACCATTAAACTGCAAGCATTTTGCAGACCAGTCTTGGACCATCATCTTACACTTGACAGGTGCCAGAGAAACCCATGCTAAACATACTTAAATTTTTGCCCAACGCGTTAGTGCTTCCGTCTAACTAGACAATGTCCTCTGCATACTCCAAGCCAACCGGATGCCCTCCAGAGAGTATATAAATCTTTGTGAAGTCAGAGGAATCTAAGGCTACGTCAACTAAAACGTCTACAACGAAGTTAATCAGGAATGTTGATGGCACATATCCCTGGAGGACACTACCAGCTTTCTTTAGTCCAGGTGACAACTCTCCATTAGCCCTGATACAGCTACGCGAGTTTAACTAGTTTTGGTTAGCTTCACAGTCAGACACTGCCACCTCATGGTCGACATAGTCGAATGCCGCCTTGAGGTCAACAAATATGGCAAGTGTCAGCCTTTGGCCGGTAGGTGAGCATGTGTTCTAGAATTTGATGAACGATAAAAATCTGGTCAAAGCACCCTGGTCCACGTCTAAAACCTGTCTAATTCTCTCCACTTTGTTGTTCTCGAGCTCCATTCAAGCGTTGGATAGCTATAGACGCCAGGATCTTGGACACGACGTTAGCAAAAGTGATTGTCACCAGAATTTCTTATAGACTGGAATGATCAATGAAGTAGTCAGGACTGATGGGACTACGCCATTCAGTACTTACATTACTCACCCATAAAGGGTGACTAACTTCAATTTTCCAGGTAACAGAAACTACAATCTCGTATTCACTATTTACAATATTTGGATAAATACTTAGATAAATAATTACCTAATAGAGAGGTTTGCCGAATAGATTGTGGATATTTCAAAAACAATCTAGGCTATGCGATACCTTGTTCATAGAGCGAATAAAAAAGTTTGCAAACACACATACAACGAATAAAGAAAAACAAATGAGGCTGATATTTTCACACCAACCAAGATTTCATGCAATCCACTACTGACTGCCTTAGTAAATACTCACGAAGAACACAACAACCTAATCATTTAGTGAAGGAGAACTGAAGAGAATGGATAAACTAATATTTTGTTCAAAGTTCTGAGGATCAAAACCCCGATATATGCGTGAAATACAGAGTCCCCTTAAGACGTCTGTCTTAACGTCCACCCACGACAAACACTCAGCATCAAAATGCACAGATTCCAATTGTACAAAAAAAATAGGATGTGATTATGACTTTAATAAATAGAAAAGAAAAATAAACACTGTTTATACAACAACAAAATTCATATGAAAATATAAAGCGAGAATAAAAGTACCTGAGTAAACTGAACATGAATTTTGTGCCAAGTTGTGTGCACTCACGATCTCCGTGTACAATAACATTCTCAATGATATTTTCACAACTGTTAGCAGCCATATTTAGTAAATTTTCAATAACATCACTGTTAGAAAAGTATATATTAAAAAAAGTAGACATTACTAGAATAACCAGTAGACAATATGTGATGAATAAACATATTTCACCGATTCAAAACACCCGACTGATAGCTGCTAACCTTGGTAATGTGGTGGTCAGGCTTGTATGTCGCACTGACCAAACGATCTATGCTGGTAAAATGTTCGTTCCTTTCGGGCCATACCATGTCAGCAAGGTCAGTTGAATAGTGGTTAAACAAGAAGCAGTTGGCATTATAGTGTAAATCTCTAAGTTATGATAGGGGTGCGAGGACAATGTCGTACTGCTAACTAAACTACAGGGTTTCGTAACAGTAAGATATTTCCTGCGAACGACTATGTCGATGTCGCCTTTCCTATGAGGAGGAGTTAGAAAAAAGTTGACCTTAAAAATAGAACAATACCCTCGACCGAGTTAAATACCGGTGTTGGTGACATCGATCTCATAGTGCGACTTGGACAAAACAAACTGAGCTATCTGACTTCTAAAATGGTCTTGTGCAACCGACCTTGGGCTCTGCGGTCATAAACTAACCCTTTTTTCTAGGTACCTCAAGAAGAACTGGCTACCCCAATTCCAGTTTTATCGAGGATCCCAAATAAAGTTTCTGATGCTCTTTCCTAATATAGCGTAATACAATGGAGACTGTGAACTCCTTTCTACTCATGTTGTCGCCACTATTTGTATTCGTGTTACTGTTATTAAGGGTTCGTACGAATTTCCTAACAGGTAGTAGAGAATAATTATTAATTATTAACGCTTATTTTACGTGCATCAGTTTCTTGTTTGGGTCCTTGTGCTGACTAGTAAGTTTTCTAGCTCTATCACTTAGACATTTGACTAAACCTGCCTTAACTGATATGGGATGAGATGCCTTGAAGTCAAGAATGTGTCGGTTTCCCCTTGGAATGTAGGATAAAATGAAGGACATACAGCGGTTTGTATACTACCGGGAGTCATTAAAACCTACAGACTCACTCAGAGATAAACTTCGTCAGCTTAAGGATCCGACAGAGCCAATTTAGCAAAATAATCTAATCTATCGAATTCCATGTAATGACTGTGACGTCAAGTACATTGGTCAAACTAGTCGGTCAAGGTCAGCTAGATTATCGGAATATAGGAATCTACCTAACTATAGAATGACAGACCCCAACAAGATGAATAATGTAGAAAATAAGTCAGATATTGCAATGCATGGATTAACACTCAACCACACAGTAGGGTGAGTGGGATAAATCCACTGTATTCAAGTTCAATATAATTAGGTGGTGTTTGAGAGAGATTGATAACTGAATCTTTGTTCATCGGATCAACATCCAACATCTATATACTAGAGATATGGGAAAGTTTACTGCCAATAAAGATAAAGAATACGAGGTGATAGGACTATGAAAATCAGGTATGGAAAGTAGTGTGACTAGATTGATATGATTATGAGCTATAATAATTTATGCTCAAGGTGTCGTCATCAAGTAAATAATACTGTATCATTGTGCGCTATATATCAAATAAACAAATCTAATGTAAAATTCAGACATTTCATACAAATTGTCACAGAAGAGATGATACTTGAGGGGAATATACTTCTAAATGGCTTAGAACAACCTTAAATCTCATTGTTTTTTCTCCAGGAAAAGTACATATGAGAGCTACTATCAGCAGGAAAAAGGCTTAATGTGAAATATTCCTGATTAGATTATATATTAATATTAATGTGCATAAATTAAGCGTAACATAAGGCTACTTAGAGTAGAGCAAACTCTGTGATCACAAACTTGTAAATTAATGGTCGAAGGTTAAATACCTATAACATCTGATTGTCAGTCAGTTGGTCACAAGTTCGAACAACACTCCACCTAACAAGGTTCGATCAGTCAGGTAGTATCATTAGCCATCACGCATACAATAAGTGTGGCTCATTGCCTAGTGTACGAGTGTACATAAGGCTGATGAGTTCATTCCAATTTTCACGAAAAGTAACTGAACATCTCTCGTATTAATACACATGTACACCATAGGATGCAGTGAATTTGATCGTACACCATATCATCCTTTGGCAGAGATACAAAAAAGGTTGCTAAATGCATACAACATCAATATTACTACTGTCATGATAAGAAGTAGGTAAATTTTCAAAGCACAAAATCACTTACCATGGAAATTCTAGTTCATGATGATATATCAAAATAATCCAATTCATAATGTCTAATATAATGGAAAATATAGTACTGGGATAGACTGCAGTGAGTAAATGACTCGATTTAGTAATATAACAAGTTGAATTACAACTCAGAAATTCAAAACATGCCCTATGAAGTTTAGTAGAACGTAAAATAGCTAAACGCTGAGCTCTCCCATGAGGAATTTCACTTTCTGATAATTGTGAAGGCCTTAAATTTTTATCTGTAGGCTGATCAAAACCCTTCCCATCTGAAGATGATAATGATGATGCAATAACTGGAATCTCATAATGGTCTTTAAACTGATGTACACTTAAACCAATTTGTGCAAATATATTTGATAATAACAAAGAATCATTTTCACATGATGTCGACTGCGAATCGGAAGCCCCAGAAACCTAAGACAAGAAAAACAAAGGATATTTTTGTGTAAACCAGAAAGAAAAGACGTCAACTGATTGAAGCATTAAAGTAAAGGTAATCGAGTGCAATTTAATATAAACAGAAAATAAATAATTACATAACTCCTTACAGCAGAAACTAGGCAGTATCGTTTCAACTACAGGCTGCACAGGTACAGATGACAATGCCAAAGCCAGGATAGGATAAGCAACACAAGCCTTCACTAACCTAAAATCAGTGTACACATCTACTCCACTACACTCCACTCCATTCAGCATAAAGCGTCAACAACATCTGGATTTTCAAAACTAATTCAGTCAAGTCAATGTTTCTATATGATAGTTCAGAGACTTGGCGTGTTACGAAAAGCATTTTTAACAAACTTCAGACATCCATCAATGGCTGCCACATACACTCACTCCATACTGAAGATAGAGATCAGATGGCCAGAATAATAAGAATGAGCAACAAGGAACTCTGGCTGGCCCCACGACGAACCAACCAAGAACCCATCGCTCAATAAATATGCAGAAGAAAGTGGAGATTGATTGGATTGGATATACACTGAGAAGACCGATTGGGGGCATCACGCATCAAGTCAGGGTATCGAGTGAAAACCAAGTAAGAAACGACGAGTTGGTAGTCTGAGGCGAGGGTGACATGGAGGAGATGGTGTGAGGAAGAAAAGAAAGCTTCTGGGCAGTTGTGGAGCCAGCTTTAAAAGACTGCAGAGAACAGTGAAATGGTGACGTGCTAGTGAAGCCCTATGTTCCACTAGGAACCCAAGGGACAAACGATAATAATAATTAGAGCAGAAGGTAGAAATATATTATTGTTATTGTATGGTGCTTATGAGCAAGTTTTTACTTCCATTAAATACATTCATGTGTCAAGTACTGCAACATCTGGAGTCAAAGAAAGAAAAAAGCAGATCTCTGGAGTATCAGTCAGAAAAGTAAGTAATAAAGAATGTTAACTAAAAGACTACGATTCAACAACTTCACTGTAACAACTAAACTACCTTCATATATTGGAAAATAATCGACCATTGTGATTATCAAGATGCAGTTAACGAAAAAGGATTTGTAAAGCTATAGGAATATGAAAAATGTAAGTCAAATTGTTTTCTGTAACATATTCAAAGAAGCATGTGGATATAGAGAAGAGAAAATCTTGTCAAACGCCACCATATCCAACAGACAGTCAGTTAGTTGTGAAAACGTCTGCTTTAAGCAATAGTAAAGAAGTGTGTAGAAGTAATATCTTACTGAATAGTGTGTTTTATTTGAGCAGTATTAAACCATCTTGAAATAAACTTTTACGATTCATCTCCTTCCTAACTAAACATGTTACGTAAAAGTTAGCTAGCAAAGTTGGCTTCAAATAACTCTACTCACTTGCTCACTAAGTTAAATGATCTCTTCATTTGATGACATCACACGTGGTAGACATGAACTCGTCTACACTTCCCACAAGAAGCCAAGTATTAAAATCTATTGATTCTACATGAATATCCCAGAATATTCGACCAAGCTTCTTTTTCGTTTCAAGAAAACTTTAAAAATGATTCTATGGATTTTCTTTCTTCATGATCATGGTTAATAGAGAAAATGAAATAAATAAACCGAGTTGGGTGTTAGGACAGTTACTCAACGACGAAATTAGATATAAGTTGTACTATATCGTGAACTGACAGAAGTAGGAAATATGGACCACTGGACTCCGAGCCAGTAGCTCAATGGCAACGTGCTGGCCAAGGAGCCCGAAGGCCCTGGGTTTGATCCCCGGTGGAGTGGGGTCATGGGTGTGCATTGCTGAGAATCCCATATTAGGACTAACATATTTCTGGCTCAAATCAAAACAAAAACTATTTTCCCGTTTAAGTTCACTTTACGTGCAAATGTCGTGTTTATCCAAACAACCTTGTGTTATCCTACTTTCAAGATCAACAATGTTAAACATTTCTCCTACGAGAAAAATTCAGTCCTGTTACATCTGGTGTTTTTCCCAATAACCTCCTAAAGATCGCTGCTTTAAATCTTTCTGTGGCCTAGATTTTTATTTTACCTTCAATCATCACCCAACAATCAATACAAATCTGCAAAAACCACGCTTATGTTACACTGTCAAACTGATAACAGTTTGTATTTTATTGGTAGTATTGTGTTCTTTGAGCTGGGTTGTCTAGTCATAGACTTTCCATCGTCTGGCTACACGAAATATTCAACACTAACTTCAGTATGATAAGACCTGTCAATATCTCTCCATGAGTGATTTAATCGCTCCCACTAACCAACTGGTTTACAACTGCTTGTTGATTGCTGTAATTCTTGTATCATTGACTGTATACATTCTCCTGTTGACTGTTCCTATGCTTCACCTATGATCTTTCTGTACCTCACCATTTCTCTCATTGGTCGCTTGATAGATTGTGTCTTTGTCTATACATCTATTCATTGCTGACTGACTGACTGACTAACTAACTAACTAACTAATTGACCGACCTGAATACAAAGCTTCTAGGATTCATCTGATATTCTTTGTCTTTCCTCTCTCCGTTCAATATTTCCACATTGTAGAAATGGAATTCATGTCCATAGTTGTCATCCACGTGCATTGAAGGAATGAGTGATGAAATGTCATGTAGACGAAGGTGAAGAGGTCGACTACTTTGTCCAATGTAGTGTTGATTACAGTTGATTTTGTAAATGATATTCAGTTTGTCTTCTTTAGCTGTTGCATCCTTTGGTTTGCATGTTATTGTTTGGAGGGAATTTGTTGGTTTAATGAGCCACACCAATTCCAAATGGTTTGAATTAGAAGGCGGGGGAGGGGGGGGACATTTTGGAATGCTCAGGATCAAGACAACGAAACAATCAGGGGTTGAACAAGTTTCTTTTGTATTCATCGCTTCGGCTTTTCGATTTGAATTGCTAGAGCTTCAGCAACAGAAACTAGGCGTACGTATATTGATTTTGGCAAATTTCTTTTCACTTTGTGAATAACTTTGAAAGAGGTGATTGTTGAGATTGAATGGTCAGGATCGACAAGGTGTTCCATTATCAACTTTTAATGTGTTTCAGTTTGCTTTGTGCCATGCTTAACTGACTGTTTTCACATATGAAACAAATAGTACATTCTCACCAACAACAAAAATTGTATATAAATGCGACTGTACAGCTTATTTGAACAAAATCGCCAAAAAAGAGTCTTTTCACTGAACGACTTGTTTTCATTTTCTTACGGAGACTTTTCGAGTATTTAAAATATATCTATTCACGATTGAACGGACATCAAAATAACCGAATTGTTAGGGGATTCTCTTCGGGAGGATTTATGTTCGATAAGTTTAGGTATATTACTAAGTGTAGTAATGAAAATCTCCATTTTCTGATATAAATCCACTCGTAGAACATCCAAAGATGTCATGTCAGAGGTTCTTGAAATGTCTTTCACTTTTTTCGACTAAGTTGGTGAGAAAATAGGTAACCTATCCTTAATCGCTACTGAATGAGTAGGTAACAGAAGCACCAGTATAAGGAAAAAGGCCTTAGTATACCCAAGTCATAAGACATGCCTATAGTCTATGGAGTGATCAACTTTCAACTGAAAATGTGTACAAAAAATGCATCTGCCACATACCATCAGTGAATTATTGAAAATACTGTCATTAAGTATGTTTATTCCACTTATAGCATAGTTTCAGCCATCCTTTTTACTTTCATCTGTCTGTTTGCTTTTTTATGAGTTTCTCCTAAACGCTGACGTACAGTAAAGCAAGTTGAACTGAGCAATCTTACCAGGCTTTCTCAAGATAGACCTAATATGTGGAGAAATCTCACTTTGTGGGAACACCATAATGACAGATGTAAGCAAATATAAATAAGCATCTTGTATGGATTCATAAGGGTATGGAATTTCTAGTGTTTAAGCTGCACTTCAAATTCTGGTCGACAAAAAGTACTGGCATTCGAGTCCTAAGTGGGACGAAATCTGAGCCCTAGATTCCCCTGCTAGTCATTACGAGGAATACAACATGATGAGTATCTAAGGAGTATCAAGGCATTCGGTTAGCAGTCCATCTGCCAACAGTAGAAGTCGAGCAAATTCGGTCCTGTATAGGAACAGGCAATTACAAATATCAAACAACTGTAAGTAACTTGTTGAAAGTCAAGTACCTAGACAGGTGAACTACAATCACTCGATGAGTGGAACAAAAGATTGAAGGTCTGTCTACTGATACCTTGGTTAAAAAACAGAAAATATTCATCGACAAATGATCATTCCCATCAAAATGCATTGGATTATATGTAGAAATGTCACCTTGAGATACGAAACCAACTCGTTAAATTATTACGCTGAGTGAAGTATAACTAGTTGTCTGTTTAGCATTAGAATCTTTACGGTTTAATTAGTTTTATCATGGGAAGAAACAGTTAAGACTGAAAAATATAAGCATTGAATACCATACATCGAAAGATTGGTAGATAAATGACACTAATGGCATAGGAAGACTAGAATCTTATAGTGTGTGTGTGTGTGTGTGTGTGTGTGTGTGTGTGTGTGTGTGTGTGTGTGTGTGTGTGTGTGTGTGTGGAGAGAGGAGAGGAGGGGGGATGAACTAGTTACAAATAACATAAACTCTTAACCTGAACAAATCTATTCGGTAAAACAATCAATACTTTTTAGGTAGGATAGATGTGGTTCATCACCTGCTGAACAAACGTGCAAGCGTTGTAATGATACTTGCGATTTCCCGTTGCTGTACAGGGACGAATCGCTCGACTTTTGTTGGCAGATGGGCTGCTGACACCCGTTACACAAGAGGTGGCTATTGTGCCCCAGTGGCTTAGTGGATAACACTCTGGCATTTGAAGCGAAGGTTATTGGGTTTAGGCCTCGGTGGGAGCAACATCACTCACTGGGGTTCAGTTGCATCCAGCTGACCAGTCCCAAATAGGATGAAACGCGCGTCCTGGATTCCTCTGCTAATCATCAAGATTAAGATGTGCATGTAGTTGCTCAGTGCATCTCAATTGTTTTCTTCTCAATACCCCCTACAAAACTCATGGATAATATCTTTTCATCTTTACATACACGATTTTTTTAAGTTAGTATAAAAGGTGGTAATATCGCAAGAAATAACTAAAATCTCTCGAAGAAAAAACTCACCTTATCTTTTGAAGCAACAATTTTAATATGTAGTGCAAATAAACGTGAACGACATTTTATAAGTTCTGAACTGGTGATTGGCATGTAACAATAACGTTTGTGTACATCTAAAAAGTCACTTAACAAATATGGACCAGCAATAATATTTCCATCTAATTCTCGAAGACGTTCAGATGATATGGTGTTTTGAGTAGATACTTGGTGAAAACGTCCAGGAACTAAATAAAAAATAGACAGGTATACAAGCAGAGCAGGTGAACTTAAATAGCATATACAGTAGAATAAACTGGATAACAACTAATAGCCAGGAATTGAAGTAATCTCGGTTTTTAAAACAATTTCTGTCTGCCATCGAAATATTCCCATCAGAAAATGAAAAACTGACAAAAGATAAATTCAGCGAAATTTTTATTTTCAATGAATCATTCTCAAAGCCGTACAATTGTAACTGTAGTTACGACAAAATATATGCAGTGTGAGATTTATAAGGGTTTTACTTTTAAGGTAGTATTCACCGCAGACTGTCATCAATTGAGGAACCACTGAAAACCTGGACATCTGTTTCTTCCTGGTACTGGACTCTTCAACGGTACGCATCAACGACCCTATAAGGGTCGGACTCAGGACCTTTACGTTGCACGACGAACCTATTAACCATTCAACCACAGGGTCAAAATTCAATGGTTTACAGTTTCCTGCTTTTGCCAATTCTTAATATAGTACGATTATCTACCAAAAACTTTAGATGACATCCAACCAGTCGATCCCATTAGTCACGGCTTCTCATCAGAACTTCAGGATATCCATCTCGAAGTATGGCACTAATGGGCACTTTGATGATGTAGGTCGAGGTTTGTGGGCTGAATGGTTCACGTATTCGTCATGAAATAGAAAGGTCGTGATTCATTGGTGCGTACTGGGGAGTCCCACACTAGGACGAAATACCTGTACAGTGCTCCTAGGTTTCCAATGTTCCTCCAACTGATGTCAGTCCATGATGAATCGCAACCTGAAATCAATTAATAAGTCTCCATAGACCTGCAGATTAAATTCTATTTATTTATTTACCCATTTACTCATGTATTATTTGTTTATTCATTGTAATCTTATAAGCGACGTTTGGTGAACTTGGGTTGACCTTCAAGTCGTTATCACCATCTGACTTCACTGAACGTTTTTGATGACTTTATACTGACCCATTAGCTATTGATAAACATCTGTTTTGTTTAACCCATAATTACAATTGTACAGCTTTTGAAAATGGTTCGTTGAAGAGAAAATTTCCTTCACTGAATTGCCTTTATTAATTGTCATCTAATTATATTATTATCATTTATTATTTGTCACTTGGGTTCCCAATGGAACATAGGGCTTCACAAGCACGTCACCATTCCACTCTCTTCACTGGTCTCTTCAACCTGGATCCACAACTGCCCACAAGATTTCATTTCTTCCTCACATATTCTCCTCCATGTCACCCTCGAACGTCGAACCCGTCGTTTCCCATTTGCGTAACACTCGAGGGCCTGGCCTGACACGCGATGTCCCAAATGGTCTCCTCAGTATATGTCCAATCCAATCGACCTCCACTTTCTTCTGTTTGTTGGGTGGTGGGTTTTTGGTTGGGTCGTTGCCAGTCAGAGTTCCTCCTTGGTTATTCTTATTATTCTGGCCATCTGATCTTCAGTATCGAGTGTGCGTAGGCGGCAGATGTTGATGTGTGCTGAAGTGTGTTAGAAGTGCTTTTCTACTGATTCATACTAATGTATATTTTTGAAAGCTAAGAATTTTTTCATTTATGTTCCTGAATGACAATCATATTTCGCTTCCTGAAATGCCTCAATTTTGAAGACAACAGCTGAATAGCACGTTAACCTCCTAACCGTAATATGATCCATAAGGAATGTGAAAGTTTTGGCTTTATTTGAAGCAACTATCAATGGTATATACTGCTAAGAAATCCTAAATTGTGAAGAAATATCTTTCTTTCCTTCTTTGGTCCCATGTTTCGCTCCAAGTAGTATCATTTAGGATTGAAAACTTCCTGTATAAACCGATATGTCATCATTGAAACAAATAACCAAATATATTATGGTAATATTATTTTGGGCATAAGAAGAGATACAAAATGAATAAACTTTTGGTAAGTCTAGACGACAATCACCTGTAGGAATGCGTAGTGCAGTCAGTTTACTGAACTACCAACTAGTAAGATGCATACTTAAATCATACATAAATGCTCAACTAAGCAGTGTGCATTATAATACTTCTATATAGACTAGAGACAATGCAACTCAACCCGATCCACGTTTGGGTACTAGGCTTTAAGACACACTTATGGTAAGACGTCTTAAGTCGTTTGACGATCGCCCAGGCCAAAGTGAAGATGTTAAATAATAATAATGGTAATATACTTGTTTTATTCCGTACCATAATTATATTTACAGTACAGAATTCTCAACTTGTGAGGCTACATCAATTTATCCATTGCACAATATTTTTAAAACATTAACAATAGTTCTGTTTAACAATATATAATAGAAAATAACAAATAACAGGATTATCGGATCTTTAATGACTTCAGGGACATGATAACTATTCACTATTACACACTTGGTTGATAAAACTGCATCTTACAAGATTTTCTTCACACAATACACAAGCTAAATAAGGTATAGTTGAATTTCTGTATATGGTTTTGCATGCATAGAGTGTAACATACTTGTTTCTTGTCTTACCAGACGACAGATATGGAGAGAGGTGCGGATTCAGAGGATGCTTGTCATTAGATAATATATTTTCAGCCTGAAGTTTAGAAGAGTTCAGATGCCTATCCACGACTGCATTTATAAGCTCAGTTAAACGGTGTGCTACTTGCTCTATTGACAGCCTTCAAAGTCCTACACAATACAACGTAGTGTTTTTTCCGGAGTCCAGAAAAAAAATAAAAGGGAACAATAAGTTGACATAGATAAAACACAGAAATTTATGAAACTTAAGAGTGGAGGCTGAGTTATACCAGACAGTTTGAGTTTCCTAATATAAAAGGTGAAACGAAGGTTCTTCCAAGAAATCAGTAAGATATGAGGGGATCAAGAAAGATTAGAAGTAAAGCATAAGCCAAGATGGACCACGTTTGATACACTCCTTATGACACAGCCATCTATAAGACACGATTCATGGGATTGAAGCAATGTCTAAAGATCTTTCTCATGTAGGGATTGAATGTGAGGCTATTTAAGGAAGAACAATCAGAAGAGGAGATGATCGGTATAGATACTGTCGGGTTATCCGCATACTTAACAAAGTTAGTTGTAGTTGAGGTTGGTAAGTCATGTGAAAAGAAAAACAAAAGGAAAGGAAAAAGAACAGTACCAAAAGGCACACCGGCTATACCAAGCAGTGAAGTAGTTCTAATTTTGAATCTAACCACGGTTAGTGTAATTCAAATCAACATTCGATCATGGAAAAGAGAAAGGAAGTTAAAGTGAAGATCATCATCTTTTCGATGACTCGTTTTCACAGCTTTGCATACGTAAATATATGAGTAAACCGCAGAATGTCCCAAACAAGTTTCTGGTCAAACGCCTTACTTGATTGATATATGTATAAAGGGGATAAAACTTTATTACGTAACACAAGAAATGGTTTCAAAAGTTTTTATGAAATGTTTTCAACAGTAACATCAAGCAGTATCTAGCATAAACAAATAAATAAAATCTAAAAATAAGATAAACAGAGGTACAGAGTAACTGATTAAAGCCGAGGTAACGTGTTTGTATGTTTTTCTTTTGAATACACAGTTGATGTTTGAAGTTGTGAATCCCCAAAGCTGGGGTTGCCCATGTGTCTAATCCTCACCCGTCTTTTGAACAGTTTGGTCGAATTTTGTAGTTTTCCTGAAAAGCCAGATGTTCAGAGTCTACGAGGTGTTCAACGATGAAGCTGGAGATAGTTTTGTGCTCACCATTCAGCAATTAGGCTGAGGTAATGATCACAAGCAACTTTTTCATGTGAGAGGATGCTCAGCTCCTTGAGAGTAGGTGAAGTTGTAATGCATGAAGCACCAACTTGGTTTTCACGCATTGACGAGTCAGCTGTTGACATGAAAATCCAATACGCAGGCACGCAGCATAGGATGTTCTACTTGAGGACTCTGACAAACGTTGATGAAGAATGTCCGTGGCAATAACACAGCTGGTCATTCTCTAGCAGTACTTCCCAAAGCGTTTCTCTGATTCTCGAATAAGTTTACTATCGGTACATATCTGTCTTCTTCTAAATGAGAGCGAGCGTAAAAAATACCTAATCCTACTTAAAAACATCAAGCTTTGACAGCTTGTCAGTTACGCATTTTAAGTGGGCTTCCTGTAGGTGAATCTTTGAATAGAATTCATAAAGTATCTTTTGGAACTTGACATCGAAAAAGTGAAACGTCGAGTTTGATTCAGCTCGCAGTGTAAACTTGACTGAAGAATACCTCCCATTGAAACTCCGAAGGACGATACCTTCATTGTTTGCAAGAAGCTAACAGTTACACTTATCTTCCAGGTGTTTATGACAACGTCCAGTTTACCGGACTAAAGTAGATGGAATATAGTTCAGAGTCTGGGTACATATTGCTTAAAAATCGACTGTTTACGACGACTACCTACATCATTACATGCTAATATATATAATCAATATTGCGCAGTAAAAGAATTTACGAAATGACCTATCCATTTATTTTAATAAACGTATGATAATTATTTTGGAGCTATTTTAAAACCAATTGACACAAATAGATGAAGATAATCACAAAAGTTTGTTACTCTACATATCTATGGTTTGATTTAACTACTGTCTGCGACAGACTTAAAACCGGGAAATTCTTCAATATTCACACTGAACATTACCATCAAGTCACTATACTTTTGTGTGAAACTTGCCTCATAACGATATAAATATCTTATGATACTGACAAGTTGGACCCAAATAAAACTCTAGTTTCAAGAAACATTTGAGATAAACATCATAAGATGACAATATACAGTGTATGTCTATCTTGGTGTAAACCCAAGTAAAAGTGTTTGAAGGGATTCACGCTCTTGAAAATACTGTTCGATTGCTGTGGAATAATAAGAGCTGTTCAAAGGATAACTATTCATATCCTACGCAAAGAAAATCAGTGATAAATGAAAAAGATTTGATTAGTGAGTGACTCAATGTATCCACTTGACTTCAGTTAATAGTTGTAACGTGGCTACTTGAAATGTGTGGTTACTTATGCGCAAACGTATATAACAAGAGCAAAGGTGATGCTGAACACCTTTCCAGTGTTCAAACACATTAACACTCCAACCTATTTGTTTGAGCATATCTAGTTCAAGTTTCATTAGATAAACTTATAAACAGCCTTGGGAAAAGATTTGACATCGCAAACATAGGAGAAAATCATACAATAAAGGTCATTTTCAAAAAGTGGGGATAACTTGAGTGTTGACAGAGTTGTGAGGGTAGTTGACACTTCCTAGCTACCTACTCTATGGAAGGCTAGTTCTTCTTCAGGCACCTGAAAAAGAAGGGTTAGTATGTGACCACAAAGCCCAAGGTCGGTTGCACAAGACCTTTCTAGACATCAGATAGCTCAGTTTGTTTTGCTCAAGCCGCACTATGAATCCATGTCACCAGCACCGATATATCACAGGGTAGATGTGACTGTTCTACTTTTAAGGTCAACCATACCTAACTCCTCCTTCCTATAAGAAAGGTGGAATCTGAATAATACTGCTGGTCATTCTCAGGAAACATCTTACTGTTACGAAACCCTGTTGTTCAGTTAGCAGTACAACTTTGTCCTTGGACCCTCATTATAGTGTAGCCATTTACACTATAACGTAACTGTTTTTCATCTCATCACTATCCAACTGACTTTTCTGACATGGCAGGACCTCGAGGAAGAAAGAGTTCTGGTTAGTGCAGTCGTTTGGTCATTGTGATAGACAAGCCTGATCCTCATGTCATCGTAGCTGCTATCGGTTGGACATATTCAGAAAGAAAGTAACAAACAAAAACAATAGATTTATGTCATAACAAAGAACCATTATGACTGTCTTTTAGCTTATGCACATATATCGAAGTGATTAGAAAACAATGATCTATTCATCTAATTAAGTTCATTTAGGCAACAGAGTATTTAATAAAACAGTTCATGTAATAAATCATTACAAAAAATAAAATTTCCCTCCCTCTACTCTTAACTCCAAAAAAAACTATGAAGTTAATTTATTACCTTTCAAATGATTTGATAACCATTCATTATTGAAATTAAAAATATATTCACTTTCTAAATCAGGTGAAGTTGCATGATCAGATTCATCATCGATATATGGAGCTCGTAAATCATGTACAATTAAATCATGATCAAGAACTGATGGAGGATTCAACTTCGTGTTATCTGTGCTAACGGAATCAAATGTACGATGAATAAAATTATCCGAATTATTAGAAGAGATATTTTTTCGTAATAGTGTTACATAGACTTCTGGTAGTGTTTTGATCTCCTGAAATATTAAGAAAGTGAAGACATCAGACAACAGCTAGAAATATTTGTGCTAAAAGCATCACGTTATATCTTGAAAAACAAGATGGATTTTTAAGAAATTAATTTTTTTGTATTAACTCAATTCATGACAAACATGATGACCATGACATGTAGTTCGAATCGAAACATTACAAAACCATGAAATGATACAATCGAACTAGCCACTCTATGAATGACTCCTATCAATTACCTGAACTTTTCCACTGAGCACGTTTATCGGTTAAGTAACATCAACAGAGGAAATGACACTACTGAGGGACGGCTTAGGTTGTTACACTTCATATCACCAAATCAAGACACAAGGTAAAGGGATGGATGATAAAGGAATGAGGAGAAGAGTGGGTTAAAGTTGAAAGTCGTAAATGCAGAGGAAGTAGGAATAGGAGAATAACAAAATTCGATGTGAATATCAAGATCAAGAAACGAATATATCTTGGTGGTTTTATTGTGTTCTTTGAGCTGGGTTGTCTAGTCATAGACTTTCCATCGTCTGGCTACACGAAATATTCAACACTAACTTCAGTATGATAAGACCTGTCAATATCTCTCCATGAGTGATTTAATCGCTCCCACTAACCAACTGGTTTACAACTGCTTGTTGATTGCTGTAATTCTTGTATCATTGACTGTATACATTCTCCTGTTGACTGTTCCTATGCTTCACCTATGATCTTTCTGTACCTCACCATTTCTCTCATTGGTCGCTTGATAGATTGTGTCTTTGTCTATACATCTATTCATTGCTGACTGACTGACTGACTAACTAACTAACTAACTAATTGACCGACCTGAATACAAAGCTTCTAGGATTCATCTGATATTCTTTGTCTTTCCTCTCTCCGTTCAATATTTCCACATTGTAGAAATGGAATTCATGTCCATAGTTGTCATCCACGTGCATTGAAGGAATGAGTGATGAAATGTCATGTAGACGAAGGTGAAGAGGTCGACTACTTTGTCCAATGTAGTGTTGACTACAGTTGATTTTGTAAATGATATTCAGTTTGTCGTCTTTCGCTATTGCATCCTTTGGTTTGCATGTTAGTGTTTGGAGGGAATTTGTTGGTTTATGAGCCACACCACTTTCAACTGGTCTGAGTAATCATGTCGTGATTTCTGATATATTCTTTACGTACGGTAGGGTGATGAATTTGTTGATTTCTATCGATGACTTTGTAGTTCATGTTGTACGGGATAGGGATACAGTCAATAGCACAGCAATCAATAACCAATTAAAAACCAACTGGTCAGGGCAAGCTACTAAATACCCCACGGAGAGATATTGACAGCTCACTTCATAATGAAGTTAGTGCTGATGATGTAGTCTAGAAAGACGATGAAAGCTCCACGACTAAACAACCCAGCTCAGAGAACACAATACAACCAAGATCATCCACCTGAGCTACAAATATGCTCCACAATATATATATGCATCTGCGTCACTATAGTCAACTCTCAGTCATATCACCCAGAGTCTTAACCAATGGTTTCGGTTGTCATATGGACAGCAGCCCGGAAGTCTACATTCCCCTACACGGCTTGGACCAAGATTCAAAGACATGTTGGACAGTCACGAAAAAACAACTTCACAGTAGTATACAAAGAACATATGGATAAAAAAAACTAATATCAAAGTAGATAAATGTGCATGTGAAGAGACAGAATTTAAACATTAAGATTAGTCAAAACATTCAAGCTTTAGAAGACATTAAAGAGCTAATACATAATCACCATTGTGACCCATTTCGCCAAGAGTCTTTAACCACTGACTCCTACGGTCTCGATGACCCCAGTCAGGTGGTAAAGTCTTAGTCTGACTACCCCGAGCCCCCTTCCAACCTAATCTAAATTCACCCAGCAATGCATGTCAAAGTAGGTGGTGGCTTGGTTTGCACAGTAAAAGCCATCTCGGTCGATGAAAGTTCAAGACCTAATCAATCGACTTGCCCAATACCCTACTCCTGACTTCAAAATTGTACATATGGTGATTCCATCATGCGCGAGCAATTTTACGAAAACATAGGTGATCAAAACCCAGTAACCGCTTCATGTCTTCTACTTTCAACGGTCATGTCTCATAGCCGTATGACATGATAAAGCAGACGCAGTGCAGTATACTTGTCCTTTGGTGGATAGTCAGATATTTTACCAGTCGGCTCCAGAGGTGATGTAAGTTGGCGAATGCAAGTGAGGCTTATCTATCCAAAATGACATTTCATCAGCAACCACCCAATTCGGGCTGACGCAACTCCCTAAGTAAGTGAAGTGGTCGACGCATTCCACCACTTTAGTCCATGTCATCCAACTAGGGGTAGGTAGAGGCCAGTCTTGAAGCATCATCTGACATTTGACGGATGCGGAAGGCATGACATACTCAGATTTGTGTCCTACGCATTCAGAAGATCCATTTTGTCAGCGTCTATACCTATAGTTTGTGTATTCCAAATCGACCAAATGCCCTCTCTATGAGATTTGATTAGCGTTGATTAGCATAAGTAATACACATTCCATTCACTTGATTCGATGATACTTTACAACCTCATCAATTGGATTACTTCTTTTATCTAAAACTCTTTACCTGACCTCTATGTTACTGAAGTGGTGGTTTCGCGACACACTATATATCCTATGGAGGCAACCGTGGTTGAACAACCGAAGCTTTCTGATACCCTATACTGTTAATGGTCACATTTTACAGTTTTATAGTAGAAAAGAGCGAATTCAGCAAGTTTAAATATACTTTGCAACATGATATTAATAAACGATAACAGAAATACGTTGACCTTCGGTCATCACATAAGCGACCATCGGATGGGAAAGTAGTTCATGAATGATGAAAACTTAGAATGCCTTTGTCGAATGCTTTGCAAATGACCAATAACACGAATATAAACTAACGATAAGTACTGATGCGGAAAAGCAATACTGTGGTATTGCACTGAAGGTTTGCACGATATAGTAACTCGCAATTGGATTTATTACAATTCTAACCTGACCCCCTAACAAAGTTAACACCAAAGAAGAAGAAAAGAAAGCATAAAGAAACTCGAAGGGACTTGTAAATTCCTGCTACAACGATTACCAAAACCAGAAGCACGTGTGTATTTACACAATTCCTAGCAGTGACCTTGAGGAGTAAACAATAAGGACGAGTTTTGCATACAAAAAAACTGACTCTCTACAAGCGGTTTCAAATGCCAAAATAGTGATTGGAATGATTATAAATACTATCATGTATCTACTGTTAGCAATAGAGAGTAAGATCGTAGTAGCATGACACTAATTATTTTTATATCTCCCTGCCGACAGCTGCTACCTTGACGTGATGGTCAGGCTTGCACATCATAATGACCAAACGAACTACACTGGCTAGAAGGCTTGTTCCCTTGAGGTCCTATCGTGCCAGAAAGGTCAGTTGGATAGTGGTGAGATGAAAAGCAGGGCGGAGTGTGACGGCAATAATGTGTTTCCGTTGGATGACCAGTAGTGCCATGATGATGCTGTCTTCCGTACGAGAAGGGCGATCACAAAGGTCCACCCTAAAAATAGCACACTCCACTATTTCACGGTATGTCGATGACCGTGGTATGGGTCTTGTCTATCTGCAAAAGGTTGTGACGTATCTCAAAAAAGTGCCCTATGGGCTATGTGGGCATACAAATCTTTTGACTTTCAGATACCCAAAGAGAAATGGCGTTGCACGATGTGTGTAGCCAGGAAGTGTCAACCAGCCACATTCTTTCTTAAATTTCAGGAGTTGTATCTCGCAGTGAAGGTAAAACGAAATAAGGTTGAGTGCAATTAGAAATAACATTATAAGTAGTATATTGATTCTGAAGTTACACGTTAATCTATCAACGAAATACTAGTGGAAAATAATAGAATAAGACAGCAGTCAGCAAGAAGACATTTATGAAACTTATGTCGGCTAATCCTGACAATTTATAACAACAACAACATATCAAAATAGGCTACAAAAGGAACTAAATTGAACTCGTCTTCAATCTGGCTAATGATGGATGGGGTTGAAATGTTGTATGCAATGAGAAACCTTGAGCACATTCATGCTGTAGACGGCGAGCCACACCTACTGTGTGAGTGAGGGGGGCTAACGATACTATTACTTCTGTCCAAACCTTGATAGGTTGTGCAGAGTTCGAACCCACCATCAACATCATAAAGATCAACATGAGACTAGGCATTACTGCGTAAAAGTTCAAGTTGCCACACCTCATATCACCACATCAAGTAACAAGGCAATAAAATCGAAGATGAAGGAGGAAATAAACATCGGTAAAAAGAAGTAGAAAGCAATAAAAGTGAGGAAGGATGAATGAGACCAAGTATAACGGTTAAGGTGAGGATAATGTGTGTATACATCTGCGCCACTGACATCACTTCTGAGCCATATCACCTAGAGTCAGTCTCTAACCACTAGTTTCTTTTGTCTCACGGACCCCAAATGGCTAGTCTGCATCGCTCCACATGGCTCAAACCAACAGTCGATGACTTCAAGAATCGATGCCATGTTGTAGTCTGACCCCCCCCCCCCGACTCTTTTCCCAGTCTGAACCTAGTTTGGTCAACATTTTACAACGGGACAGACGGTGGCTAGGTATACGTAACACATGTCGCAACCATCTTAGTCGATGAAGGCTCACAACTGAATCAAGTGACTTACCTCTCCTCCCTTAAACTCTACGTCTGGCTTCTGTTTTACTCACGTGGTGATACCACAAAACATGGCCTATGCTATGAAGGCAACGGTGGTGAAACACTTGAAGCCTTCTCATGTCTCCTACCTTTAATGTCTATGTTTCACAAAGCGAATTGCACCACAGTACACTCGTCACTTAAAGACAATCAGATATCACGGCAACCACTGATTGAAAATCAACTCCCGAAATCAATGAGCCACAGCTCTACGTGTTCAAATGTACTTATGCTTATAGGTATATTCCTTGAGAGACTTTTCGATGGACAATTGAGTTTATAAAGCTTAACTTAGAATTTATAATAGTGTTAAAAAATTTCAAAATAACGATAGAAAATGTCTGATTTATAATGATTTAAGGCGGTTGGATTTTGAGTAATCATAATCGATGGCCGGAAAGAATAAGCAACAAGAAACTCTGACTGGTCCCTCAACAAACCAACCGAAAACCTATAATTCAACAAATATGCAGAAGAAAATGGAGAACGATTGGGCATACACTGAGAAGGCCGACTGGGGACATCACGCGTCAGGCACTCGAGTGGAATCCAAAAAGGAAACGATGAGTTGGGCATCTAAGGTGAGGGTGACATGGAAGAGATTATGTGTGGAAGAAATGAAAGCTTGTGAGCAGTCGTAGTGCTAGGTCGAAAAGATTGCAGAGAACAGAGTGCAATGGAAATGTGTTTCTGAAGCTCTATGTTCCACCAGGAACCCAATGGAATAATAATAATAATCCTTTCTAGCAGAAACATCATTATGAAATTATTGATACAATCAATATACACTGAATAAAGGATGAAATATTCAACATATAATATATTTGACAGTAAAAGAAAGAAAATAACTTACATCAAACTGTTTCATTGTTGAATGAAATATAAAATGTGAAAGTAAACAAATTTGTGGTAGACGAATATCAAGTATATATTCAAATGATAAAGTAATGTTAGAATTAGTTGTGGAATTCAGTTCAATTGGTATAGTATTAGTACACTTTTCATCTGAATTATTAGATGATTTTTCTAGTGAATTTTTTGTTAAAGCTTGATAAGCAACATATTTTTTAATATTAAATTCCCATAAATGTGCAGATAATCCACCATTTAAACTTAATTGAACAGATAATGTAGCACATTTTAAAGTAATTGGAAGAATATGTGAAAAATTATTAGATAGTGATTTATGTAATGACCTATTATATTCCTGTTGTAAATAACGTGTAACTAATCTAGAAAGAATATGAATTGTTTTATTTTCAATAGAAGATGAAGTATAATTTTGATTAATAATTTCATCTTCATCATCAAGATTATTATTATTATTATTATTTTCAGATGATAATGAGTGTAGAAGATCAACTTTATACCAACCAATTTGATCAGGAAATGTAATTTGAACTTGTATATCAACAGGGATAGTTTTAATTAATTGATGTAAAATAAAGCATTGATCTATTGGAGAATTATAATAGGCGTATAAATCATGAAGTGAATCATTTTTAACTGAACTATCAATTGTTCCATGAAGAGATATATTATTATCATTATTATTATTATTATTATTTAAATTTATAGGTAGTTTTGAACTGTATAAAATGATTCTTTTCTGTTGATTCATATCATACTTAAATAATTCTTGATTATAAAGTTGATATATATACATTTCACCATTTGTTGTACATAAACATATATTTCCAAGCCCAGTACAATATGTAAATGTAATTAAATGATTAGTATTATATGTATTCATGTCAACATTTTCATTATCTTTGTTATCTGTTAAGATCAAATCAGATATTAATACTTGACAATCACATAATAAATTACGATAAAAATTCACTTGTAATAATGAACCAGATACAGTGAGTAAGAAACAGCAAATAGATAAATTATTTGATTCAACAGTTGAATATATATCCTTAGAATGACTACTGATACAATTGACATCTTTTATAGAATTATATGACTCTCCATACTCGATTGATAATTCAACTGAATGAGTTACAGGATTTAAAGAACAATAATGAAGGTCACCATCATTATGTACTACTTCCATTTCTATAGGACAATAATGATTAGGTAATTTGATATGTAATAGTGGATCTTTACTAAGAATTGAATTATACTCAGTAGATTGCCAAGAAACTCCACAAGCTTCATATCTGAGAGAATAATGAAGGAAGAAAAAACATTAAAAGGATAGTACACTTTAAAAGATTTTGTTGCAAAAGGTATTGTCACATTATTACTACTTTCAATTTTGAAGTACATTGTCTTAATTCTTTAATTATCGATATTTGACCATCTTTTGGAAATTGACTAAAAGGTCTACATTGCTAAATATACCTCAAATTTGTGTATATACCTTTGTATAGGAACTCTGACTCTTTTCACATTGTGCCTTCAGCTAACATAGAGTGTAGGAGTTAACTTATGCATATACATAACCATCTCAACTTCTCCACCTGATCATTTTCATTCAGTTCTTGCATTGTTCACTCAGTGATTTTGCTACACATGAATGTGGCGATAAAGAGAATGGCAAACCAATTCAATTAAACTTCTCTTCTTAAAGATTAACAATTGTACAGTAAGATATGCTACACTGCTGCATAGTACATTCAACCCAGTATATACATTCAAATATCTCAACAGTACTACAGAAGCCAACTGAGTCATTTATATCCATACTAAGGTTCTATCCGCTACTGGTACACCAGAGATGATGCAACCCCTCAGATAAATCAGGAGGACAGTGTGTTCAACCACTTCTCTTCCTCTTGCCAGACGAGACTAGTCCTGAAGCAGATATTCGCATTTCAAGCATGAAGTGTTTATCTCATCTCCAAACTTTAAATCGAATAAGGAGTGATTATGAACAAAAAACGGTTTTTAACCTACAGTTTCTTCGAAAACCGAAAGGTATTTATGTTAACACATACAATTTCGTGTAATAGGCTTCATGTTATATCCATTGTTTGCGAGCATACAGTGCCTGAAGGGTGTTTCTTTGAGTGATTTCCAAAGTTGTTAGGCAGTATAGCAGAATGAAATGCCCAGCAAAGATTCACAAATCCTCATAAACTTGACGATAAAAGCAAATGATGCCCCCACCCCAAAGAAAATTATGCACAACTAAGAAATAAGCTATTCTAGTCAAAACATCAAAATTTAGCTCCACCAGTGATTAAGTGAGCATTCATTTTTTCTAACCAGTATTTCTATATCAAACTTCTGCTTTCTTAATACAGCTATATTATTTTGTAAGTCACAAGTTGTATCAAATTTGTGTTTTAAATAAACTAAATCACTAGTCAACATTATAGGATAATCAATTTGCAAATAATTTACAAATTGCACGGTCCACGTTGACATTTCTCACCGTTGAGTAGTTTTTCAATTGCTCAAACTGTGATATCAACAAGGTATCCACTGAAAACAATTCAAATAACATCCTGATTGAAAACGAATTCCCATCATACTTCACAGACAAACACATCAAACCTAAACTTCGCAAAGAGAACTTTGCCACCGTAATAAAAAGAAACTCTATATGGATCTAAACTTCAAAGGTGATTCCACCGCTGACACTCTAAAAAGAGGAAATCAAACACTCTAAGGAGAATACTCTTTGCATCAATGCTGAATCTAATATTCTCATGTCGTCCAACGATTTATAACAACTCAAAGGAAAAACTTTTACATCTGTGTACATATCAATCCACCTGCTCTTGTGGACCCAGGTATATAGGTCGTTTGATGCGACTGTTATCCAAAAAGGTTCAAGAGCACTAGCCCACTTGGTTACAAACAGGTAACAATGGAGCAATGAGGAATGCTATAACTGAACACATCGTGAGCATGAATCATCCTATCTCAAGAACCTCCTCGTTCAAGGACAAGGAACTTTTCAAAGGCTATATATCTTCATATTCTCTGCATTGCCGAAGCTCTTGTCATCCATGTAGAGAAGCCTAAACTGTGTGCACAAAAGAATATTGTTCAACCAGTCCTCCTTTCTTGATCTCAGTTTTCAGTCTTTGAAATCTCCTCCACCCCCCTCCTTTTTTTTCATTTTTCTGTTTTGACAATATTCACTTCTCAATTAATTCGCTACTCATTCCTGTTGCTGTACTCTACCTGATTGCAATTCAGTTTCCAATTATGTTGTCATGTTACTAAACTTCTTGTCCAAACTTATTTTGAATATTATTCACAAATCATCAGTCTTCTGATTTTAATGACATCTCACTTATTAACACTATTTGTGCTGCCTGCCACGCTTGACAAACCGTTTTCAACCATCAAATCTTTACACTAAATAATGTTCACATTTGTGATAGTATAGCTTTGAAGACGAAATCGTCGAAAAGAGACTCTTTACTGAAATACTTGTTATTCTTTCATATCCTGATGGGTATATTTCACACACTGAAGACCATTTAGTCAAGATCACAGTGTGTGATCTCTGACACAAAAGTGTCATGAACTAACGAAAGATACTAATACTGAACAACTTGAATAGTAAGAGAAACTAATCAAACTGATTTGTAATTCATTCGCAATTTGATCATCCTATTTTAGGTATACTGGTCCTTGCAAGTCAACTAGCCAGATTCTGGTGATCTAAACTAATTCGACTCTGTAAGCTGAATTTGTCCCGTTACACTGCTGATGACCTCGGCCCCAAATAAGTGAAACAGGCGTCCGGTGTTTAGATCACTCTGATCTGGTTGGCAAAATCTATATATCAGCTTAAGTGCTTCTTCACTATTCAATTTGCTCAGTAGTATTAGTTTTCGTGAGTATTTTACCTTTTAAAAAAGTGAACTCATTATTACTATAATTATTTTTCACTTGTATTTTCAATGTTCAATAAACTGTGATGAATGCATTGAGGTAACTAAGTTGATGAGGTTGTAAAGTATCAACGAATCAGGTGACTGGGGCATGTATTACTCATATCTGCTTACCAATTACATCGCCACGCAGTATCAGGTAAGGGAGATTTCGGTTGCGAAAAAGTTAGAGTCTGTCCAACTGAAACATGGGACCAGTCGATGAAGTTGACTATTGATCTGAGGAATGTCAGAGGGAATATAAACCCCTGGTTGGATGTATGTTTATGTAAATATGACAACCGAAAGCGCTGGTTGAGCCTCTAGGTGACATGACTGAGAATTGGTTAAAGTGGCATCGATGCTTTTACTGACTGTCTTCATCTTGGTCGTCATACTGAATTTCAGTATTCTCTCATTCCTACTTGCTGTCTTCCTAACACTTTTAATCGCTTTCTTTCTTATTTCTTTACTTTTCATCTTTGTATATTATCACTTAGTGTTCTGATATGAGGTGTGACAACTTGGCCTGTCCCTCAGTAGTACCAGGTCCGATGTTGATATTATCCGTCTGTTTGTCTAATACACCTTAGAAGAATCAGTGTAGTCTTGTCTGATGGCAGTACCCCTCACATGCTAGATGCTGCACTGGCGAACAAGTTTCATGAATAAATTAACAAAATTAATATTTACTAAGATAGATCTGATTAGGATATGGTAGAAATAATGTTTAAAGTGGACAAAAATGTATACTGATTGAATTTGGAGGTTTGTGGGAACTTGAAGATTTGTCAAGTTTGTATTCCTTATGGAGTGACATCAGTTGGAGGAACATTGAAAACCTGGGAGCACTGGACAGCTGTTTCGTTCTAGTAGGGGACTCTTGGACAGTGCGCATCCACGACCCCGCACCACAGGGATCGAACCTGCAACCTTCAGGTTCCATGGCCGGCACGTTACCATTGAGCCATCGGGCCGGAATCCAATTCAGTCCATGATGAATACAAACTTGAAATAACATATACGCCAATTAGTAGCATCGATACCCGGCTTGACTCAAATCCACAACGAACTCTATCTGATATCTTTAAAAATATATTTTAATAAAAACAAAAGGCAGGTAAATGTACTCACCCAAACAAAAATAGATCTCCATTTTCAGTCGATAGACTCTCATTGGTCTCACTCTGAGATAACAATATCTCAGTGCCACAACAAACAAGTACACCATGAGGATACCTTGAATTGCAACTATTGAAAGATGTTCGAAGTCGTAAGGGTGATATTTTTAATACACTCAAATCAGAGCATTTATCATTTATTTTAGAATACTCAACATCTAATAAATGTATGACACTAACAAGTGTAGGTAATTTTATGGCACCCTTACAATTAACCTTCTTTGGTTTAGTATGATGAGAACATGACAGAGGAACAGATGTTTCATCATGATTGAAATGCATAGTTTCAGAATCTTTTGTCAATGCATTGTAAGATGTGCTAGCATTTGATATCGTGTTCAGTTCTGATTTCTTACTTGAAGATTTGGACTGATGTTCGATGATTTTCATATTTATCAATTCTTTAACCACATCAGATAGACCCAGATATGTGTAGAAATCATTCTCTGAGAACTTTTCAAACCCAACCTATATTGTAGTAGAAAAAAACGGTGTCAAATGTAAATGTATTACTAAATGATGTTAAATGATTAAGTTTAGAATTTAACCAAACATAGTACCACAACAGTTAACCATAAATACAGTGAAAATATATTTTTGAAGATGATAACAGTAGATTCAAAGCAAACAGCTTTATATTATCGAATGGATGTCCCAATGATAAAGCTACAGCATGAAATTGTCAGATAACGCTTAATTTCAATTCAGACAGTAAGCGCTGTGACCAAATCGTAAATTAAGATATGACTGACAAAATCAATATAGAACTTTGTACACAGGTGCATCGGCTCAAATTTCCATACTTCACAGTTGTACACAAAAAACATATTGACAGAAAAAAGGTGATATAAAAGTTGATAAAGTTGTGTGAGGAAATAAACAATCTGATGATAACGGTTGGTGCGAATATTCAAGCTTTAGACAAAGTCAAGGAGTGAATATATCTGCACCATTGTAACCAATTTTCAGTCATGTTACCAAGAGTCCTAAACAACTGGTTTCTTTCGTCTCGAGAACCCCAATCAGGCAGTCTACATCTCCAACACGGCTCAGGCCAACAGAAAGAGCTTTCACCGACTGGTGCCAGGTCTTGAGACCTTGAACCCTCTCCCAACGTAATCCACCTTCCCCTAGCATGGTATGTCATGGTAGGTGGCGACTCAGCATATGCAACACATGTCTAAGCCATCTCTCATTCGACTAAAGTTCACAACCTCCACTTACCTGTCTTTCCAAATACCCTCCACGTGACCTCAACACTGCTCACACGGTGATTCCATCGGATGCAAGCAATTCTACGAAGACATCTGAAATCATACCCCTGTAGTTGCGTCAAGTCTACGGATAAGACGATAAGTGAATTGAGAATAAGACGCGAAGATGCATGAAATTCAGCAACAGACAAGAATAGCTAATAAATAACCTCATATTGTTATCAGCCTGACCTAACATCAGGCACCTGACACTGAAGTGGATGAAAGTGAATTACACCCAACAGGAATGATTACGCACTTGTTCCAGATATGTGGGAAATCCTACTACCCATATCATAAAGGAGGTGAGAGAATTAGAACTATATAAACCATGTCTCAAAGTTATAGAGTTATCTTCTTATGACTATGGACAATAAATTGTGTCTGAAAACATAATCCAATAAGTGATACTGTTCCACGGTGCAGTGCATCTAATAAGTCAACTAAAATGGAATTCCATCCTACCACAATGTCAGTTTTACTCTTATATTAATGGATGTACTATTCAACTAACTAACTCGTAAACTTCCAATTACGACATGTGACGGGATGGCTTCAAAATACCGTGCGTCTTGTTCTAGTTACATGGATATTTTGGAACAAACGGTTGGAAATAGTACTATCTTATATATTTATATAACTGGACAGAATGAAGTCAGCTACCCTTCAGGGACTGATCAATGTATCTAACCCAGTCTAACAGGAAGTCAGTTGCAGCCCGAATAGCTCAGTGGTAACATCCCTAACTGCAGCACTAAGTGACATGGGTTCGAATCACAGGAGGGACATCAGTTCTCTAAATGTTGCAGATACGCTTTGCTGCTCACCTCCCGATTGCCTCCATCCAACCAACCTCTATCGCAGTGCATCACGATGCTGAAGAGCCGCCTAATCTGGTGGCCACATTACAAAATAATCGGTAGAATTCGGTCAGCACAAAGGACTAGACAACATGAAGTTGATTACCCCCTAGTGACTAATCAATGTTGATTTACACACCATTTAAAAAGTCTGTTACCTGTGAAGTAAATGGTGACTGAACAGTAGTATCTATATCTCCATCATCAGCTGTTTTCAGTATCATCAAATCCTCTACAGTGTCAGTTCCAGGCACTTGTGACAACACATCAGAATCAACCTCCTCCAAGTTATCTTCATAATCATCATCTTCCTCTGTCATTAAGTCACCATGACCAATAAATGGAAGAAAGTCAACGAGATTTAATGGCACTGAATGAGGAGAAGATATATTAGGATCAAATGCTGATGAAAATAATGATGCTGCTGTTGCTGATGTTGACGACGAAGACGTCGATGCGGCTTTCAAAGAATCTGATATCCACATTACCTCTTCACTGTTTAACGGACTTAATTGGATAATCAACAGACACAGTTTATGTGACCCATATTCTTTGATAGTACTATTTCTGCATGAAATTCCATTCAATGAAGAGTTTAGTTCATTAAATATAGAATTTGGTAGACGACAGCCTAAAATCAAATGATGCAATTTCGGAGGTTGTGGAAGACTTGTAAATTCAGGTGCATACGAGTTGGATACAAGCAGACACCCACTGTGAACTTCCACTTGGGATGCGCTAGCAACTAATTGAATAGAATAAAAGAAACAACAAAGATTTTAGCAGAATGCATAAATCAAAGTCCATCGTTAAACTAACATATCCCTAATTGTCTTTAATAACATGGTTGTATCAGTGTGAATATCTCTACATGTTTTGAAGTAGAAAAAACGACAGACTGCTCGGGATAACCAAATTTTGAGTAACTTTAAAAACCACCCTAGCAACTAGCAAATTAACCAATCAGATTTCAGAACCTCGATTGGGAAGGTAGTTTCTCATAGAATAGATGTACGCATTTGGTTACCACGGCAGTTACTAGGATGGTCTTGAAAATCACTCAAAACATGGGTGACGTTAAGGGCCACCGTAGCAACGATCGAAACAACCAATTAGGTTTCTTTATTTCGGCTGGAAAGGCAGATTTTCATAAAATATAGAAGTCTAATTGGTGATTTCAATTGTTGCTAGGATGGCCTATACATTCACTTCAAAATTTTCAACTCGCCGCTTCTCGAGTTAATAACAAAACAGGAGAAATGCCAAATTATATGGAAGTGGACTTTTCAGTGCGCAAGAGTTCATCATATTTATTTACCTTGATTACTTAGCTTGGGGTCACAGATTCTTGTACTGGTTGAATGAATCATCACCAACAAACTTACACTCATGTTTCTTTTGATTTTCCATTCTAGACAGGACACTAATCAAGAACCACCTGACTGTTTCACCTAATTGCCTTGATTACTGTTATTATTAACACCATTCAGATCCAATAATAAATTCATCTGAATATATTGTTTTAGGAATGACTTTGTTGAAAAATTACAAGCTGAGAATTGCACACTGTATCATCAATATTATTTGGAATAGAACAGTTATTATTATTATTATTATTATTATTATTATTTGAAAAAGTATGCTCATGCTCACATTGTACATAATGTCCAGAAAAGTGAATGCACACCCTCAAAGAAACGAAACGCACTCAACTACTTTCTGCACATCTGTATACTAGGCAATGAGCTACACCTATTCGATGAGGACTAGTTATACCACCTGACTGCTCAAACTTCAGGTGGTGTGGAGCGGGGCTTGAAACAATGATCCAATGGTTAATAATCATCTCCCAGGACTACTGAACCATAAGCTCCCATCCTCAACAGTGTGCTATCACACAGCTCATTGGACTTCAGTAGCACTCTCCACTGCACTCTTTTCTCTGCAGTCTTTTGAACCTGGCTCCACTACTACCCACAAGCTTTCATTTCTTCTTGACACGATCTATTCCATGTGACCCTCGGACGCCCGAATCGTCCAGCCAGCCAGAGTTTCTTGTTGCTAATCCTTATTATTCTGGCAATCTGATCTTCAGTATAGAGCGTAGACAGCTGTTGATAAATATCTGTAGTTTGTTGGAAATGCTTTTCGTAACGCGCCAAGTCTCTCAACCATATAGCAACACTGACTTCACGTTGGTGTTGAAAATCCAGATCTTGTTTTTTATGCTGAGTGGAGTGCAGTGGAGTAGGTCTCCAAACTGATTTCAGGTTAATGAAGGCCTATCTTGCTGTCTTTCCGGTCCTGGCTTTGACATCCTCATCTGTGCAACCTGCAGTTGAAACGATGCTGCCTTGACTAGGTAGATGAAAGAGGGTACTTCCTTTAGGTTTCTCCCGTTGATAGTGATTGGAGCTTGTTGTAGCGGTTGTTGTTGTTATTGGTTGGGTATCTTCATCACCTCCGTCTTCTCTACGTCTACCTGAAATCTCGTCTTCCTTCGCTGCCTCGCCTCTTCTACCAACTTGTTGGTTTTCGCCTGTAGATCTTCTAGTTTGTGCGACAAGACATTAGACATAAATCATCATCGTTGGCGAAATCCAAATCTTCTAGGTTCTTTTCATTGGTCCAGCTAGCGTATGCCCAACTCCTTGCTCCTCACAGTTTGTTGCATAATCCAGCGCACCACAATCACGAAGATGGTCGATGATAGTAGGCAACCTTGTCTTACTCCTGTCTTCCCTTCAAAGGCGTCACTGAGCTTCCCATTGTGAATACCCTGGCGTGTGGCGTCTTTATATAGCTGTTGAATGAGGTTGATAAAGATTTGTGGCACTAAAACCGTTGTGTTTAAGCAATTTCCAAATTACTTTTCGGTCGACGCTATCGGAGGTCTTTTCGAAATTGATGAAGTTGAGGTAAAGAGTTGGCATTCTGCCATTCTATGCTTTGTTCTATGATGATGCATAGCGTTGCAATTTGGTCGATACATGATTTGTTTTCCCTTAAGCCAGCTAGCCTGTTCCGGTCGTAATTTTGAATCCAGAGCATCTTTTAATCTTTCCAGTATGATGCGGCAAAATATTTTGCTTGGGGTGGACAGGGATAGGAACATGATTCCGCACCAGTTCCTGCAAAGACTTAGGTCGCCCTCCTTTGGAAGTTTGACAAGGTAGCCGTTCTTCCAATCGGCAGGTAATTTTCCTTCCTTCCAAACCTTCTGCAGTGGTGGTGTCAGCATGTCCGCTGCTGTCTCTGCATCTGTTTCCAGTGCTTCTGGAAGAATCCCATCTGATCCTGCTGCTTTCCCGGATTACAGAAACCTTATGGCGTTCTGAACTTATCTTCTGCTTCTGTCGAAGTGTTTGTGTTTACAGACAGTTCCGTGGCTGGGCTACTGATAGTATTTCTGGACGAGTTGCAGATGGTGGTGGTCAATTCAATAGTTTTTCAAGTGGTTTCATCTGTGTTAATCTCTTCCCAGATAGTAAGTAACCTGGTTATTTGATACAGTGTCGTCAGGTCTCTCTTACCTGCAGCCTGCTCTGCTTCACTTGCCAGTGTTTCGTAGAAGTGTCTTTTGTCTTTCCGTGCACTTCACTTCTTTGTCCAGTGTAGTGTTTCATAGTTTATACTCAGTTCGTCTTTTCGTTGTTCATCCCTGCACTGCTTCATCATCTTCCTCTCCCTGCTCTATCAACTTCCATGTATCCATGAAGATCCATTCCTTGTCTTGCTTCTTCTTCCTTCCTAACATGGTTATGCAGGTTTCCTTCCACGTCTCTTTCAAGGAGTTCCAGTGTTCTTCCATGGAGGTTTCTTCAGGGACGTTGCCTAATGTCTCCCATTTTTTCCTGATAACTGACGTGAAGATGTCCTTTGAAGTCTCATCCTTCAGTTTCTGGGTGTTGAACTTGAACTGTGGCCTATCACCAACTTCCAGTTCATTGTTTAAATTATGTCTAATAGACGATGACATTCGATTGATATATTCTATAATAAATTAAACACATACATGTTGCATAGTCAAAAGGCGGAACTTAAAAATGCCATCTAGTTATATGATTTTATTTGCATGACAGATGAGTAGTGCAGGTGATAATGCACTATGTAGCTACTGAATAATCTATTCAGCCCCAAAAAGTATTGGATATGTATATACTCGGTGAGTAGTCGATAACAAATGACTCCTATATACAAACAAATGTCAAGAAAGGCAGTGATATACAAAGAAACTGGTACTACAAGAATTCCGGAAAATAAAATCTATATATCAGCATGTGACTTTTGTGACTCCTGTAGAATACTGTTTTTTTTTCTCTGTACTTTTTCATATTATGAACACAAGTAAGTTGGTGCATGTTTGTACCACATCCTATTTTGCTTTGCGATAATTTGGAACAATAAACTAGATGAAAAAGAAAAGATGTATAGGGAAGAGTTACTTTTTTTCCGTGATATCATTCTCAAGCTGTACAATCGCAAATAAATATTCTATTCGTATAGTAATAGAAAAGGAATGTTTTATGAAATGTCTTGAACGAAGTTCAGGTTTGATTACAAATCAGGAGATCAGCAGGAAGGAAGAATTACGTAATGTTTCGAGTAGTAATGAGAAGAAAACTCATCAAGACCGAAGTAATATTTGGTTACTAAGTTAAATGATGTAACACTATGAATGTAAAGCGAAATCAGAATTATAAGAGTGGGGGAATGTAACGTGTCAGAAGATCTGAACGAAAAGATTTTTGAAGGTAAAAATGTTCTTATAGGTTAAGTTCATTGCACCTCAAGTGACTGGAGAAGTTTCTTTCGAACACAGAGTTCAAGCTTCAAAATATTAATTGTCATGGCTTCCGTAGTTTGAAGAAGTTTTAGGCGTACACCTTTCACAAGATTTGCACAAACTATATAGATGACATTCAAGTTGTTCTCTGTATTTACCGGGTGGTCATAATCGATCAAATGTTCTCCTTTGTAGAACCAGGCTTATATATATTCGGAAATGCGCTTGGAAAGCAAACGCTGAGTATGGCTAGTGTACTTTACACCACAGCAGCAAGTGAATTGGTAAACACACATTGAGATGGCCAAGGGAGATAGCTTATCCTTTAAGCATAATCGAAGCAATAGGTGAGTGGAAAAAGTTAATCTGAGTTTGCTAGCATAGAAAGTATTTCTTATTACTATTCCAAACATTACTTAATTCCGTTTTCTTCCCATCTCCTGATTTATAATCATATCCGAACTTCGATCAAAATACTTCATGAAATATTCCTTTTCTGTTACTATGTGAATAGAATATTTATATGCAATTGTAGAGCTTGAGAATGATATCGCTGAAAAGAGCAAATCTGTCTTGAACGTCTTTTGTTATATGCAACTTTATTGATTTTTTTTACCAATGAAAAGTAATTTTCAGAGATGCAATAAAACATTTAAATCGAAGCGAAAAACACATCTACACGTAAAACATGATCATTAGGGTTAGAAGATATGAAAAAACTTAAGATGCTTGTTCATTGTTATCTTCGAATCGTTGCATATGTCGTAGAAACACTATGATAGCATTGTGAAGCTTGGGAAATTCGTATTGATGAAGTTAAAATCCTTCTTTGACTGACATGACAGGTACATGTGTTGCGCACGCCTAATCACCGTCTACTCCATCGCACAATGTTAGCTGAAGTGAGTTTAGTTTGTAAAAAAACGTTAGAGGTGGCCAGACCAAAATTTTGTATTATT